TTGTAAATAACGAGGAATTTGGCCTTTTAAACATTTTCTTAGAGATTTTTCATCCTACGGACTTATTTTTTTTTCTCGAGCAAATAGTGACTTAAAACACGTATTTCTATGGGAATTTTAACGTTTTGAATTTCACTCGTGTGTTTTTTTATGGGAATATTTGACGTTTTGAATATTGGATAGGCATTTTCTTGTAGGACTTAATTATAACACATGATTGTATCTATGGAATTCATTCATCAAATATCATACCTCTTTTCATTCATCTGATTTTAAACCCCTCTCCCTCTCCATCGAATTCATACCTCTATATTTCTTCATCGAATTCATACCTCTATCTTTCTCAATCGAATTCATATCTCTATCTTTCTCAATCGAATTCATATCTCTCTTCTACATCAAATATCTTACCTCTCTTCTTTCATCGAATTTCATACTTCTCTTCATTCATCGCATCTTTACCCCTCTCCCTCTCCATCAGATTCATACCCCTGTCTCTAGTCTTCCTCTCTCTATCGAATTCATACCTCAGCTTCATTCACCGAATATTATACCCCTAGCTCTCCCTCTCCATCGATTGAATTCTTACCTCTTTTCATTCATCGCATAATTACCCCTCTTTCTCTATCAAATTCATACCTCTCTTCATTCATCGAATATTATACCCCCTCCCTTTCCATCGAATGTCTATACTTTGTGTTTGACTTTCTGAGGAATGTTTACGCCGTTGGAGGTTGGACCAATATCTAATGTTCGATCAACTAAATAAAGGAACAAAGGGTATAGGTCTAGGTGTCTTTTGTATTTACAATACCTCTTTTCAGACTCATTTCTCTCTTAAGACTTCTGCCCAGTTTGATTTTTCCAATGTATGACGACGCATTGACTCCTGTCTCCAAGGACGCTCTGGATCCATCTCAACAGGTTTCCGCTAACGCCATGAGCTCTGATCTTCTTGAGTAGTCTCTGGTGCGGTACAGAGTCGAAAGCCTTGCCACATCAACGCCACCTTCTTCATCAATCATGCCAGTCCACTCATTTAACACTTCTATCAATTGTGTTACCCACGACCTGCTGGGACCGAAGCAATGATGGTGATCACTCAAAAGCTGATTAACATCCATAAAATCCATAATCTGGTCACGTAGAATAGACTCCATCATCACCTTACACACAATTGAGGTAAGGCTTACAGACCAATAGATTCCCGGAGATGTAGTTTTTCCTTTTTTTGTAGATAGCCCTTACATGAGCAACCTTCCATGAACCAGGAAGTTTTCCCTCCTGGAGTGACTTGTTGAAGATGGTGGTCAATGGATCAGCGATACTATCTGCAGTCTCCTCCAGTACTCTGGGGTGTATGCCATCTGGTCCAGGAGACTTTGATAGGTTTATTTTTTTTAATTTCTTCTCCACTTCAGTAATACTTATGTCGTATTCTTCTAGGGCTGCACCTTCAAACTTTGATTCGACATCATTATACACCACTGCATTATTTGCACATGCCATTAAGTAGGGTCGCTATAGGCACAATCAGGGTGCAACTATTTTACCTACAATGTTACGCATCTCTCCTGGAAACACAAAGTCATTTAATCAAATGTTTGTGGCCTGAAATGTTGGACCATATGAGTTTTCATCAGGCAGCAACTTTTGTTGGAATCATATTGCTCCGATTGTCTCATTTTCGCTCGCGTGAACATTGCCAGCACAAACCACTGACCTCTACCTCCTGAACGGATCATCGCCCATTCCCATTCACTATACGTTACGTACTAAAAGGCTGTATTGTCTGACCGTTCATGAATATTCATGTTTTTGCTAAACTCGGCAAAATGTTTGCTTTTACTAAATGGAAAAATTACGGGGGGGGGGGGGGGGGGGGGGGGTTGGATGAAATGGACATAATGAAATAGGCAGAAGTGATCCATGATAATTCATGCTTTTTATGTTTCGTGTGCTCGACATGTGTATTATAGGCAATGACGAGCTTGCAACCTATTTTGAAAAATTACGGTGGGTGAACTTTCAAAAGTCAATGAGACATGAGGGCTCCAATGAAAGAGCTAGTGATAACATACGTCGGGGTGGATGTGCTTTTCGTTTAAACAAAAAATGAATTTTTAACGATTTTTAAAAAGTCCATAGGCTAACATGTTAGGCTGCTGACTCTGATCATGCTCTGACGATAAGGGGCGTTGTGAAATGAGACTAAACGGAGCCATATGTTAACTTGTTTTAGCTGTGGAAATAGAGGGCCAAAAATACCACTTTTTGGCTGTTACCCATTTGTACTTTGAAAATGGATTTTTTTTTCATCAGTTGTTAAATATGCTATGTCTTTCCATGTCCATGACGGCTTGAGAATTGACCCAAGAAATTGCGATACAGTGGTTATTTCTGTAAAGAGACAAGCGTAACACTTTTTTGAAAAACAGCTAAGTGCATACTATTGCCTCTATGATTAATATATTTCAGCTTTATATTAATTGGTTATTGGTTATATTTTCTGGGTTACATATTGTCCTATCATCATCAGAAAAAAAATCGAACATAGATACAAACTTTACAAAAATATATCCCCCATTGCGAGCATAAATTTTGTCCGGAATTTCCTGTAGTGTCCGTAACGGTGTCATTCCTGCTATATGAAAATGTTTTCAAAGTTCTTATATAGTTTGCTTCGTGTAACTACCCCGGGGACTAGCTGTGGTAGAATAATATTCAAAATATATTGCACCCTGATTGTTGCAATACCGAGTACGTACACAGACCCCAAATCCAGAGTTTCCATTGCCTAATATTGTTTTCCATTTTCCTTTCTTTGTTTTTTGTTTTGTTCTTGTTTATCATGTATGTGTGTGCGTGTGTGTGTGTGTGTGTGTGGGGGGGGGGGGGGGGAGGGGGTACAACTTAGTTTTTTTTATAGTGCTTGCTATATTCCTAAATGTCTCTAAAAGAATTGGCACCATTTGTATAGCTTGCAGTGTGAGGGTTTTATGATTACAGTAATATATAATCACAAAACGAAAAACAACGTTGTGGGTCACAGAAAAAGCTTTAGTGATAGCCACTTCAACTCTTCCATGGTTTTGAAAATAATAAAAGCAACAACAGTAGGCCTACTAGAATACATAATTCATTTTATAGATATAAGAAACGATAATTATAATGATAATAATAAAACAAATAATAATGAAAAATATGATAATATAATGATGATATTTACGAAATGATATTTACAATTTCTGATTTTCAAACTGAAAGATATAGGCCTGCATCGTCATCACTATTTATATCTCGCTCTCCCGTCTCTCCTTTTCCCTCGTCCCCTCTCTCCTCTCCTCTCTTTCACACACCAATACATAAACACCAACTCGGCCCTTTCCCCCTTCCCCTTAAAGGTACTATGTCCCATTTGCAGGCCAAAAAAATGAAAAAGTTAAATTCCAACTGCATTTGAAAGATAATACTAATTTAGAACTTCTCTAAAAAAGGTGGGGCTTGAAAATGTCTTCAAGTGGGAAAATAACGACTATTAGTTGTCAAATCGACTTTAGGGCTATAGAGCCCAAAAGTAATAGTCTTCATTTTTAGACAATTGTACCGAATGGTCATACGTTTTATGCTGCGCAAAGATTTAATCAGTTTAATCTTGGCCATCACAAGAAGTGGATTATTGATGTAGACAAATGCTCATGTACCCTTTACAACTCTTTTCATATATGTTATTACCAAAGAAGAAAAAAGCCAGTCAGTCACTCAATAGTCTCTGACAGTGAAGTGTAGCAAGTAAACGGGTTTCCTTGCATAATTTGAATATAAGGACACTGCTAACGTTTAAATTTCACAGATAGTACATACATGACATATTCGTAATTCCTGCAAAGTTCTACAGAATTTGAGGTTGGCTGCAAAAGGGACATAGTACCTTTAACACTCTTCATTTCCAGTCATATTTTGTTCCCTTCTATGGTAAACCAAGTCTCTTTAGAATAGTACTACAATAAATCATTATTATTATTGTTATTATATTGGTTTGGTTGTTTGTTTGTAAATGTGTATTTCTATTGTACTTTGTTTTTCTGTCTTGCTTTCTTGTATTGCCTCTTATTGGTTTTGGAAAGCATATTTCCAGATTTGTGGACAAGAATAAATAAATGATGATTGATCAATGAATCCAAAGGGTTCTTGCTATAGCCCTGTTTACTGGCGACTCACAAATATGGGTCTTACTCGAACTAGGATGTCTCTACCGGGACCTGGGGGGTGTTTCACAAAGATCCTTAGTTGATCTTAACTCCATGTTGGACTTAAAAATTATGGAGAGCCATTTGTAGCCTTAAAATTTAATATATTCAAAAGCAAAAGTTATTCTAGACTTTTTATAAATTGCACATTAAGAACATGAAATCTCCTTGATATTAGAAAATATGAATGATTTGAATCAACATTTTATGCCTTTTAAAATAACTTTTACGAAATATTTTCATAGATGCTAACGGCTTCCCATGACTTTTAAGTCCAACTTAGAGTTAAGTTCGACTTAGAATCTTTGTGAAACACCCCCCCCCCCCTGATCTCATATGTCCCGGTAAACCCCAGTGCTTTCTTCGTTAAACAAATATATATATATATATATATATATATATATATTATCTTCTTGTTACGTATAAAATGTGATAACCAAAAAGTGAGAAGACTAAGAACTTTTCTTATTTTGTTTTGCTTAAATTTGTTATTCATTTCAAAGAAGAAAAAAAAAAAGCAAAAAAAAAAAGCAGAAATTACAATAATCTGAAGGAAAACAATGCCGCAGTTTCCCGAGGCATATTTGAGGGAGCCGTTATTGAAATCGAAATGAAGTGTATGTACTATTAGTAAATAGTGATATCCATTGAAAAAAGATGCTATATAATATTGGATTTTATACATCTACCTTGATTATAAATAACATGAATACTGAAAATGAAACTTCAAAGAAAAGCAGAACCATGATATTTGTTTAACACCAAGAATTAAGTTTATTGCACATTGCCAAAAAAGTTTTATAATGGTACATTTCAAGTAATTTATGACTGTCTTGTTTTACAGTAGAACATGTGTTAGAGCCTTTCAATTCTAGATAGATGTGATCATCTTTCCAACTATTTGAGTTGAACATTTCTGCCGCTCTTCACTATGGCAAATAACCAAGATTAATGCTGTTTAAATTTGTTGTGACGGCAAACAGAACGGGTGGCACGTAATAGAGATAGCTGACACAGTGGACAAGGTTGCTGGTTCTATACAAGTTTGTGCTAAACAATGGCGTGGTGATCACACCAGCGCTAAACACTGAATTTGCCCCAGTCTAGTCCGATGCTTGAATGAATGAGTTCGAAGTTTTATAGAAGTGACAAGAGTATTGCCTCAAAATATTGATGATTTTATGAGCAGCATACTTTTTAACCATAATGCTATCAATGTTTCCGATCAAGATCATGTTAATGCCTTTAATATAAACACATTATTCCTTTGCTTCTCGTCGGTAATAAATGATTTTTATTTAAATTACTGAATTGGTTGAGATTTTAATTTCGGAGCAACAACTCCAATGGAATGTGCACATTCCGGACCAGCCAAAGATATGTGCAGATTCCATGCGAGAACTGTTGCTCTATCCAATTAACTTAAAAGCTCTTGAGTTATTTTTATTTTTTCTTGTTTAGGGATGGCATCAAGTACCATCTTATCATTGCGTGACATTTGAATCAATGGAAATACTTCAATCATGTAAAGGAAGGAAAACGTAATGGATGTCAATTATATACATGATTAAGCATTGACATAATTAAGTATATGACATAAATATCATAAAATAGAGGTTGAAGATTTTTCCACCAATTAACACATTATAATGACTGTGTGCTTATAGATATATACAACAGATTCAAATTCCTTCGAATAGAAGGTTTGTTGAAAAAGAAAAAGGAAATTTCCCCCACATTCAGTTCAATTTTAAAAACGGATGTCAGTAAAGATTGCTTTGAATGTTAAGTTTATCTCAGACACAATGTTAACCAGATTGAATCTATAGTTTACAGTTTAATAGTGTGTATATTGCACAATAATTGGACAGAGTTCCAATAGAAAATGGTAATGCTGATAACTATACAACGTTCACAGACCTCCTCAGCGAATCTTCAAATAACATGAAGTGCTTGGATGCCAACGTAATTGATTCTTTGTCTAGAAAGTATAATTGAAGTTTACAGCATTAATACCTTAAACTACATAGCGACAGTAAAGTATACTTTAGTGTGATAGTTTTCTTCAAAATGGCGGCAGGTGAACCAAAACGTAATGACAGATATTTGAAGATCTTTGTATTATCATTCCAATATAAACACTATGCCCTTTTGCGAACAGAGATGTCAATTTATGTGTCTAGTTTGAGGAGAGTCACTTCCGTTTGTATATATATATATATATCTATATATATATATATATATATATATATAAGGTGACGAGAGTTCATAGGTCACAGGTCAATTGTGGACAGCTTTTCCCCGCTCCTGCGTTGAGGTTGAAAAGGGCCATTTCCATATAGGCGTCAAAGGTGAGAAGAGTTTAAAGGTCATAGAAAAGAGTCGGGTCTGCACACCAAAGTAAGTCAAGTGTTTCAAATGTCAGCTGGAAAAAAAAAGAAAAAAGGAAAAGAAAAGGCAAACACTTTGGTTAGAATAGAGTAGGATACTGAATGTAATAAATATTTGTGAGCTATCCATTACTATTTTTCTTTATTTAAGTGAACCGGTAACATTGTAAAAGGTTGAACAAAGAAGTGCGTAAGTATTGTACGACATGTTATTTTTATATTCCTTTTACTGTACAGGCCCTCTAACATAACAATTATTAATTATAGGTATTTCTATAGCGCCGTCTATCTAGAAATTCTATTCCGAGGCGCATTAATTATTACCCCGGCTTTAGCCTAGCTGCCATTACAGCGCTCCAGCATTTCAAGGAATAATTCTTGCTAGGTACCCATTTACCTCACCTGGGTCGAGTGGACATTAGTGCCGTATCGGGGATCGAACCACGACCTTTGAATTTCAAGTCAAGTGCTTAAACCACTCGACTACAACACTTCTACAACATGCAAAAAATCCCGAAAACAATTATTGAACCCCAAAGATATTTATGGTTTTCTTAGAAGGCTTAACAGTACATTCCTACCAGATTCAACCTTTTTCCAAACCGTTTTTCAATGAAAAAAAGAATTAAAGCAGGCATTTAATGATCTTGTTCACACTTTAAAGTTTGGAATGGTATATAGATGAAATGCAGTGCTATGTGACGATTTACATTAACCTAATATTAATTTTATGTGAAGTATAATAATATAGTTCGAAGAATTTAGGAATCGATCAGATAATTGTTTCCAATTGTTATCAGTGATAGTGGTCTGTTTTCATTAAATTTTCAGATTATCATTGATTGTACATCTATCACTGAAGTCACTACCTTAGTACCACTTTTTCTTATCTGAACAATGTTACCAAATCCCTTAAATGATAGAACAATCTTTGATTGTACGTCTATCACTGAAGTCACTACCTTAGTACCAGTTTCTCTCCTCTGAACAATGTTACCAAATCCCTTAAATGATATAACAATCTTTGATTGTACGTCTATCACTGAAGTCACTACCTTAGTACCAGTTTCTCTCCTCTGAACAATGTTACCAAATCCCTTAAATGATATAACAATCTTTGATTGTACGTCTATCACTGAAGTCACTACCTTAGTACCAGTTTCTCTCCTCTGAACAATGTTACCAAATCCCTTAAATGATATAACAATCTTTGATTGTACGTCTATCACTGAAGTCACTACCTTAGTACCACTTTCTCTCCTCTGAACAATGTTACCAAATCCCTTAAATGATAGAACAATCTTTAATTGTACGTCTATCACTGAAGTCACTACCTTAGTACCACTTTCTCTCCTCTGAACAATGTTACCAAATCCCTTAAATGATAGAACAATCTTTGATTGTACGTCTATCACTGAAGTCACTACCTAAGTACCACTCTCTCTTATCTGAACAATGTTACCAACTCCCTTAAATGATATAACAATCTTTAAATGTACGTCTAGCACTGAAGTCAATACCTAAGTACCACTTTCTCTTATCTGAACAATGTTACCAAATCCCTTAAATGATAGAACAACGTTAAAGCAATGCACATTATAAGAATCTACCTAGCAGTGGTATCACAAAAAGCCAGTTTGTAAATACAATATGCGCATGAGCACATAAAGGTCATTTGTCCAAAATTGTAAAACCAAGCGATACGAATACTGGATACGTGCGCATGAAAGATTGAAATGTATGTACTTATTATACATTAAAGACCGTCAATACTACTTGACCAGAAGGGATTAGACCACACAGCGAGGTCACTGACAGGTGGCTATCTCATTAACTCAGCTCTCAACTAACATAAGAAAAAGAGGATCATGGGGGACCAACAGGCACCGATTGGGGAAATTTTCTTTATAGAGGGAGCAAGTAGCTACAAGTAGGACAGTGGGGCTTTAAGCACCGACAGTACATGTTTTTGTAAACAGGTGCATAGAGTTGGACTTCTCTATGGACGTGTAAAAGATCTTTGGATATTTGGGGTCACTTTTACTATGTGCTAACTGTTAGCAAGGCATAATATAAAGGAAGTAGGATAGTCCACATGGCAGGATTAAATATTCAGTATTCACAAAGTACATGCAGGTTCGGATAATTTTGGCCGCCTGTTTGGGTAGTTTCTTCCTGACTATGTGCATTCATTTTTTTAAAATATAAATAATGCAATGTTTTTGTTAAGAGCCAAACCGTGCAAAGGTATGCCTATATACATGTCTATTAAAAAAGCGACGTGCTTTGTACATGCTAAAATATTTTCCCATTAATTCTTAAGCTATATTTAAACACTTTAACGCTTTGTTTCTCATCACATTTGCAAGACATTCCTGGTGGATACTGCGGTCCTTTTAGGGCGCAAATACTAGGGTTTTACCACCCAACACTGTAAAATCGGTAAAAGATAAATGACTAAATAAAAATGAAAGTACCTAAAAGTGTTCTATATGAGACACTATATGTGTATGCTTTCATAGAACACACAGCAGGTTTGAAACAGATGATTATACAAATGAAAACAAAACTACCTAATATTGCTCCCTGCTTTCGGGTCGGGAAACATGGTTAAACAGGTGAAAATGGAAGTACCTATTGTGCTCCCTGAGGGACGCTACTTCTTTAATGGCAAAGAGCATATAGCACGTAGCTTCTCGTAGCAGCATTCCATGGAGACTCCATCGGAATTCAGAACGCAGCAGTCTCTCTCTGCGTTATTTCTGTTGATCTCAACGCCGAGTCTAAGTAAACAATGAGAATTGAGAAGACATGTATTTCAAAACTCATAACTACAGATTCATATTTGGGAATATTTCCTACTTTTTTCATTAACGTACACTGTAATACACACAAGAGTACTATGATGTTTATTTCTAATTTGTCTATTTTTTATTTTTTATTTCAACAATAATCTGGGTTTAGTTTTTTAGGTCACTAGTGCTTAGTACGGGAATGATGTGTAGGAAATCAGCCGCAGGAAAATTATTGCTGAGCTTGTGTCATTCAACCCCAGACGCAAGTGCACGTAGGCGTGTCACAAATATTACTACTTCTCAGGCGCGTACACAGGGGGTGGGGGAGTTAACCCCCCAAACCCCCCCCCCTTTGGTAATTTTTTGTGTGTAAACCCCCCTAAATTTCTCTAAACCCCCCCCCCCCTTTTGGATTTTTTTTTTTTTTTTAATTTTTTATTAAAAAAAAAAAAATAAAAATAAAAAAAATATTCCCATGGTTGACCTAAAAAAGCTGACCTTACCCCCCCCCCCAACGGAGCAAAATGTCAAATAATAATAGCCTAATAGTCCACTCCAAACTTTATTAAACCGAAACGGAAATTCTTTTTGCCCAATTGATCGTGAGCCCGGCAGCCACTGACGCGGCCGGGGTTCGAACCCACGACCTCCCAATGTGTGTTTTGCGTGACTGCTAAAGCATGTGTATGCTACTATGCTTATCAACTAGGGGACCTACGCCCTTAAGTCATAAATGACAGTAATGAGGATTAATGCCCCACAAAAGGGCACTAATATAGCACATCGACACGGTTTTGATCCTGGGGCCTCACAGTTACGAGGCCATTGCTTTGTCACTGAACCATGACTGTACGCATCGGGGGACTAGGGTAGGGGGCAGTTTCCATAAATAAAACAAAACCAAAAAAAATGCAATACATTTTCAATAATTTATTGCATGTTACCCCGGTCCCCAACATAAACAAATCCTCTGGACGTCATGCATTATGGCTCAAGGCATGGGCACACAGAGGATTTTGTTATGTTGGGAACCGGGGTATAGTATAGCAAAGCGCAATTCAGGCATCGATTGCAACAACCCCTACCTCCTTCACACACACACACACACACACACACGGACACTCTCGCGTTCATGTACATGCACATTGCATGGCATAGGCCTATATATGGTTGTCTTTTCTGAACTGAATTGCCATTTTGGGTCATTAGCATTTTGACATGATATAATGTAGTACAGAAGTTGTTTATAAATTGTTCATTTTCACAAAGAGGGATTATTATTAAGCAAGTAATTTATTTCATTTGTCACATCTCTTTAATCAATTTTGTTCATGATACGTTGCTGCCTAAAGCATGTGAAATGCATGCCGATATCTTTCGGATCCATGTCCAATTGAACAAAAAACAATGCTTTACCTTTGTCAATACATTTCCTTTCTAAATTCCTAATTCAGCATCAACAATATGTTTCTCTGGCCTTGTGACTTTTAAGATGAATTAGAAATTTAAAAAGAAAACCTTTTTTGTTGCACCTGCACGGGGTGGTAATCACCTCGAACGTTCTTGCAGGTAAGGGGGTAGTATTTTCTGAGGAGAATACAAGGCGGCCTCGTCGCAAGTCCATCGTAAGAAGGACGTGCGAATCGCAGGAGTTGGCCTACAACCCGACCACAGCTGCGGACCTGCACTTGCAAAAAGACTCGCGGCGAGTTGTGACTGTTTTACATTAATACTTACTCCTTTAGGAATGGTGTTTGGATGTTCTCTTCCTCGACCTGGTCATGACAGCCAATCCAGGAACCTGCGCTCAAAAACTTACTGCCAAGGAGTTCTTCGAGTTGGTCGTCTCCATCTATCACTAAGCTTGCCCCGTCCTTGCGGCATTTCTGTTGGGTACATATTGAGCATCGGTTTAACATTCATTCACTTTTATTAATACTCTTTGTACAAGTTATAAATATATATATATATATTTCAAAAGCTAATAGTTATATTTCTTATTAGCGGCATATTTCTTTGTAATGATACTTGTTTGTTATGACATCTTGTATTATATATTTTATCAAGATTTTTTTCGGGGTTGCAAACGTGTAAGAGTTCTTAAAATATTTCTTTTCTCAGATATGTATTCTTTTATAAATGAATACAAATCTTAATTTTGTTGTTGATTGATGCATATTTCATTATGATTTTAAATTTATCATAAAATGACCCAAAATTAGAGAAACTTGTCTAAACTTTTGGAGTATTGCAACCTCAACTACATCCTCGATGGACAGTCACCTTAGACGTATCTATGCATTTCACGTATTTGCAGGGTTCGTAACTTATAAACCCTTGGTCATAATCTCTGGAGTTGAAACTAGCTAGGGAAGACTTTGACCCTACATTCATCAACGCTTCTAGTATAACGGGAGCTCTTTGTCTGTGCACCTCAAATTTGACTTGAAATTATACAGGATTTTCTTTTATATTCATGTATAATGCTGAATTTGATACAATTCAACATTTTCTAAAGACTTAAAGTGTGCCAAAGGTTCTGTCATTATTTAAGTAAGAACAATTTCATTTTCACAAGAAAAGGCAGTGTGACCATTCTGACATTCCAAAAAGACAGGTTCCCTTGTCAGACCACTCGTTATTTCGAGCGCAATTGTCACGTGAATTTCGAGGATTTGAAATGAAAATGTCTTCAATTATAATTTTCACGATAGACTTTAATGTTTTTTTCACGGATACTTAAAGCTTCAATAGAAATTAAAAACTTTCGTTCGGTACCTAGTTTTGTCTTCTTCTTGATCTTCTACTATGTTTACGTGTGGCGCACACAAAGTACCTGCTTCGAAGACACGGACACTTTAGCTATTTTATATCATTAATTACTTCAACAGAAACTAAGTCTCGTTCAGATATGGCACTGCAAAGCCGCTGCAGTTTTTGTTAATGATGACGTAAGGTGGAATTCATTTCGTATTTTTGTATCGAATTATATCACAGAGCTCAGTTAACACGCGCAGGACTTGGTTTACTGACTGTATATTAGGGCCCGACAGTGCCTTAAAAGGACGTCACATTGCCTTAAAAGGACGTCACATTGCCTTAAAAGGACGTCACATTGCCTTAAAAGACGTCGCATTACCTTAAAAGGACGTCACATTGCCTTAAAAGGATGTCACACATAGAGGTCCACGTTCTCGTCGCGTAAATCTAAAAGTTCCTATCATCTCACCTTCTCACTGGCTTCCCAGGTATCGGGTGTCTGGAGTAGACGGACACAGATATCACCGCTCTGTATGTAATGTTGTGGGCATCCTGGGAGGCAGCAAGATAGAGGGAAATATGTAATCATTTATCCAGTATTACTTTTTGTGTTTGTTTATTTTGTGTCATCTAATTATTTTCGTTCTTTCCTTATTCATTTATTTAATTATTTTACATGATTATTCAGAGGGGTGTGTTAATTACTTCAAAACTGATCCACCACAAAGACATGATTAGATAAAAGCTTACATATAAACTATCGAAAGGTCTATGCCTGAATTGAAGTAATCAGAGAAAAATCAGAAAATATTCGAAATGACAGGACAGAATATGATTGTAACATTATTATAAACACAACAGAAATACACAAATGATAATAATGTATGTCAATCAGCATGTTACCACAATATTTTAAGATATGAAGGTCAACATTCTATTTCAAGAGACCTCTAAATCTGAGAATTAAATAAAAGTTAGAGAAAAGAAGAGAAGAACGATGGTAATAATGCAAACGCTACAATCAAACAGATGTTATAAAAGAGATGTTATACGTCACAAATGTGAAAATTTGTAGATTTTTTTGGTACAAATAATATGACTGTTGCTAACTATTCACTTAAGTTCTGAAGTCAAACTCGCTTATTTGCTTACGATTCAGTTCACATACTGCAGGAAGTTTATCGTGGCAACACTCTTTTCCCCATCCGCCAGACCCTATGTTCACACATCGATCACTGTCTGAAGATCTGCCAGGAAGTTTAGAGAAAGTCGACCTGGAATAGAAGAAAAAAAAATCATTCAGCTTAGCTACGTCAGGTCACATCAGGCCATGTTTTTTCAGTCAGTTCAGCCTCAGTTCAGTCAGTTCAGCCTCAGTTCAGTCAGTTCCGCCTCAGTTCAGTCAGTCCAACCTCAGTTCAGTCACTTCAGTTGAGGTCAGTATAGGCTCATTTGAGGTATATTTAAAAGGTTAAGGTCAGTTCAGGGCAGTGCAGGTCAGTTTAAATTTAGTAGGTTGAGGTCAATTGAGGTCACTTTAGTTCACATAATTCAGTCATTCCCGGTCAGTTCAGTACAGTCATAATTTCTTTTCACTTTTATTCAGTTCAGTACAGCAAACATAAAATGTGCATGAAAGTTTTGGGTACAAACTTACTTACAAGATTTTTATTACAAGGTTATACGATGTAATGTATATAAAGAGCATAAGTTCCTAAGTGGGAAGACCTGATAAAGCTACGCTTGTACTTTGATCCTCAGAATACCCCCACATACAAGTAAGGTTGATCGTAGACCTAAGCCTAAGGTCAAACAACCCTTAATCCACGCCAAGGGCTTAAACGTGATCCCACCTCTGATCCCAACCCCAAAGGTTGATCGTAGACCTAAGCCTAAGGTCAAACAACCCTTAATCCACGCCAAAGGCTTAAACGTGATCCCTCCTCTGATCCCAACCCCAAAGGTTGATCGTAGACCTAATCCTAAGGTCATACAACCCTTAATCCACGCCAAGGGGGCTGATAAATCGTAAGATCCCACGCCCCTGATCCCAACCCCAAAGGTTGATCGTAGACCTAAGCCTAAGGTCAAACAACCCTTAATCCACGCCAAGGGCTTAAACGTGATCCTAACGAATTTCATGTTTCATCCTTCTTTCTTATGATAATCTATTCCCTGAAAGCAAGGTATAGAATGCAAAATGATATTCTACTTCACATGTTATGAAGTCGGATCAAGAATACAAATAAATACGAAGAAAACGAAAGATTTGTGAAATTTGATGTACAGAGCTTTTGAAATTTACAGGATTTCCTGCAGATACGCTGATAAACTAACATGAAAGTAATATTTAAGTAACAATTCAATGCAAATAAGTAGCGCAAAGATTTAACATCAGTACATGGTGTGGTGATTTTTTAATTTGCCCTTTTTATAAGATAAGAAGCATTTATAGGTCTCTTGTAAACTCACAAGAAATTTGTACTGGACAATTTTTTGTTCTAAAAATAGAAGAACATATAAAATGCTTAAACTGGTTACATAATTGAGAGCAATATTACATGAAGGAAAACAATACACAAAGAAGAACAACTAATAATGTACTGTATAACCTAAATTTTCTTTGAGTTGCAATGACATTTTAACAGAGAGAAGGGATGGCATTTAAAATATCTCATTCATATCTCGTTATTTTTATGATAATGATAATTATTATTATTATTATTACTAACATCATTATCATCAAAAACATCATTATTATTTATTTGTATTACTATTATTATCATCATCATCATTATTATTAATATTATTATTATCATTTTTATTATCATCATTATTATTATTATTATTATCATTATTATCATTGTTATCACTATTGTTAACTTATCATTAATATTAATACTAATATCATTACCATTACTTCCATTATTATTATTATCATAACTATTATTGTTATTGTTATTTTTATTATCATTATTATTGTCATTATCATCATCATTAGTTTAAATCTTTTATTGTTATCATCACTATAATTCTCATCATTATCATTACTATGATTGTTATTGTTATTATCATTATTATTATAATTATCTTATTATTATTTTCATCAAATGAGATGGAATCAAATCGAATCATATCAAACTTACGTGAGAAGTTCAGTGGTTTGATAGTTACTACTCGAGATAAGATTGTGTAGGTTAAACCATGCTGGCTTGCCGTTGGCTGGCGATTCAGATTTGTAGAATGCAAGCAGAGCTTCATTTTGTGCTTCGTTCAGAGATGGGGCTAGGCGACCTTTGAGCCTTCTGCATTCCTTCAAATTTAGTGGAAAATGCGTGGTTATTATTATTTATTAACCCTACTACTACTGCTACTACTACTACTACTACTACTACTACTACTACTACTACTACTACTGCAACTACTGCTACTACTACTGCAACTAATACTACTACTGCAACTACTGCTACTACTACTGCAACTACTACTACTACTACTACTACTACTACTACTACTACTACTGTAACTACTACTACTACTACCACTACTACTACTACTACTACTACTACTACTACTACTACTACTGCAACTACTACTACTACTACTACTACTACTACTACTGCAACTACTACTACTACCACTACTACTACTACTACTACTACTACTGCAACTACTACTACTACTACTACTACTACTACTACTACTACTACCGCTACTACTACTACTACTACTACTACTACTACTACTGCAACTACTACTACTACCACTACTACTAATACTACTACTACTGCAACTACTACTACCACTACTACTACTACTACTACTACTACTACTACTACTACTACTACTGCAACTACTACTACTACTACTTCTACTACTACTACCGCTACTACTACTACTACTACTACTACTACTACTGCAACTACTACTACTACTACCACTACTACTAATACTACTACTACTGCAACTACTACTACCACTACTACTACTACTACTACTACTACTACTACTACTACTACTGCAACTACTACTGCAACTACTACTACTACTACTACTACTACTACTACCGCTACTACTACTACTACTACTACTACTACTACTACTACTACTACTACTGCAACTACTACTACCACTACTACTACTACTACTACCACTATTTAAAGGTATTAAAAGGTACTCATGAACTATACCTCCTCCTCGTTTTAATGATTTGTGGATACTTGAGATTAGTTTAACAAGTGCTGCCTCTGAAGTGGTCCTATGTAAACCTTCATTTGTCCACATTATGGTCTTGTCACAAGAGAAACCATGATTCTAGATTATCGCTGTCAGTAAGATGTCCTTCAAATATGCCTTTCCAGTGGACATGCACAGAGCCATCAAAATGCCTTTACCTAATTTGCCGAACCTTCATCTAGCTGGCTATCATATGGCGAATACTACTACCAAATAAAAGAATAATTTTGATGCACCATGTTATGACTATTAAACCGAAACCAAGTTGGCCAGACTCTGTATATAGATCGCTGTGGTCATGTGCAAACATTTTATTGTTGAGTGAATATTAGAGGTCAAAGGTCAAACTTACATGGCATTGGGCTTCAAAGGAATCCGGATTGGTTATAAACCTCAGGCAACGATCTTGGAAGAAGATGTACCCGCTAACATCATCGCACTCTTATGTCACAAACAAGAGAACAAACAAAGAAATTCAGCATGAATTTACAATTGACAACTTTCTAATGTCATTGCATTTTGCCCCGATCCCCTACATTATGTGGGCATGCCTTGAACCATAATGCATGGGCTTTCTCTAGCTGTTGGGGACCGGGGGAAAGTGCAATGAATTATTGATCATTTATTGCATTTTCTTTGTTTTTTGTATTTGTGGGGGGCGGCGACGTACAGTGAGTGAGCTGAATGAGAAATGACGCTACAAACCTTCAAATACTCTAGATGCAGATATGGGAGGGAGGATAGTGACTGAGCTGAATGGGAAATGACGCTACAAACCTTCACATACTCTAGATGCAGATATGGGAGGGAGGAAAGTGACTAAGCTGAATGACACTACAAACCTTCAAATACTCTAGATGCAGATATGGGAGGGAGGAAAGTGACTAAGCTGAATGACGCTACAAACCTTCACATACTCTAGATGCAGATATGGGAGGGAGGAAAGTGACTAAGCTGAATGACGCTACAAACCTTCACATACTCTAGATGCAGATATGGGAGGGAGGAAAGTGACTAAGCTGAATGATGCTACAAACCTTCACATACTCTAGATGCAGATATGGGAGGGAGGAAAGTGACTAAGCTGAATGACGCTACAAACCTTCACATACTCTAGATGCAGATATGGGAGGGAGGAAAGTGACCGAGCTGAATGACACTACAAACTTTTAAATAGTACGCACTTTGCCCGCTATTCGGGCACAAATCATCAAAATTATCAATTTTAACTTTTCTCCCATAGCTCTTTCCATCTTTTGCATGTCGGCGCCCTATGTCACCCCAACCCCTCTGTCACCCCCTATGTCATCCCCACCACCTGTCACCCCCTATGTCACCCCCACCCCCTATGTAGATACACAATTGAGAACATCCATACCGGGATCGCCGATGGGCCCAATTTCACAAATAGCAGGATGGCGGGTGTAACAACATTCGTTGGTCCATTTGCCGTTCTGCGCACTTACAGACACACAATCGGGTCCAAGTCCTTTGCCACTTGCTCGTTCTGGCTTCTTGTTCTTAAAGAAGGTGAAGGAAAGCCTGGACAACAAGAATAATACAATGATTACAGAACTCTCTGTAAAAGAAGTTTTTTTTTTTAAACTACCCTGTATGAAGAACAAAAACTAAATAAATAAGTAAATAAATCGATGAACATTTTGTTTAATGAATGCATAAAAAAGTTGTCTGAATAGCTGAATAAATTTAAACATGAATTAGAATACATTTTTTTTTTTTAAATACCTCTCTACAGTATTTTGAATAAAATTAGTCATCTAATTGGTCAAAATTGGAGTCATGATTTTAGTCAGGCTCACAAAGAAACGAACCATGCCCGTTGCCCTGGCGAAAGGGGATAGTCAATTAAAAATATGCCCGTTGCCCCGGGTATAGTTAAATTTGCTGAGATCCCCATTGGTTTACGTGAAAAAAGTTTCTTTATGCGAGCGCGGATACCATACAGTGTGTGTACGATTCCCAAATGATCTTAAAATTCAGGCAACTTTCCATCGAAGATTAACATACAGTGTCTCAGATTATTTGTGATGTTTGAACCAATCTTTACTTAAGAAGAGGATAATAAGGCAAGTATATTTTGTAGACTATATTGTGAATTTGGTATATAAAAGTTAAATAGACTACTGACTCTCGGGGCGTTACATCCTGCTAAGAACCCTTGGCGCACCGAGGGGTGATTGGGGTGGACATTGGGGTGGTGGACATTAATGCACCAAATGTGGTTCTCAAATGAAGTGCCTGAAAATGCGCCTAATGTGGTTCTAAAATTGCAAATGCTTCCTACTCAGGGAGGGGGTTCTGAACGTATCATTTTAAAGAGTAACTAATATAATAATAATAATAATATTTTAAAGTCCACTCCAAATTGTAATTGAATTAAAGAAAAAATGAAAATTCTTTTTGCCAAATTGATCGTGAGCCCGGCAGCCACTGAGCAGCGCCAGATCGACGTTGCTCTATCCCCTATTGTTGAACGCCAAACAAGGTAGCAGCAACTCCCGTCTTTTAACGTCTTTTGGTGTGACGCGGCCGGGGTTCGAACCCACGACGTCCCGGTTGTGAGGCGGACGCTCTACTGACTGAGCCAACACCCCGTCTAATGATACCTTATTCATACCTCTGCGGTCCAAGATGACAATACATTTTTTCTTCTTCAAACATTATTTCACCAAGTTATGTCCGTCCAGTAAGAATTGCTGATTTATGTATATTAACTTTTGTCCACTTTCAATAGAAAAGGTGTCAATGTCAACTCAGACTGAAGATTGGTAATGATATTCCGGTCAATCGAATCACAACATTTGATTTCGACGATATGTCTGGGGACAAAGCCACTGGCGATGACCTAATTTCTTGTCGCCTTCTAAAAATGACGAAATAGGTGATTGCAGAATCGTTGACCGATATCACAAACAAACCTTTGACCACGAGACGTGTACCCAAATGGCTGGAAAGCAGCTCGAGTAATTCTAATTTTTAAAAGCTGGTGATATGTCTGATCAAAGCAATTACCGCCCAATTTATATTTTGTCTGTTGTTAGCAAAATCATAGAGAGGGCTGTACATCACCAACTTTATGAGTTCATTAACGATAATATTATCTTGAATTAATCAATCTGGGTTTCGAGCGAAGTATTCTACAACAGCACTCAGGAAGTTATTTATCTTGGAACATTGAAAACATAAAGATCTCTGATGTCGCTTTTATCGACCTTCGTAAGGCATTTGACACCGTTGATCACAATCTTGTATGAACAAAATTAACTACTATTGGATGTTCTCATGAATGTGTGAAATGGTTTAGATCCTATTTAACACGCCATAAACAGACTGTTCATTTTAATAGTGCTAAATCTAATCAATTAACAGTATTGATGAGCGTATACCACGGGGATCTATATTGGGTCCTTTATTATTTTTCAATCTATGTGAATACTTTACCAAGTTTTATATATGGTGGTAATGGGGATATGTATGCAGACGATTCCACTTTAACCGTAAATGGAAGCAGTGTAGCTTTGCACTGCAAGCATTATTGGTTTGGGATAATCAACTAAACACAAACAAAACATGGTCATGGTGATAGCTCCGCGTGCAAATTTAAACAAAATAACAACCTTCAACGTTTCTATAAATCGAAAGGTACTGATAAGAGTTAGCGTCGTCAACTTTCTTGGTACAATAATTGGTGAAGAATTGAATTGGCCCAAACACGTTGACAAAGTAACAAAAGTAATGCACAGAAACACCATCCTTTCAAAACGAGCTATTAAGGACTGTTTACCAATAACTTCTTTAAAGTTGTTGTGTAATGCACTCGTATCGCCTAACTTTGCTTATTGTTACTATGTGTTGTCAAATAGGTATCGGGAACAAACGGATAAACTCAAGAAAGTTCAAAATCGATCTGCTATGATAATTTCAAACAGAAGTTACGAGACTCCATCAAGTGAATTGATTAGCAATCTAAAATGAATGCCAATTGAGAAACGTCTTTAATTTCAGCGTGTAAATATGATGTACATGCAAACATAATTTGGCGCCATCCTATTTACAAGAAAGGTTTATTAAAGTAAGTGACATTCATCGTTATAATACGGGGCACGCAGTTGAAGGTTTTCTTTCTGTGCCAAAGTAGACAACAGAATGTTTTTTAAACATAGCCCCCTCGTTTCTTCAATTATAGCATGGAATCAGTTGGACAGATCATTGAAAATTACAAGCCTTTAATACATGTCTAAACAGTCTTGCAATATCGATTCCCATTAAGATAAAATGACAAAAGGAATTTTGTTTAGTGTCTTAACACAAGTTTTACTTTGATTCCTTTTTTTTTATTTTTTTATTTTTTTTTAGCTTTCTAGCACATTTCTCTTGTAAAAATCAAACGATTGGTTAATGATGCGCGTGCAGAACAACATGATAAAATTTGGTTTTCATATACATCCTCATTGCTAGGAAAATGTCACTTGATGCTTTTTATCAAGATTAAAAAAAGTTAATTGAGATGCTAGCTGTATCTCTTTTTAATGGAAATCCTCTGTCATTATATTTGGTAGGTATAAACATGTGTTCTTTCTTGCATTTCCTAAATCAATGAGGGTGGTCAACCTCAATCTCATTATGCGTATGTAATGGTGCAACAGAGACCTTATATATCGTGAGACAAGAAGTTGGTGGGCTAAAGATAATTTAAGGTTATCCTGTTGACTTATACAAGACAAGAAGTTGGTGGGCTAAAGATAATTTAAGGTTATCCTGTTGACTTATACAAGACAAGAAGTTGGTGGACTAAAGATAATTTAAGGTTATCCTGCTGACTTATACAAGACAAGAAGTTGGTGGGCTAAAGATAATTTAAGGTTATCCTGCTGACTTATACAAGACAAGAAGTTGGTGGGCTAAAGATAATTTAAGGTTATCCTGTTGACTTATACAAGACAAGAAGTTGGTGGGCTAAAGATAATTTAAGGTTATCCTGCTGACTTATACAAGACAAGAAGTTGGTGGGCTAACGATAATTTAAGGTTACCCTGCTGACTTATACAAGACAAGAAGTTGGTGGGCTAAAGATAATTTAAGGTTATCCTGTTGACTTATACAAGACAAGAAGTTGGTGGGCTAAAGATAATTTAAGGTTATCCTGCTGACTTATACAAGACAAGAAGTTGGATGGCTAAAGATAATTTAAGGTTACCCTGTTGACTTATACAAGACAATTAGTTGGTGGGCTAAAGATAATTTAAGGTTATCCTGTTGACTTATACATAACAATTAGTTGGTGGGCTAAAGATAATTTAAGGTTATCCTGTTGACTTATACAAGACAATTAGTTGGTGGGCTAAAGATAATTTAAGGTTATCCTGTTGACTTATACATAACAATTAGTTGGTGGGCTAAAGATAATTTAAGGTTATCCTGCTGACTTATACAAGACAAGAAGTTGGTGGGCTAAAGATAATTTAAGGTTATCCTGTTGACTTATACAAGACAAGAAGTTGGTGGGCTAAAGATAATTTAAGGTTATCCTGTTGACTTATACAAGACAAGAAGTTGGTGGGCTAAAGATAATTTAAGGTTATCCTGCTGACTTATACAAGACAAGAAGTTGGATGGCTAAAGATAATTTAAGGTTATCCTGTTGACTTATACAAGACAAGAAGTTGGTGGGCTAAAGATAATTTAAGGTTATCCTGTTGACTTATACAAGACAATTAGTTGGTGGGCTAAAGATAATTTAAGGTTATCCTGTTGACTTATACATAACAATTAGTTGGTGGGCTAAAGATAATTTAAGGTTACCCTGTTGACTTATACAAGACAATTAGTTGGTGGGCTAAAGATAATTTAAGGTTATCCTGTTGACTTATACATAACAATTAGTTGGTGGGCTAAAGATAATTTAAGGTTATCCTGCTGACTTATACATAACAATTAGTTGGTGGGCTAAAGATAATTTAAGGTTATCCTGCTGACTTATACAAGACAAGAAGTTGGTGGGCTAAAGATAATTTAAGGTTATCCTGTTGACTTATACAAGACAAGAAGTTGGTGGGCTAAAGATAATTTAAGGTTATCCTGCTGACTTATACAAGACAAGAAGTTGGATGGCTAAAGATAATTTAAGGTTATCCTGTTGACTTATACAAGACAATTAGTTGGTGGGCTAAAGATAATTTAAGGTTATCCTGTTGACTTATACATAACAATTAGTTGGTGGGCTAAAGATAATTTAAGGTTATCCTATTGACTTATACAAGACAATTAGTTGGTGGGCTAAAGATAATTTAGGTTATCCTGTTGACTTATACATAACAATTAGTTGGTGGGCTAAAGATAATTTAAGGTTATCCTGCTGACTTATACAAGACAAGAAGTTGGTGGGCTAAAGATAATTTAAGGTTATCCTGTTGACTTATACAAGACAAGAAGTTGGTGGGCTAAAGATAATTTAAGGTTATCCTGTTGACTTATACAAGACAAGAAGTTGGTGGGCTAAAGATAATTTAAGGTTATCCTGCTGACTTATACAAGACAAGAAGTTGGATGGCTAAAGATAATTTAAGGTTATCCTGTTGACTTATACAAGACAAGAAGTTGGTGGGCTAAAGATAATTTAAGGTTATCCTGTTGACTTATACATAACAATTAGTTGGTGGGCTAAAGATAATTTAAGGTTACCCTGTTGACTTATACAAGACAATTAGTTGGTGGGCTAAAGATAATTTAAGGTTATCCTGTTGACTTATACATAACAATTAGTTGGTGGGCTAAAGATAATTTAAGGTTATCCTGCTGACTTATACAAGACAAGAAGTTGGTGGGCTAAAGATAATTTAAGGTTATCCTGTTGACTTATACAAGACAAGAAGTTGGTGGGCTAAAGATAATTTAAGGTTATCATGTTGAGTTATACAAGACAAGAAGTTAGTGGGCTACAAGACAAGAAGTTGGTGGGCTAAACATAATTTAAGGTTATAACAAGGTCCTGTGAAAGCTTAGATACACATGATTCGCTTAAGCATGAATCTGAATTCAACATTTAAAATGATTTAAGAACAAAGTAACACGTGTATAATAATCCTTGACCCATTACAATCAGTGCATCATCCTGCACAAGGGCAATTAGACGGCACTGTTTAAAAACCAGTTTGCTCAGTCACCCGTTGCGAAAAATTATGAATAGGGTAACGTTAGATAGAATACAAGTTACACTGTACATGTTTTACAAACCTGTTTAACTCAAAGTCAGTAAAGACATTGCTGACAACAAGAGATTGGGGTCCAATCCACACGTCGTTTCTGAGGTTCTCTGTGTGATATCTTTGTAGAACTTCGGCTTTGTCTTCGGAGCGAGGTATTGCAAGTTGTCCCTTCTTGGCCTTGCATTTCTAGAAGGTAATGTTTGAATCTGATATTATTACCAAAAACTATATGTGGATAAAAGGGTTAAGCTTATAAAGCGTTTGGGGAGCTGCGAATTATATGTTTACTAGAAGAATGCTGAGGATGCCGTTGACAGATAGAGTGAGTAATGAGCAGAAGAGAGAGATGATATGTAAGAGATGGATTCAGCAAATGAGATTAATGGGATATCCGATACGAAAAGGAGGTTTGGGGAATGCTCAATTTCAATCTCAAATTTTGCCCTGAGCCAATCAAATGCCACGATTTCAGTAGCTACTAAGAGTTATTGATGACAACTTTTATTAAAACAGGGCCCTCACATTGATATCAAGGATGGGGGAAGAGGCGGGTAGTGGAAGGAGTGTAAGTATAGTCAGCAAAGATGGGGCAATTAGGATCGAGAGAGGAATGAAAGGCCAGGGAATGAAGCTGTTGGCAATGCAAGAAACAAGGAGTTATAACGCAAATAGGTAAAGAGAGATATATCTATATATATATATAGAGAGAGAGATAGACCAATAACTTACAGCGCTCATATATACAACAATTTTAACTCACTAACGGAATTTCTTGCATTTCTAGCTTATGTATGAAATAAATTTGTTCAAAAAGAAAGACATTACCAACAAATAAACAATGAAATAACAACATACAAACAAACAAAAATAAAATAACTTTTTATCAACAACAACAAAATAAATTAACTTTTTATTAACAATAACAATCAGTCAGAGTATCTTAGTATGACGGAATCACCTCACACACTGAATTGCTTACGCTATTACTATGTTTAATATACAGACAACTAAAAATAAGAGAGCGTTTTTGTATGAATCAATAAAGGTTATTGACTAGATTTCATAAATGTCGAGAAAAGAGCTATGTTTAAACAAGTTCAGATTGTTTCGAATTTACGATTACTCAATCATAGGCTCATTCACATACCACTGAACATTCAACAACCTTTGTGCACGGTAAATTCGATACAAGAATTAGTTGAGCCTCGTACTTGAATAACAAAGAACATATAAATGTAAGGTATAATACAACATAAATAAACAATAATTTTTTCATGTCAAAATGTTTTTTTACATAATATATGTACATATAATAACGAAACTTAATATTTCCATAACATATAACCATAAATTTAAAGTATTAACCGAACTATTCTGTTGGAAAAGTGCAGGAGACCGCAATCATAAGCAAAGCTTGACAAGGATGGCGGCCTAAAAAAAAAAAACAACAATTTTTTTTAAGGTAAACCTTAAAATGAAAAAGTGTTTAAACGATCTTTGTATATGAGTTGGTGAGGGTGTTGTGCAAATGTATATGTATATATATATATATATATATATATATATGTATTGTGTGTGTGTGTATATGTGTGTGTTTGCGCGCGCGTGTGTGTGTGTGCATGTGTACGCGAGCGTGCGTGGTTGTATGTGTTTGTAACGAATATATGAAAGTGCACGTAGCTCTGTGTGGTATAGAGGAGTGGAAACCATTAAACCAAGCCTCCCCTTACCCGCATCGTGTGTAAACGAAACATTAAAGGGATTGTTTAACAATGTTAAATCTGAGATACACGGTCCTACATGTTACCAGTGTCTGTGATATGGTGTAATATTGAAGCCCTAAAAAAATCGCGCTTCAAAATGATCAAGAAGTGCAAAAAAAAGTAAAAATCTTTGAGTGACAGGCTTTACCATACTCGTTTTCCCCAATAGACTAGTGTTATGAAAACCGTTCGGCGAACGGTTTTCGAAATTTGTAATTCCAATCATTAATATATTGATAATCAGACAGGCGATCGGCTTGCAAAAGTCATGGAGTACCTGACTGACCTAAAGGTTTATAATTATCATTGCAGCATGAGCTAAATCAAGGATTATTTCTAAAGGATCTAAGACAAAGTTACCGGATCCCTTTAAACCAAGCCTCCCCTTTCCCGCGTTGGTGTAAACGACTTACCCGTGCCTGTACTTCCCATATGTCGGCCTTGCTTATTATGAGGAAGCAATATTTCCCTTCAAAAAGTTCAAAGCCTCTTGGACATCTGAGGGTAGTTCCTTGGGTTGAACTTCTTTCCGCTATAGGGATGCGCAATAGAAAATAAAATGAAAAGAATATGACTCGTCAATTCTCTCCCCATATTTATAATATCACCAAAGTCAACGAAGGTCCGCGTATTACAACAGTTAGACTTTCTGTAGATAAGTACAAATATTTGGTTGTAAAGGTAGTTTAAGTCCAACTCCTGCGCTTCCTATTACACTGTAGCTAAGGAGCAACTATGAAATATTAGGCTGAATTCTCAGGGATCTGCCCGAATACAGGAATATAAATTGTGTACCATGAAAACACAGAGTAACACAACGAAAGACGGAAAACAAAAACGATAAGAACGCAGAGTAGCATAGCGAAAGACAGAAAGTGAAAAATGGTAAAAGTATATTAACAAAGAGTAACATAACGAATGTTAGAAAGGGAAAATGATAGGACGGTATATATAAGGAATATATCGGAAGGAAAAAAGGTAGGATATCAACACAAAGTAACAGAACGAAAGACAGAAAGTAAAAATGATATCAACACAGGGTGGCTTAGCGAAAGACAGAAAGTGAACAAGATAAAAGGATATCAACACAGAGCAACATAGCGAAAGACAGAACGCAAAAATGATAAAAGGATACCAACACAGAGTAACAAAATAAAGAAGTAGAAAGAGACAATGATAGCACGTTATATATAAAGAATATATCAGGGAAGGAAAAAAGAGAGGATATCAACACAGAGTAACACAACGAAAGACAGAAAGCAAAAACGATAACAACACAGAGTAACATAGCAAAAGACAGAAAGTGAACAAGATAAAAGGATATCAACACAGAGTAGCATAGCGAAAGACAGAAAGCGAAAGTGATAAAAGGATAGCAATACAGAACAACTTAACGAAATACAGGAAGAATAATGATAAAAGGGTAACGAAACAGAATAACATAAGGAAAGGTAGAAATCCAAACTTTTGAATTGATAAATACACAGAGTAACATAAAGGAAGGTGGAATTACAAAATGATAAAAAGATACCCACAGAGAACAACATATGTGAATGGACCTTGGCTTTTAACAAAATACATACCTTCGCAAGTGGGTGGATCTTTAGACCACTTTCCAGTGGGTGCGTTACCGTTAACTACACAGACGGTATTCAGTTCATCAGAGGTGGCGGTGTAGCCGGGTTTGCAGGAATAGGTATAATCCTGGTTAAGGTTCCTTCGTCCACCAGACACTGCTATTGTATTAGTACCTGCTCCAGGCTTAGCACAAGTGATCTCTGTATTGGTTAAAGAATAATGTGGAGGGCTCATGTAGTTCAGCAGTTCAATGAAGATACACAATAGAAATTAAAATTAAAAGAATATGCCTCATCAATTCTTTCCTCAAATTTATCATCTCACCAAACTGAACGAATGCCCGCGTATTTCAACAGTTAGACTATCTGAGGATAAGTACAAACATGTGGCTGTTAAAGGTAGTTTAAGTCCAATTCCTGCGCTTCCCATTACACTGTAGCTGAGGAACAACTATGAATTATTAGGCTGGAATCTCAGGGATCTGCCTAAACACATGAATAATTGTGCAGCGTAAAGACGGGTTGAAATTATGCTACATTTGCAGGTCCTTCCACGCAAAGGAATGAATCTACAAAAGAGGATTGAGACAACGTTAATTCTATTTCTCTACGTCACTAAAGGATTCATTTGTGAACCATGACGATATAGCCGAAATACAAAATTTCAATTCGAAATGAATACAAATGGGGAAAATAGAATCACTGTCTTTCCCGTTGGACGGACCTCCCGAATAGCACAGAGTAACTAGCGAAAGACAGAAAGTGAAAAATTATGAAAGTATATCAACACAGAGTAACATAACTAAAGTTAGAAAGCGAAAATGATAGCATGTTATATATAAAGAATATATCAGGGAAGGAAAAAAAGAAAGGATATCAACATAGAATAACACAACGAAAGACAGAAAGCAAAAAGGATAACAACACAGAGTAACATAGCGAAAGACAGAAAGCGAATGTGATAAAAGGATAACAATACAGAACAACTTAACGAAATACAGGAAGAATAATGATAAAAGGGTAACGAAACAGAATAACATAAGGAAAAGTAGAAATCCAAACTTTTGAATTGATAAATACACAGAGTAACATAAAGAAAGGTGTGGTATGTGGGTAAAAGGGGGAGAGTGGATGATTGGGTTCAGATACACTTACGATTGCAGGAGATTCCATCGCCTACGTATCCTTCATTGCATTCACACTCATAACCTCCTTCCGTGTTGTCACATTGTGCGTTAGGATCGCAGGGGTCCTGTCCGGACGTGCACTCATCGACGTCTAAAAATGATAATGATAATAATATTACTTCTACTAATACTCAGGCGCGCTGGAGGCAGCTTAAGAATTGGGGGGGGGGAGGGGAGATGGGCAAACATTCCAGAGGCTCACCTTTCAGGAGGATTGGCGTAATGAGCATAAACGTTTAGGGGGAAAAGAAAAATATGCATCACCATCACTTCTACATGTAACATGCAGGTCGAGCGGAACGTTTTTCAAAGCGGAGTATTCATGATAAAGGTAGAGCATAGCGAGTGGAGCGTAATTTGGGGCGGGATCCATGGAGTTTGCACTGGCGGAGGTCAAGGGAAGGAGCCCATGAAAGCTCAGGGGTAGGCATTAAATTATGGTCCGATAAGCATATTTAGATACCTTATTCGTGACATTGAGAGGTCATTAATTGGGGAGGGGGGTCCAGGGGGCTGAGTCCCCAGAAGCTCAGTGGTTTTAGGCATTTAATTACGGTTAGATGAGCAACCAGGGGCCCGGTTTGGCCTTGCGAGAGTGCAAAAATCGACTTGCAAAACTCGCTCGCACTCTTACAACAAACTTGCTGCAAGCTTGTAGGATTGAGGTCGGAATTCCAGTTGAAACCAGTAGGCAACTAGTACCAGTTGAAACCAGTAGGTTCAACACAGAGTAACATAGTAAAAGACAGAAAGCGAAAGCGACAAAAGGATAACCATACAGAACAACTTAACGAAATACAGGAAGAATAATGATAAAAGGGTAACGAAACAGAATAACATAAGGAAAGGTAGAAATCCAAACTTTTGAATTGATAAATACACAGAGTAACATAAAGGAAGGTGGAATTACAAAATGATAAAAAGATACCCACAGAGAACAACATATGTGAATGGACCTTGGCTTTTAACAAAATACGTACCTTCGCAAGTGGGTGGAGGTACAGACCACTTTCCAGTGGGTGCGTTACCGTTAACTACACAGACGGTATTCAGTTCATCAGAGGTGGCGGTGTAGCCGGGTTTGCAGGAATAGGTATAATCCTGGTTAAGGTTCCTTCGTCCACCAGACACTGCTATTGTATTAGTACCTGCTCCAGGCTTAGCACAAGTGATCGCTGTATTGGGTAAAGAATAATGTGGAGGGCTCATGTAGTTCAGCAGTTCAATGAAGATATACAATAGAAAATGAAATTAAACAAATATGCCTCATCAATTCTTTCCTCAAATTTATTATCTCACCAAACTAAACGAATGCCCGCGTATTTCAACAGTTAGTCTTTTTGTGGATAAGTACAACTATGTGGCTATAAAAGCAGTTAAGTCCAATCCTGCCATGCCTATTACACTTTAACTAAGGAACAACTATGAAATATTAGGCTAAATTCTCATGGATCTGCCCAAACACATGAATAATGGTGCACCATGAAGACGGGTTGAAATTTTGCTACATGTGCATGTCCTTCCACGCAAAGGAATGAATCTACAAAAGAGAATTGAGACAACCTTCCTTTTTTCTTTACGTCACTAAAGGATTCATTTGTGGACCATGACAAGATAGCCGAAATACACAATTTAAATTTGAAAAGAATACACATGGGGAAAACAAAAGAATCACTATGTCTTCCCCATTGTACTTACCTCCCGAATAATATAGAGTAAACTAGCGCAAGACAGAAAGTGAAAATGATAAAAGTATATCAACACAGAGTTACATAACTAAAGTTAGAAAGGGAAAATGATATGACGGTAAATATAAAGAATATATCAGGGAAAGAAAACAGAGAGGATATCAACACAAAGTAACAGAACGAGAGACAGAAAGTAAAAACGATAACAACACAGAGTAACATAGCGAAAGACAGAAAGCCCAAAGCCCTCAAAGATAGGTTTTTATATAAATTGGATCAATTTCACAAATGGTCCCAAGTTTTAATTTAAAAAAAAAATGTTATTAGATCAAAATGTTGCACTCATTATATCGAATCACGTTTTTCTCACGAAGATTAATGCAATGTTTTCAAAATTTGGTAACATAAAACAAAAAAGTATACCCAGATGTTGTGTCCGGACAGGTTAAAACAGCAATTTGAAGAAGTTTACAGGTAATATTTCATCCGATGCATATGATTTTAATTCTGATGATATACAGTCATTTACAGGGTCTCCGATATTAAAGCCTTACTTCACTACTTATAGCTACTTGCGCCCTCTATATAGCAAACAATGCCTTATCGGTGACCGTTGGTCCCCCATGGTCTCCTTTTCTATAGTTGATTTGATGACATAACCACCTGTCAGGGACCATGCAGGGAGGTCTAATCCCTCCTGGCCAAACTAGTGCAGATAGGCTTTATAGTCTGCTATTAGGTTAGGTGACTATTTAATAAACTCATATGCATGTATATAATCTACTCACCTTTGCATTCTGGCATATTTTCCCAAAAACAACTATTTTTTCCAAGTTCCTCGGGACCCCCATCTGCGTCCTTGAAATTCACTCTGGATTTGCACGTGATTGGACCTGGATCACCGACTGACGCGAAACCATCATTACAGGTGACTGTAGCTTCACTGCCGATCAAGAGAGATTCACTGGTCATCTTACCGTTTTCAATGTTTTCAACAGAACATCTCCTTTCTGCCATATAAAAGAGAAAACATCAAATTGTAACTAGAGGTGGTACATTGCTACATGGACATGGTTATTTCATATATGTATAAATCATGTATCAATATGCACACTGTCGCTCATATATTTTTTTTACCCCAATTTATGGAATTATTTTGATAATTTTGATTATGATTTATTCTCTAAACTTTATTTTTTTACCAAGAAATTTCACATCAAAGTTACAGATATATTTTACAGAGGAACCTGCGGCTCATAAAACATAAAACAAACCCCACGAAAATGGGATACTTATTTTGCATTTCCTCTTGATAAACTAAACGTTACCCTTTATTTACTTGTTTATAGGCAAAATGGGGTCAAAATTTGTGGAAAATGTTTTTGAAAGTCCGCGAATAGGGGGTCATTTTCGACTCCGCTAACGATCAGGCGTTTAATATCGCTTGAATATTAAAGAACTGTAGTACCAAAAGTTAATCACAACACAATTAGGCCTCTTGCAGATTTGGCGAGGCAACACAGCGGTGTTTATTTTTAGATGACATAAAGTGTACAACAACGTCACTTTTCTGTATTTAAATATCACAGAGCTACGTGAATACACGCAGTTGCCATTCTACTGTATTTCATTAATGGTCTTTAAACATAAGCATAACAAATTACCATATAATTATGTCTCTATTATTAAATGTAAAACAGAAATGCATAATTATAATACCAGAAATCCAGAAAATTACTATGTCGAAAAATGTAAAAATACAGCATCATCTTTTTCTTTCAAATCAAAAGGACCGTCAACATGGAACTCTCTTCCTCATTATATTAAAACAATTTCGTTTCTTAATTCTTTTAAATCAAAACTTAAGTTTTTTTTATTCACATACTCTACAAAATAATTAATCCATCCTAACTTTTTTTAACTTTTATAACTTTTAAACTTTTTTAACTTTTAAACTTTTTTTGCCATAATGTCACTATGCTTTTCTAATTCTTTTTCAATAAAATTTTTGGTATTTTAATAAGCTGGGAATTGCCTCGATAGAACCTTTATTTGGTTCTTTTGCAATTTCCATTTCATGTTCATTATCTATTTCCTTGATTTCTTACTCTTGTCTTTACTTCTCTTTTTAATTATTATTATTATTTAAGGAAATATGTTAATATTTGTACAATGTTTTTCAATGTACTTTTTTTAAATGGACTTGAATAAAATAAAATTGAATTGAATTGAATTAAATTCGTTTACACATTTTTATCCCCTGAGGTTTAACGTGTCATATCTGAACAAGCATTTACACATTGGAAAAAACAATTCTGTGGTAAAGAGACATTGCTTGACAGTAGGACTATTACGGCGCCCTTGTTAAGCAAATTACATGATAGGAATATGGTATACATCCCCTGTGACAAATACGAATAATAGCTTACACTACACCAGGGGCGTCAATCCTTTTAAAAAATATGTTGGTGGGGGGGGGGACACAATGGTGTCAAATATGAAGTGGCGTGTTACAGGGTTGTGTCTGAGGGGGGATGGGGCCCACTCAGAAGTCGAAAGAAAATTGAATTTTCAAACTCATTTTGCGCGATTTGGTGCATGCTTTTTTAGTAATATTTGACTGAAAATCATTGACAAGATTCCAATGAACTTTTTCTTTAAAAGAGAAATTTTCTATGTCACTATTACAAAGACTTGGAGACATAACCATTTGCTATGCAAGCTTTATTATTGTCATTTTTGTGTGAAACGATTCCATGGAGTATCTTGATTACAAAAGTTAGGTTTAAGATAAGTTCTTACATGAACCTGTCTTGTTATTCACTATCGCTAACATAACGTTTTGGTACTTTATTTTGGTATATTTTAAGATATTTATTTCATAATTTTCGTCTAATATTGAATGTCCATCCATCGTGATACTGTGTAAGGCAAACAAAAGAGGCAACTTGTAAGTCATGGCTATAAGCTGTTAAAATGAAACTATATACAATATTATATTAAGTATAAATAAAATGTATGTCAGTGAGTAATAAGTGAACATCTAGATATTGATGATTATGAGAACTCTTAAAAATCTCACAATAATATACAAGGTAACATTCTATTTACCATACCTGTTAGTATGATAACATTCCATTGATCATCAATGAAATGTCTACAAATTGCCCAGTCCCTCTCATATTAACGATAAGGAAAAAAAATCTTAAATTTACACATCTTCACTTGAAATGAAGTATGACATATCTCGTGATTAGTGAATCCAACATTTCAGTAAGTCGAAATGTTACAACTCGGCGATAATCATGTGTTATGCTTGAAATCAGAGAGTTTTAGGTATATAATGTTTAAAGTTGGCAACAGAAATATCTTTCTTTTAATGCAACAGTGTCTGAAATAATGCCTATGAAACACAAATATCATCGATCTTGTCGAAAGGTAAAACAAAAATGAATGGAAAAAAAACACAGCAATGGTTATGAAACTTTAGACTGGTTGTCAATAAAGGTATTTTAAATCTTATTTTCCTGGCGTCGGTCTAACGCAAAATGGTTATGCAACAAAGTTAGATGGATAGGACATTAAATGGAGGCCCCATGTAGAGAAGAGTCACTACCTTTGCACGCTAAGAACCCACTGCACTATTCGTATAGGAGTAGGGGAAAACCCCGGTGTAGTGGTCCACCTGCACACAACCCCAGTACAAGTTAGCGACATGCGGAATACCGCCCTGCTGACTCCAAATTCAGAAGATTCAGAAGATTCAACAATCAAATTCTGATTATACCAACCGTATATAATTCTCTGTCCTTTCTACTTCTCATGCATCTGGTATATTTTGTAATGGTTCTAAATCAGAATTTATTGGCCCGAATTTACAAAGGAGGTTTGAATGGGGTATTGGAGAAGTTTACAATCAGTTTGAAAATGTCAATTTAACACTGAACAATATACATTTCAAATCGAATTAATGTTAATCAATTAAAAATAACACTATCCACAATAGTAAGAAAATAATATAATAATAGTAATAATAATAATAATAATTAAAAAAATTAAATAATAATAATAATAACAACAATAATTAATGACAAAGTTGATGGAAGCAATTGAAGAAAAAAAGGAAAGTTCTTGGCACCTGTCCAGTAAACGGATATCTGAATTTATAGAATTACTGAAAATATCCTTGATATCAATTTAATAATTTGATGAAACACAAAAAAGAGAAACATAAAGTTTAATAATATTGAACTCATAACATGCTTTGTGCACATAATTAAATTAATGAGAACAAATCATTATTTGTAAACAGCATTTTTCTAAGTTTAAACGTGTTTGTACATTATTGGAGTTAAAAAGCTGATCCATTTTCAGTTTTTTCGGTCTTTCAATACATTTGTTTATCGATGAAAAACTGTCTGAACGAATGGCAGGACATACAAACAAGTAATGAAACTCATCCCCAAGTGACTACAAATTACACAGCGTACATAACTTCATTTTTTCCTGGAAGTATTTGAATATCTACCAGCTACAATCGGCAGGTAATGATTGCCACAGCGAAAACGATTTAATATTGTCCGATCTCTTCTAATGAGATCGATTAAGTATCGTTCTAAACATAAAGAATGTTTGAAGATTCGCATTATCTTACAAACAAGCAGACCAATACTGGGCACGGGAATCGTTCAATCGCCCTTCCAATTGGTTTAACCCAATCACAACTAATATTTTCACAAATTTCCCATGAATTAGACCTCCCCATATTTTCCAGAGTCAGCTTGATTTTTTGTTAACCAAGGTACCTGATAGATATTGTGCTCAAAGAGTAATTTTAAGATAATATACACCTTACCAGACAATTAATTTTGTCCACTATATACAATCCTACACCAGAAGCTTATCATTCTGCTTTCGATATATTTCTCAAGTTTAAGCCTCCCCAATTCACCAAGTACCATACAATTTGCCGTTGTTTTGCTCACATACATGAATTGCTTACAACATTTCATGTGGAAATTTCAAGATAATGCAGCACTTCAAATCTCCATATCTCACTTCCATAGAGCAGAATGGCAACACAAGTTGATCAAGTAATTCCAGGAGGTTATAAATAGGTAAGTGCAGTTGGTAAGGTTGAGATAACAGACTATACATTGCTCGTCTAGCTTGATTGAGTTGCTTAATTTGTTTTTATAGTTACATGTAATAAAGTACTTCCAAGGTAGACGTATTCACTAACTACTTCTACAATATCATAAACAAATTTAAATATAGTAATATAGGAACATATTTCTTCAATTTCGCTATACGGCCATTCTTGAACTGATTGATAGCAATGATAAATATATCAATTTAGAATAGCCATATACTTTCATTAATTGAATTTTCCCCATTAATGTTAAATCACCATGCTTCCACCACGTTTTTTTTTTTTTTTTTTTTATCTTGCTCAATATTTCTTTATAATTCATTTTTTCTTTGATATCTTCGTGTATTGAAAAATAAATCCTTTTATTTTAACAAACGGAAATGTATGAGTGAATAATTGTGGACCTACGGGTAAAATGAATGTCTTGCCCTTGTTTAACTTTAATCCTGAAATGCTATAAAACATTCAATAATTTGTTTAATTTCCTTAAATGAATTCGAATCTTTAATGAAAAGCGTTATATCGTATGCGTACAGAACTTGGGTTGTTTCTGTATTTCCAAAACTGATTCCTTTTATCTGATGACTATTATTCATCATATATGAGCTAAAATTTCAATGCACAAATCAAATAAATAAGGAGAGAGGGGATCTCTCTGCCTTATTCCTCTTTCAACCTTGACATAACCTGTTGATGTGTATCCATTTATAACACAATTTTCTGCTTTAGTAGAGGGGTGCGTTCACGCGATTTTTCGAAGCTAGAATCACAAACATGAATCACAAATCAAAACGCCGTTACAAAAACAAGGTCACTGCGGGAAAGCGTTCAAGCGATTTTCCATTAACGCTGATTCTAGCTCATTTCGAGCCCAGCCACTGCGCATCACACTGCGCAGTTTGACCCAGGAAGTATAGGTCAACTTCGGCGCGAGCTTTCTGGAATTGTTTACGGCCGACTGTCGACTGCTGTTTTGTGCATAGATCGCAATAATAAAACAAAGAATGAGAAGGTGATAGAAGGAAGAAACAAAGAATAACATAAGAAAAGACAGGAAGAGAAAGTCGATAGAATGATTAAAACAAAAAATAACGGAAGAGAAAGTGAATGTGATATAAGAAAGGACAGACAGAGAAAGTGATAGAAGGAAGAAACAAGGAATAACACAAGAAAAGACAGAAAGAGAAAGTCGATAGAATGATTAAAACAAAGAATAACATAAGAGAAAGTGATAGAAGGAAGAAACAAAGAATAACATAAGGAAAGACAGAAAGAGGAAGTGATAGAATGATTAAAACAAAGAATTACATAAGAAAATGGGATAGAAGCAAACAACAAAGAATAACATAAGAATAGAAGGAAGAAACAAAGAATAAAATAAGGAAAGACAGAAAGAGAAAATGATAGAATGATTAAAACAAAGAATAAATAAGAGAAAGTGATAGAATTATAAAAACAAAGAATAACATAAGAGAAGGTGATAGAAGGAAGAAACAAAGAATAATATAAGGAAAGACAGAAAGAGAAAGTGATAGAATGATTAAAACAAAGAATTACATAAGAAAATGGGATAGAAGCAAACAACAAAGAATAACATAAGAATAGAAGGAAGAAACAAAGAATAACAAAAGAGAAAGTGATAGATTTATAAAAACAAAAAATAACAAAAGAAAATGTGATAGAAGCAAAAAACAAAGAATAACATAAGAATAGAAGGAAGAAACAAAGAATAACATGAGGAAAGACATAAAGAGAAAATGATAGAATGATTAAAACAAAGAATAACATAAGAGAAAGTGATATATTTATAAAAACAAAGAATAACATAAGAAAAGGTGATAGAAGGAAAAAACAAAGAATAATATAAGATTAGAAGGAAGAAACAAAGAGAAAATTATAGAAGGAAAACAAGGAATAACATAACGGAACAGGCCACGATAAAGAGCATGGTATAGTGAACGCAAATTGCATGAAAAGCAGGCGCGCGGTTTTTGCCCAAACCGGAACAGGCCACGAAAATGACGCCATAGAATCATGATTGAGAATTCCGTTCGTTCAATCGAATTTTAGCGACCATGATTCTGCAGAATCATTATACAAAACGCATCTTTTTCAGCGTTTCATGTTTGTGTTTTTAAACACGTTTATTTTTACGACCGACGATAAAATTGCTTGAACGGAACGTGTCTTAAACTAAACGTCTTTAAATATCGTGATTCTAGGGTTAAAAAGTGTCGATTAAACGCACCCTAAGAAATATTAATCCATTTACAAAACCTTGGTCCAAAATTAAATGATTTTAAAACCTTATGTAAAAATAAATGTTAAACAAAATCAAATGGCTACCCAAAAAGCGTGTTCTCTGTAAAAGAAGTTTGACATGACGTCTATTATTCGTATCGCTTCTTCAATGTTCCTAACCTTAACACATCCCAACTGATCTAAACCAACAATTGCAGGTAAAACTTATTGTATTCTCTTTGAAAGTATCTTAGATAGAATTTTATAATCTACATTTAGCAACGAAATCGGTCTGTAATTCTTAATAAGCTCCAGATCTTTGCCATCTTTGTGTATCAATGTAATAACTGCTTACCTTTGAGAGGCTGATAATTCCCCTTTAAGAGCTTCATTTAAAGAACTAGAACTCCAATTACTGGCCCAAATTTCTGATAAAATCCTACACATTTCCCGGAGATTTGTTAAGTTCTATATCTTTTAGTATTTCTATGGCACATTCCCTTTCTACGATCGTTTCATAACTTTCGTTCAGACAGAAAATTGTCTGTCGATAAATATTTAATTGAAAGACCAAATACACTGAAAATAATTCAGCTTTTTAACTCCACTAATATACAAACCCTATTAGACTTAGTAAAATGCTGTTGGCAAATGATACTTTGTTCTCATTAATTGAATTATGTGCACAAAACATGTTATGAGTTCAATATCAACTTTATGTTTCTCTTTTTTGCCTTATATCAAATTATTAAATTGATATCAAGAATTTTTTTCAGTAATTCTATAAATTCAGATATCAATTTACTGGTGCCAGTAACTTTTTGTCATTATTTATTGTTATATTGTTAATATCATTATCGTTTTGTTTTTTAATTATTAGTAGTATTACTATTATTATAATTAGAAATAATATTGTTATTACAATTATTATCACTATTACCATTATCATCATAATTTTTTCCACTATTGTCGATAGTGTTATTTTTATTGATTAAAGGGAAAGTTGAGTTCTTGTTTCAGACCGCAAATACCTTCAAAGTGCATGGTTATTGCTCTTGTTCTTATTTATGACATTCCTAGTGCTCTTTAAGGAACTAAAATTGCTAGGACGGTCATTTTAGACCCCCAAATTTGTGAAATTGAGCCAATACGATCATACCATTTCAGCTCCTCTTTAAATAAAACCGTGACCGTAAATTCGTCGCTGTTTTCACGAAGTGACGGTAGTGAAAAAAAATTGCATTCACTTTGCGTTACGATTTCCCTCACTACCGTCACTTCGTGAAAATAGGGACGAATTATTCAGTTAGTTAATAATCATAATAATTGGGCCGGCTGGCTGTGCGTATTATAACCAACATGAAAAAGCCAACAAAAAGCCAACATCGGCATTGGCTGGAATAAAATGTATAAGGCTTTATCTCGTTTTTTCAACTGCTGGTTCAAATTATCAAATATTTGTGGAGCACCCCACGTATTAGAAATCGTTATATTTATGGATATTTCAGCCGTCTCTGAACCGATTTTGATCAAACAAAGATGATTTTGTCATTTAATTTGTATGTTCTTTCAAATTTAACACTCAGTTTTTCCTTATCTCACAAACATTATTTTGTGTAGCGCCCTCTGCAACAAAACTCAACTATTAAAGTTACTATGTCTAATTTGCAGGCCAAAAAAATGAAAAAGTTAAATTCCAACTGCATTTGAATTATAATACTAATTTAGAACTTCCCTAAAAAAGGTGGGGCTTGAAAATGTCTTCAAGTGGGAAAATAACGACTATTAGTTGTCAAATCGACTTTAGGGCTATAGAGCCCAAAAGTAATAGTCTTGATTTTCAGACAATTGTACCGAATGGTCATACGTTTTATGCTGCGCAAAGTTTCAATCAGTTTAATCGTGGCCATCACAAAAGGTGGGTTATTGATGTAGACAAATGCTCATGAACACTTTAACTCTTTTCATATATGTTATTACCAAAGAAGAAAAAAGCCAGTCAGTCACTCAATGGTGTATGACAGTGAAGTCTAGCAAGTAAACGGGCTTCCTTGCATAATTTGAATATGAGGACACTACTAACGTTTAAATTTCACAGATAGGGTATGCATGACATATTCATAATTCCTGCAAAGTTCTACAGGATTTGAGGTTGGCTGCAAAAGGGACATAGTACCTTTAATTCGATTTGAAGTGTATATTGTACGATGTTAAATTGACAAATTCAAACTGATTGTAAACTTCCCCAATACCCCAATGTGACGTGACATGAGAATAAATAGTCATTGTCATTGCTCTAATTTCAAACCTGGCCATGGGTTATGTAAATGTTAATTAGGCCTATTGGGACAAACACAAAATGTGGAATGTTGTCTCGAAAGGGTTTACTCACCAACGACGGTCAGGACATACTTGTAGGGGCAGCATGCACCGCCTTCACCACAAGCCTCGCATTTAATATCGCATACGCCGGGCGTAACCTTCAGTGTTTTTCCTTCAACGTAGGCACCACAATTGAGCGATACGACCTTTCCACTGGTTTCTGTCCATTGTGTTAGCTGGACCTCTTTGTATTCTGCGCCGGAAGTTAAGTAGTAAAACTCGTCATCATGGGAAATGACGGGACACACCGCTGCGTAAAATAAGAAGTGAAATTTGGTTACTTTTTGGCGGACCCTTTGTATTTTTTTCGTTTTGTTTTAGTAAGATCTCGAAGTCAGTGTCTTTTTTCCAGGAAGAGGGGTCATGGTTTAGTGGATACGTCAGGGACTGTGGTACGTTTGGTTCGCGGTTCGAGCCTAGTCTGCAGGCACAAACCCTGGTCAGTCGTAAAAGTAAGTCTGCACTATAAGACTACCATAGGCCATGTACTGTAGCTGCTCACCATTAGGTAGCTGGGCTAGGCTTCTCTCAAGGAACAATTATTTTTTTTTTGGATAAAGTGTCAAATTAGGGTCTGTGCTTGCAGACTAGTTCGAGCCCGCGCTTCGACACGAACGTCCTTTGGCAAGTCATTAGTCTACATTTGCATTCTTTAGTAGGAATTATATACCTCACTTAAGAAATCCAGCCATCTGATTGGTCGTAATTGCATTCATAAACTTTAACTATTCCTGTAAAATTCCCGGTAAAATTCCAAACCCATGTAATAGTTCTAAAAAAATAGTTCTAAAATCCCAGTAACCATGGTTACCGGGAAAATAGTTCAGTCTTGGTGAAATACTCATAGGTTTACATGTTAAAAACTGGTCTTTGCGATGGAGGATACCATGGGTGTCTATCCGGGGGGGGGGGGGGATGGGGGGATACCCCCCCCCCCCCCAATATTTCAGGTGGGGGGATGGCCTGTACAATCATCCCCCCCCCCAATAATTCACCATCAAAAACAAACAAAAAAAATGAAGAGAAAAATTAAGGATGAGAGCCCGATGAGAGTAGTTAATGGTTACTACTCGCAAGATGACCATCAATATACACATTTTGCTATCTCATTTTCATAATACATACATATATACGAAGTAAATAAGAGAACCGTATATGAGACAAGAATAAATTGAATTCTCGCTCATACGGCTTCATCAGGAATTGATGAATTTATTCAATTTGTTCAATCAACAGCATCATAGAAATGCAGTGCGTGAAATGCAAAGACGCAGCGTCAAAAAAGCAACGAGCTAAATGTTAAGCGCGAAGCGAAAAAATAGCTATCTGCAATGCACATCAGACAATCCTGGACAGTGTAAACATAGATGAACTCTGTGACGATTTCTTGATGAGATCGGAGACAAGGAGAAAGATTTTCGGACATTAGTATGACTTATAAAATAGTTCTCTAATTGTTATGTTGTTTCCGTTCACCCTTTTTAAAATTCACGTCATTGTATCTTTAATTTTGTTTTTTTCACTCATTTTATTTCCTGATATTTCTTAAAAGATTTTTCATTTTTGGAGAAAGATTATTAAGTCACAACTTATTTGTAACACAAATTATTTTCAGTGGGGAAACTGAATTCAGACAAGGATTAATATAGAGAACAGTACAACGAATCGTCTTCTTTCTCTAATAATTCAGTGAAAAGGGCAAAGCTGTTAGGGGGCAACTGAATTCAGACGTGGATTAAGCGTAATAATCAAATGAAACGTCAGAGTACACGATACAACGAAGCGTCTTCTTTTACGAATAATTTAATGAAACGTGAAAGCTTCCGCGCTAAGCGCGGAATGGGCGAAAATGAATACAGACAAGGATTAAGAGTAATAATTAATTGAAACGTTAAAGCTTCTGCGCTTCGCGCGGTAGGGGGGAAACTGAGTTCATGAAGGACACGATACAACAAATCGTCTTCTTTCACTAATGTGAAAGCTTCCGCGCTTCGCGCAGGAATGGGCGAAAATGAATTCAGACAAGGATTAAGAGTCGAGAATGGTACATAGGATCGTCTTCTTTCTTTAATCATCTAATGAAACATCAGAGCTTCCGCGCTACGCACGGGGAAGGGGGAATTTGATTCAAACATTAAGGAGTAAGAGTCGAGAATGGTACATCGAATCGTCTTCTTTCTTTAATAATCTGATGAAACGTCAGAGCTTCCGCGCTACGCGCGGAGGAAGAGGAACTTGATTCAAACAAGGATTAAGAGTCGAGAACGGTCCAACGAATCGTCTTCTTTCTCTTATAATTTAGTGAAACGTCAAAGCTTCCGCGCTTTGCGCGGTAGGGGAGAAACTGAATTCATGAAGGACACGATACAACAAATCGTCTTCTTTCTCTAATGTGAAAGCTTCCGCGCTTCGCGCAGGAATGGGCGAAAATGAATTCAGACAAGGATTAAGAGTTGAGAATGGTACATCGAATCGTCTTCTGTCTTTAATAATCTAATGAAACGTCGGGGCTTCCGCGCTACGCGCGGAGGAAGGGGAACTTGATTCAAACAAGGATTAAGAGTCGAGAACGGTCCAACGAATCGTCTTCTTTCTCTAATAATTTAGTGAAACGTCAAAGCTTCCGCGCTTCGCGGGGGGAACTCCCCCTCCCTGCACGCAACCCCCTAGGGACCGCGCTTCGCGTGCTCACTACCGCCCCCTAAAATGAAATCCTTGGGAGGGGTGCAACTTGCCACACGCTTCTACCTCTTGATTGCTTTGAACCATTGCCGAAAATATTTTGGCACCTATCATCCCCCCCCCCCCCCAACCACGGATACAAATCGACACCCTTGGAGGATACCGTACGTGTGCGAAGAATTGGTCGGTAATTTCAATACAATTGAATCTCGATCGATCTTACCGACAATTTTATCTTGCATTGTTGACATGAAGACGAAAATAAACTTCCAAAAACATCATCTGCCGATAGATCTTGATCTAAGTTCGTGCCAATGCATTGCAAAAGTTGAAGCATCCAGCACGCGAAGCCGTTTTCAATCCATTTTAATGTAAACATCAGAGAAAACTGCTTAGTATGATATCAGTGTGCGATGGCCGAGCGGTCTAAGGCGATAATTTTAGTTACATCAACGTTTGAACGCAAGAGATCGAATCCCGTCTTCGACAAAAGTTGTTTTATTTTTCATTTTTTAGTCTACTCTCATAAAAAAACAACCGTGTTTTGAGTTGAACGAATAGCTTTTTTTAATACATTTTCTTATATTTGGTATATTCCTTTTCAATACTACCAAATTTGTCAATCTTCCTCAGACTTTTTAGATGAAATACTGAGCCCTTAACCGAGCACAATTTGCATTAAACAATTGTTTCCCATTTCGAACAGATTTACAAGGCTTCCACTTACGCGGTTTATGATTTCCATGGATTTTTACCATTCCGCTTTTGGGGCCGCCGCAAGGTAAATATTATTTAATAAACAAACTACGTAATATCGATTAATTCCTGATCAACCTGAATGTCGAGACCCTCCAGACGATCAACGGCATAATGTATATTTTCAACTAGACTTTGATCGATGTTATTAATAAAATCTTTAGAAGAATTGACACGCCTTTTATTTTTCGTTGTTGATCTCGAATTTCTTATACCTTTTTTCACTTTTACGTTTTTCATACCTGCTTTCGATATTTCATCTGAATACCATGGGATTATGTTTATCAGACATAAAGGGGATCATATACATCAAACGCACAATATTATTATTGAGAACATGAAATCATTCGAGCGATGCGGCACAATAATCAAATTTTATTTGTGTTAGCACATGTAACATCCCCTTGTTTATCCACGCCTACTCGACCATGTGCAATGATCAGTTTAAAATGTCTACAAATTTTTAAAAACATCTTGCCGTGGTTATTAATTACAGTATCGCTGTTGCATCTTCTCAAAACTCATGTTAGAAGTCTGAAAATTCACAGTATCGATATAATCGTTATCAGAATCTGTCGCTGTTTTCACGAAGTGACGGTAGTGAAAAAAATTGCATTTACTTTGCGTTACGATTTTCCTCACTACCGTCACTTCGTGAAAACAAATTCACGCAATCCTCATTTTCAGAATAACCGGAGATTTTATTTTCAATTTCTTGCATTAAAATCTCCTAAAATTCAAAATAGCATATTATGTAAACTTTTTAACATGAGAAAATAAGAACAATGTCATCAAACATAGACTCGTTGAAATATTTAGAATTTTCAGGGTAAATGTAAATAGCACCAAGTATAAAGGCAAATCCAAATGCCTTTTCGCTAAACTTTAACCAAAATACTGGTTCGGATTTAACCTGTTTAATAATTGACACAAAATTGAACATTTCTTTTCGTAGTAGAACATCAAGTCTACCAAGGTGCTTTGACTTGGTTTGTCTTTAAACAGGTATTTGAAGCCATCTGGTAAAATAGATTCATGAATATGAAGTGATATCAGTCTTGAGAGGGCGCTATACAGCATAAAGAGTTTATTATCTACAATTTCATCACTTTAGGCTCAACTTAAAACCGCAACATTGATCATTGAGTATTTTAAAATCGCTTATGCTTCCAAATTCATGACCCCATACAAAAGCTTTATAATACCTTTAATCCGCAATATAAGATGCGCTCAAGGTAAGGTATGCTTAATTTGGCACCTTGGTAGAAAAAGATCAAGCTGACTCTGGACAATAAGGGGGTGTCTAATGGGAAATTTGTGAAAATACTAGTTGTAATTAATGGGTCAAAAATTCTTTATGTTTAGAAAGATACTTAATCGATCTCATTAAAAGAGATCGGACAATTTTAAGTCGTTTTCGCTGTGGCAATCATTTTACCTGCCGATTGTAGCTGGTTGATATTCAAATACTCCCATGAAAATGAGATTATGAACGCTTTGCAATTTGCAATCACTTTGGGACGAGTTTCATTACTTGTTTGTATGCCCTGCCCAGGCGCGGATCCAGGATTTCTTGGGGGAGGGGGCCCAACTTTTTTTTCTTTGCTCCCGAAAATTTGAAAATCGCGCCGGCCGAAAATTCGCTTAGTGGGCGGGGGGGGGGGGGGGGGGGGGGGGGGGGGGGGGTAGTGAGCACAATTTTAAAATTTGGCGCCCAAGGGGGGGGGCCATCCCCCAAAATGGTTAAAATCACGTGTTTTTACACTTTTTTCCCCAGGGGAGGGGGGGGGGCCGGGCCGGGCCCCCGGCCCCCCTGGATCCGCCACTGGCTCTGCCTTTCGTTCAGACAGAAAATTGAAAGACCAAATACACTGAAAATGGGTCAGCTTTTTAAGTCCTGGCCATGTGTACAAACACGTTTAAACTTATTAAAATGCTGTTTACAAATAATGATTTGTTCTCATTAGTTTAATTATGTGCACAAAACATGTTATGAGTTCAATATTATTAAACTTTATGTTTCTCTTTTTTGTGTTTTATCAAATTATTACTTTGATATCAAGGATATTTTCAGTAATTCTATAAATTCAGATATCCGTTTACTGGACAGGTGCCAAGAACTTTCCTTTTTTTCTTCAATTGCTTCCATCAACTTTGTCATTAATTATTGTTGTTATTATTATTATCGTTCAAAAAATATTAGTAGTAGTATTATCTTTATAATTAAATATAATATTTTTATTACTATCATTATAATTATTATCATTATCATCATTATTTTTCTCACTATTGCCGATAGTGTTATTTTTATTGATTAAAGGGAAAGTTGAGTTCTTGTTTCAGACCACAAATACCTTCAAAGCTCATGGTTATTGCTCTTATTTTTATTTATGTCATTTCTAGTGCTCTGTTAGGACCTAAGATTGCTAGGAAGGTAATTATAGACCCCAAAATGTGTGAAAATTAGGCAATACGATCATACAAATTCAGCTCCACTTATAAAATTAAAAAACGGTGACCGTTAATCAATCAATCAGTTAATAATAATAAAATTTGGACCGGCTGGCTGTGCGTATTATAACCAACATGAAAAAGCCAACAAAAAGTCAACATCGGCATTGGCTGTGGAATTAATGTAGGCTACAAGGCTCTATCTCGTTTTTTTCAACTGCTGGGTCAAATTATCATTTTGTGGGGCTCCCCACATATTAGAAATCGTTATATTTATGGATATTTCAGCCGTCTCTGAACCGATTTTGATCAAACAAAGATGATTTTCAATTATTAAATATATTTGTGGCATTCCACCCAGTAAATAAGATCGATTGATCGATCTGTATCAATATTTCTCCCAGGAAGCATTACATTTATAATGTGATGTCCTATGGCGGACTAATGAATATTAATGAGTCAGAATTAATCAGGAGAGCTTAGGTATTTGTTTCTAGTTCATCGTGACTGTGCCATGGACCAGTGATGGCCTGGTGGTAGAGTCGCTGCCCGGCAAGCAGTAGATGGCAGGTTCAAATCCCGCTGGTTCCAAGATTTTTTCTGACTTGTGTTTTTTCAATACAGGTCGATCAATCGACCTTATTGATACAGATCGATCAATCGATCTTATTTACTGGGTGGAATGCCACAAATATATTTAATAATTGAAATTTCTCCCAGGAAGCATTACATTTATAAAAGATGATTTTGTCATTTAATTATATGTTCTTTCAAATTTAACACTCAGTTTTTCATTATCTCACAAAAATTATTGTGTGTAGCACCCTCTGCAATAAAACTCAACTATTAATTCGATTTGAATTGTATATTGTACAAATTCAAACTGATTGTAAACTTCCCCAATACCCCAATGTGGGCGACATGAGAATAAATTGTCATTGTCATTGTCATTGCTCTAATCTTAAACCTGGCCATGGGTTATGTAAATGTTAATTAGGCCTATTGGGTCAAACACAAAATGTGGAATGTTGTCTCGAAAGGGTTTACTCACCAACTTTGACGGTCAGGAGATACTTGTAGGTGCAGCATGCACCGCCCGCATTACAAGCCTCGCATTCAATATCGCATTCGCCGAGGGCGACCTCCAGTTCTTTTCCTGCAGTGTAGGGACCACAATTGAGCGATTCGACCTCTCCAGATTTTGTTTCCCATTCTGTTAGCGTGACAAGCATGGACGTCTGGTCGGAAGGCATGTAGCGAACCACGTCCTCATGGGAAATGACGGGACAGGCTGCGTAAAATAAAAAATGAAATCTGGTTACCTTTTTGCGGACTCTTTGTTTTTTTAATATTTTTTTTTAGTAAGATCTCGAAATCAATGTCTTTCTTCCAGGAAGAGGGGTCATATTAGTGGATAGGTCAGGGAATGTGTTCGAGCCCTGCGCTTCGACACGAACGTCCTTTGGCAAGACATTAGTTTACATTTGCCATTCTTCACCCAATGATTAGGAAATGGGTACCTAATAGGAACTATATATTTGTAATGTTTTTGGCGTCTTAAGGCATCTGAGCTAAAGCCAGGGTAATAATAATACTTTGTATGCCCCTTGAGCATCCGGCTTCTGGGAATGGATACGTGTGCGATTTGAGTGTAGCTATATACTATACTCCCTTCACACAAGACATTATTTCGATCGCGCAATACATGAATAGCTGCGTCATCAAGTCTGTTTAAAAAGATATTGGCACACTATTTAATCGTATTGTGAGTTTCAAGTTAGAAATATATGCATTTTTCTTTCCAAGTTAGTCAAACTGTTTTTTTTTATTATATTTTTTTGCCGTATCGAAATTAACCTTATTTGCAGCATTTCCTCAAATTTAGTCCAAGTAATCAGCCGCAAGCATATCAGTTACCCCTTTACACAGGGTGTGCATGGGGAGTGGCAAATGTTGAAAAAAGGTCTTGCCGTAAGCCTAGTTATGCCAGGTTGGTATTCAAACCCTAATTTGTGGAGGTGCTGTGGTCCAGTGGATACGTGGCAGGACTGTGAAGGGCAAGATTATGTCCCATTTGCAGTCCAAAAATTGAAAAATTTGAATTGAAAGATAATACTTATTGAGAACTTCCTTCAAAACGAAAGGGCTTGAAAATGTCTTTTTTTGTGGGAAAATAACGACTATTAGTAATTGTTGAATCGATTTTAGGAATCGTAATCATTTTAGTAGATATTCTGATTTTGCTACCCCGGTACCAAATGGTATATGTTTTGACCTGCGCAAAGTTTTAATCAGTTTAATTTTGGCCATTACAAGAAGTGGGTTATTGATATATAGACAAATGCTCATGTACACTATACAGTTCATTTTATGTATATGTAATTACCAAAGAAAAAACGAAGTCGGTCAGTCACTCAATAGTGTTTGACAATAAAGTCCAGAAAGTAAACAGGTTTCCTTGCATATTTTGAATACCAGATTACCGCTAATGTTTACATTTCACAAATAGGACAAACGTGACGTATAATACACAATTCCTGCAAATTTCTGCAGAATTTGATGTTGGCTGCAAAAGGGATACAGTACTTTTAAAATTCCTATCACAGCAGCTAATGTCCTCTGGCAATACATTAATCTACATTTACCACACTCCACCCAGTAAAAAAAAGTTTACCTCGCAGGAACTAATCATTAAATACATATATACATAATAGTAATTATAATGCAAACTAAGATTTATATCTAAACATTGAAGCCGAATTCAAACACCTTCCTTGAACATAAATCAAAATACAAACGTATTAACAACAATAAAACTCAGGAAAAATGATTTTCTTCGATTCACCTGAGACTCTTCCATACTGGAGGCCTATATCCCATGTATTCAAAGATTCAAATTGCAGTATTGTTATTATAATCTTATTTTATTAGGAAATTAACAATTAATCCGGAATATTGTTTCAAAAGAACGAAAAGGCATTTATACAATTAAATCATCCTATGTTGATTCCATCGCACAGACAGTACCAATTTAAGACAGGAAATAATATTCTTATCAGCTATATAATTGATTTTGTGGATGTGTGCCAAGTTTTATTTTCGGCATTCTATTCTGTACTTTTGATAGTCTACCAAGTATTCTTCAAGAGATGACCATGTCCCATTGCAATAATCCAAGAGTGCTGGGCAGACTAATGGAACAACGTAACATTTTCAAAAAGCTCATTTGGTAATACGGGTTAACAGATCGTCTCAAGAACCCGATTCGTTAAGAGACCTTTTTATCAAGCATTACGCCAACGTATTTAAATATATAAACTCTTTCAATCTGATTATCATAGAGAATTAATTATACATCACAAAATGTTCGAAGTCTGTGACGTGTACATAATAACATAAATCTGGCCTTCTTCGATTTAAGTGTCAGCTTTGAAGAAAAATGTAATATTTGTAGTCCGCGTTGCATATAATTTTGTAAATAATGTGCATTTTGCCCCTTGTGATCCATAAGTCCGCTGACTTGGTCAATATATAACAGATATCACTCTGCACAACGCATTCACAAACATCCACGCACACACCCACACACATCAAATTAGCAGAGAGAATCAGGACATTTGTAAATCATGTGTATTTTGCCCCTTGTAATCCACAAGTCCGCTGACTTGGGCAATATAAATATAAATGAATTTAACATAATGATACAAGGTTATTAGGCGCGGAATCTCCCTATTAGCCCTCGTAATAACTTTAATATATCATACAAAACTTCGTTTTCTGCTGAAAAAAACACACAACATTTGTCATACAATATTGTTTATAATTACTCAATATCATGGTACTTACGAAGAACAACATTTGCGTTCGTGCCCACGAACAGGGCTGCCAACATCAGCCCAATCACACTCCACATGCTGGCTTTGGTCCTGAACTTCTGCGTAGAATAAAATCGTCTTCGTTTTACGGCTGGTCTCGTCCAATAGTTAGGATGGAAGTGATGACTGGGTCTTAAGCAGTATACAATATCAAGGGATCCGAGAAGCAGAGAGAACGCAAAGGGTGTAACCACTCTCGTTCTAGTGGGACAGGTGCAGCCAATAGCAGTAAGTATACTAGGAAAGGGCGTAACACATACACCATAATTTCAAGCTATATCGAAAAAGCACGCACTAAATAGACAAAGGTGTTACAAAATTGTGAATATTTGACAGCTTTATCCAATAAAAACAAGCATTACAATCAACTCCATATTTGGTAGCGCTTTGAGTGATGTAAGCGTCAGAAACAGTGCTTCAGAAATCTGTATGGGTTTTATTTTGATTATTAACATCCGTAAGAGGCAATGATAAAAATAAAACACTTTCATTTACATATTTTCAGCTTTGTCCAATAAAAGCATTCATGCCGTACGAAAGGGCGCTACCTTCATTTGCATATCCGCCTAGTACAGCCAGTATATTTTAGGTAGTAATGACGTCTTTAATTGTATTTAAATAATGTAAAATGATGCAAGAGGGGTTTAGGGAGTTTGGAGTCTCTCTTTTCCATCTCTTCTTCGCCCTGGGTTTCGCTCATTCTGGGCTCACTCCCCATATACCAAAACCACGCATGAAGGGATGATATGGGGACTATGTCTTTTCATCCATTCCTCAGTCTGTGTAGGACTCAATTCCTTTCTGTCTTCGGGAGACTTCAATCTAGATCATGTCAAATAATGCCTCAAAACATATCTATATCGGCAAGTGTGAAAAATACACTTTTCATTGGAGGGGCCTGTGCTTTTGAACGTTCTTTAATCAGAAATGTCGCCATATAAACGGTGTAAATTATCAGTACCATCATCATCATCATCATCATCATCATTATCTTCATCAACATTACCCCCCCCCCCTCTTTAAAATGTTCTTCTCTTTTCATTTTCGCCATGATACGCATACCAGAAAATAAAATAATGAACATAACCGGATAGCACTAAATTAATATTTAAAAAAACCGGCGAGAATTCTACCTTATAACATTTTTTAAAACTAAAATCTTACCGATAGAGCTAACTATTGATTAACAATCTTTATCATTTCTCATCAGCATATCTATATACTACATCTTATATATTTGATATCAAAGCATGGATATTCAATATGATATGATATCATAACCGGGCATGGTGGCTCAGTGGTTAGAGCGCCCGCCTCATGAACGGGAGGTCGTGGGTTCGAACCCCGGCCGAGTCATACCAAAGACTTATAACAATGGGACCTTCTACCTTCTAGCTAGGCGCTCAGCATATTAGATTGGAGAAGGGTAGTAAGCCTAATAACATTATGTTATGCAGGGCCCGCTGGGAGAACAGCTTCATAACTGAAGTGGCTACCCTGGGTAAATAAACGTTATTATTATTATTATTTATCATAATCTACCCATATCATTATTATCATATAGTAATATCATATTGTTTTTTCATAATCATACCTTGTCACACTGTTACTATATCACATCGTATCTTTTCATATGATATGATATCATAATTAATATTATATCATATTCATATCGTATCTTTTCATATAAAACATTATCATAGCATTCTTGCATCACATGATATCGTCTCGTATAATAGATATTTTGTTATCATTTCGTGCAATGTTAAGTCAGGGGATATCACATGAATGCAATAACATAAAGATATCATATTTACATCATGATCATATTATGTAAAGCAATACCAATCATGTCGATCATAATTATCTCCTTTATATCATGATATTCATAACATTGTGAGGGTAAAGAGTAAAATTGATTTCTTCAATCGTTAAGAGTTTATTTTTACTGTACAAGTGTTGTCGTATTTATATCTCGCATTTATAATTTGAAAAGATGAATATAAATGTATTTATTCCTGTTATATTCTGGCCCGTCTCCTTGGTTCAGTGGTCAAGACATTGGCCGGCGGAGTCATTTTTCCGCATTCCCAATTAATTCCGAAAAGTGATGACAGCAACTAAAAGTATCTAGGAAATCAATGCACATGTATTTCCCTGGCGTTGGATTTCTGTTTCGTCTTCGATATTCTTTCTTTTTTCGAAATATTCTTTCAGCCTGAAATTCCTGCAAAATTCAAAACCATCTTATTTTATGAAATCGCAAGGATTTGTATTTCATTTTTTTAAAATCAGCATTAATAAGCTCTCTTAAAGTAGTAGGTTGGATAGAAATTGTATAATGAAAAAATATGCATCAGTATAAACAATTATATTGTGTCGAACAATCTTGACACTTCTATGGCGTGGGAAAGTGGTGTACCCTATTGTTCAGGGGAAAAACAAATCCTGATCTATAATTTGTTCCGTCAAATTATTGACGTTTGCATTTCTAGAGCAAGGTACGTGTCTCTTTCGATTAGAAGCCTTTTGATTATGAAAGACAGTGCGATCGTAAACAGACAGTAAGGTGGCAATTTAATTGTTTAGTAATACAAACGAACAATCTAATAACCAACAGATGGAGCGTTCTCTGTGATACAAATATTGTTGTATTAACAATAAATTCTGTCTGTGTGGGAGGCAACTCTCTCGCCCCCTTACTGTACCTTACTGTACCAGTGGCGGATGTGTATTTAGAAGATAGTGGCAATTAACAAAAAAGTTATTAACTAATTTCATATAGCCTTTCATTTTTTTTTCAAAGTGAATGCAGAAAAATCGGAGAAACATGCCCGTCTTTTAAAAATAGAAAAAATATAGATATAGGCCTAAGATATTTCTAGATGCTTCGGAGTAGAGAACACAGTAGATAATAGCAAAACTGATATCGGCGAACTGGTTGATCGATTGTGACCGTGTTTAACTCTCCCATTTCTAGGGCATGAAAGTATCAATATACATCTCTTCATTAATCTTTTATCGGATTGTTCTCAATTATGTTCACACATTGATACGAGCAATACCTGCATGCCTTCAACAAAAACATTAAAATTTCAAGTGAATTTTGACACCAACCCTTCCATAGCAATGCACGTAATTTACCACGTTTATGTCTGGAGCAAGTCTCAAGCAAATGAATGGGGGAGAGGTCCACCATTAAATATCCTGATCTTACGTTGTATCATTATTTAGCTAGGTTGTTTTTCAATTCAATGGATACCGCCACAGAAAACCAACAAATACAATTTACGAAGCGTTAATAAGTATCAGGGATTTCCATGTTAAACTATGCGATTACAGAACAGTGCTCTTCCCAATCTCACACTTATATTATACTTTCACTATGTAAATCCAAGCTAATAATTGCTTTAACAAATTACTGTGCAATGTTATGTTATTTTTAACAGTAAGGCACTATCAATCAATCACTTTAAAGTCCGTATATATTTTACAACGTATCAAATTTTAAATTATGCTTGTACACATCATATTTAATATCATTTTTCCTGATCTCATGTTGTCATTTCATACTTGTATCGTATTTTACCTGCACTGTGAAAGCATGTACAAATCAGTCTATGACTGTCATTCATGTCTTTAATAAACCTTGATTGAATTTAATTGAATTGATGTTTCCCAACAAAATCATCCTTTTCGATTGTAATTATCTTCTAGAATGTACTGTATACTGAAAGCCAGCAATAATATTGGTCGATTCCAACTCCCTGGTAAAACGTGTAAAGATGTCATGAGCACGCCTCATAATATGCGCTATGTAAAATATAACTTATATCTGTGCGCCCCTCAGAAAATAGTGCTATTCCTAGCCACCTCGATCAATATAGACTATAGAGCCTCTCGGTGCATGGTATATTTGTTTATTATTGTTATTATTATTAAAATATCTACATCTGACGAAATAATGATTGACTAGCTACCAGTGTCACAAATAAGGTATCTAAATATGCATATTTAGATCCCTTATTTGTAAAACTGACAGGTCACTAATTGGCGAGGGGTCCAGGGGCAGAGCCCCTGGAAGCTTAGGGGTTTTAGGTATTTATTTACGGTCAGATGAGCATTCAGGCCCCCCTTAGAGCCCCCCTCCCCCCGGAAGCTCAGGGGTATTAGGTATTGAATTACGGTCAGATGAGCATTCAGGGCCCCCCTTAGAGCCCCCCGGAAGCTCAGGGGGTTTGGGCCCATATATTCTAATTACGGTCAGATGAGCATCCAGAGGGCAGCCTTATGACCCTCAGGCGCGGATCCAGGTGGGGCCGAGCGGGCCTTGGCTCCCCCTTCCCCCGCAAAAGAAAAGTGAGAGATAGAGAGAAAGAAGGAAAAAAGGGAAAGGGAAAAAGGAGAGAAAGAGAAAGAAAAAAGAGGAAGAAGAAGAGAAAAGGGGGAAAAGAAGGAGATCGGGGGGGGGGGAAGGCTCTTGCCTCCCCTATCAAAACAAAATAAGAGAGAAGGAAGGAAAGGAAAAGAAAGCAGAAAACGAGATTATAAAGAGAAGGAAAATAAGAGGAGGAAGAAAAAAAGAAGGGGGGATATCAGTTGCCACTTTCCCGCCAACAAGTTGTAATCGGGGGGGGGGGGCTTGAGGAAGAAGAAAAGAAAAGGGTGAAAAGAAGGGGAGATCAATTGCAGTTAATCCCGCCAACAACATGTGGATCGGGGGGACCGAAAGGCCCTTGCCTTCCCCCTCCCCCCAGCAAACCTAAAAGAGAGAGAAGGAAGTGAAGGCAAAGTGAAAGAGGAGGGAACAAGGTGTCAATCGGGGGGGGGCAGATGTCCCCCGCTAAATACCGGTGATTTACACATGTTGCTGAAATTACATGAATTTCCACACATTTCCCTCACTTTTTAGTGAAATATACTTGTTTATGCGTTTGTCGGAAATTGACTTATTCCTAAATTTACAGTCGGGCAAGAAATATGCTTATTGAGTGGCCTATGCCCGCGGTACGGCGGGGGTCGGGGGCCTCGAGCATCAAAATATGCTCATCTGACCGTAATTAAATGCCTAAACCCCCTGAACTTCGGATGGCTCTGCCCCCTGGACCCCTATAGGGCCTTAAAGCGGCCCCTGAATGCTCATCTCACCGTAATTTATTGCCTAAAACCCCTGAGCTTCTGGGGGCTCTGCTCCCTGGATTCCACCTAGGGCCCTAAAGCGGGGCCCTAGACGCTCATCTGAAGGTAATTTAATGCAAACAACAAAAAAAACCTGAGCTTCTGGGGGCTCAGCCCTCTGGACGCCACGCCAATTAGTGACCTGCCAGTGTCATGAATAAGATATCAAAATATCGCTCATTTGACCATAATATGCCCATACCACCTGAGCTTTTTGTGCGGGCTCCGCCCCGAGATCCCACACCCATTTACGCTACGCTTTACCTGATCGTAAATACTTTAGCCTCCCCCCACCCACTTTAAAAAACGTTTCGTGGGGCCTGCATAATAAGAGAGAGAGAGAGAGAGAGAGAGAGAGAGGGGGGGGGTGCTGCGGATTTTTTTTAGTCTTCCCTCCCCAATCTGTTTTGCACATAACGCCAATGTTGGTCACCATTACGTACCAATATTTGACTCGCATGATTTTCAATTTGGGCCCCCCCCCCCCTAAAAAATCGTGGATCCGCACCTCGGTGGGGTCCAGGGGGCAGAGTCCCGTACAAGCTCAGGGGTTTGAGGCATTTAATTACGGTCAGATGAGTATATTTTGATACCTCAATTTTTTGTGACATTGGCAGGTCACTTATTTTTTCTCTCTCTCTTTCTTTCATATTCTCTGTAACATACTTTTTCAAAAATTGAGGGGGGCTTGAGCCCCCGAGCCCAGCAGTTCCGCAGGCCCTGACAATAAGGCTTCTAAATAAGCATATTTTTCGCCCGACTGTAAATTTGGGAATTTCTAGTAAGTTTTCCTATAAACGCATAAAAAAGAATGCATTACAAAAAAAATTGAGAAAATATATGAAAATCATGTCATTTCAGAAACATTTGTAAATCACTGGTATCGAATTAGAAATACCCCCCCCCCCCATTCAGGGGCTCATGTCTTTGCACCCCTATAATAAAAAACACACACACTTTCCGATCCTCTCACAATATTTCCACGATATGCGCGTATCATTATTATAAAAACCTTCATTGATAATATAGGTGGCATGCGGAATGTTAGGAAATTTAATTCCTGTTAACTTTCCTTTTCTTTGAATGGAATATAACTTAATTAGGCCTATATATGATTCAATTCAGGTTTTTATTATTTTTATGTTCTTTTTAGTTAAAAATACAACCCATCTTCACTCCTTTACAGCTTTTCTTCTTTTAATAGGAGGGGAGAGGGGCGTTTTTTTTTTGGGGGGGGTGGGGGCGGGGGGGGGGCAAAAATGCGTTTTGCCCCCCTCCGACTTCCGGCGCCTATGATGATTAAACTTAAGAACGAGACTAGGAGTCAATAGTTAAATTTGACCGAACGCCCAGAATATAACAAACAAGAACAACAATATTCACTCAAATAGAGTGGTGAAGTGTACGTCTTCAAAAAAAAATGTTTAATAGAATTTCTCAATTTTTTCTTCATTTTTCGAAAAAGCATAAAAAATGAAGTCCTAAAGCAGAAAACCAATTGAATATGTTAAAGCTTATCTGCCGTAGTTTACAGGAGGGAGTACCGCTCTGCAAGGTCACTGGACAGGTGGTTATCTCATCAACTCAGCACTCAGTTAACATAAGAAAAAGAGGGTCATGGGGGACCAATTAATGGTCACCGATTAGGCATTGTTTGTTATATAGAGGGCCCAAGTAGCTACCAGTAGTGCAGTGGGCCTTTGTATTGGCTGAGATATGACCCCGGCCCCCCCACTCAGAGGTCGGAATGACCGCATGCGTGTTGCCAAAATGTCCGGTAAAGGGGTACTTTTCGTGCGACAAAGTCCGGCCCGAGAATTGTAAAAAAAAGGGGTGTATTTGACTTTTCACCCGGAGATTTCTTTAAAAAGGGGGTGTTTTTCTTTTTTTCTCTCATCTCTTTGGACTCTTGAGAAATTATTCTGAATTTAGGGGGGTACATTGAGCATTTTTCCTGATTTAGGGGGGTCTCCAAGGCAGGAAAAGCACGCGAAAAGCCCGCGAAAGGGGGGTTCGGAAATGTTGGCAGTCCTCAGATAGGGGGTGCTTTCAAAAAAAGGGTACGAGCATATGCGTACCCTAAATAACACTGAGTGGGGGTGCACATCTGAAAAAATAGATTTCCAATGGACTTTATTTTCCTCTGCTCATTAGGAGCTATAGAGCACTAAATAACACTGGACCCATAACACTGAGCTCTTATCACTGACCTCTAGAGGTCAGTGGCTCTTATATAGGAAATCTATTTATTCAGATGGTCATAGATATTCAATGGGTTATCGACAAATGAACTTTATTTTTCATGCTCTTTCAGAAAATGAAGAGAAAAAAAGAGAAATTCTAAAAATAGATTGTTATGATGTCACAGCTTCGGTAGGCCTACTCGAGTAAAGAGTTACAATGCAATGTAAATTAAATGCATGCACTCTCAGTATTGACATTCGTCTAGCTCTGACATTGTAAACAATGCAAGTCACGTGGTCGATCGTGATAACTAGTGGTAAATACTCCTTACTTATATATACTCGATCGATCCTCAGATCAGACGTACTAGATAGTACTAGAGTCTTTTGTTGAACAGGAGCCGAATTCTGATTGAGCAGTCTACTTGGAGTGAAGATCCTGTTAAATAAGAGTAAGTAGATAATCATGAACCGATAATCATACAGGCCAGCCATCCAGGCAAGAAAATAGGGTGTCTGATCGCGCACCTGGTTTGTTTCGTTTGCTAAAACCCTTTCCATAGTAGACTAGACAAAGTGATAGTAGACATAGTAGACATTGCACACATCCTGCATCCCTATGCAGTGCATATCAGCATAGCATTGCGCGACCAGTCCATGGTCATGGAAAATTGGTTAACATTTTTAAAAATAAATTGAGATTCAAATCTTCATTTGTTGTGATCCTGAAGGTGATACTCAATAAATGTAAGTCTACTGTCAAATTTACAGATCAGCCCAATCGGTCCTACTGTGTGCAGTCTAGTCCACTCACGATCGGACATCAAATTTTTGGATCGCGATATCTCCGAAAACCTTCGACGATAAATTTTCTAGTTGAACCAATTGGTAGTAAAACACTTTGCCGTCCATTTGTTAATAATTAGAATAATTAATTTGTGTAAAGTATGAGGAAAAAATGGATCGAATATCACATTTTTGAACATGTTCTAAAATCTGCGCAAACTTTGGTCACCCCTTCATATAACCTGCCTCACACTCACAGCAGTATGCAGTGCTAGAGTAGGGAGGCCAATACCAAAATCTAACTTTGTAATCACTAATTTATTTATAATAAAACAAAGTTTAAAAGAAAGTATTTTCTTCAACTAAGACAACTCACCCATCTGCTGAATTCAGAAGTTCCATAAAATAGGAGATATCCAGCTCTAATTAAGTGGGCTCTACCTTCTACGCCAGTCCATAACTTCGTAAGACTAAGTAAGAGTAGGGTGTCTGGACGATTTTTCAATCTTCAATTTGGGATTGTTTTTCACCATTAAAAAAAAATATGTGAATAAAAAATGTAATAATAATAATATATTTCAAAACTTAAGTTCAATGGCAAAGTCAATACGTAATACATGTATTACGTCACACCCCAGAGATTTTGACACGTCGTGCTTTAAACATAAGACGCCCTTCACACAACTGATGCACACACGGCATTGCAAACACATAAAATAGAAAAATCAACGAACATTTCAGAATAAATTTCCAGTTTGTACCTTAAAGGTTCTAGAGTAAAGGAGGTTTTTTTTGGCCCCTTAAGACAAAATCCTATTTTTGGACTCTTTACTTCGTATTTATTATCATTTCTTGTTCAAATCATGAAGCAAAATTACTATTATTATTTAAACAAAAAAAAGAATCCCAGAAAAAAAATCATGAATTGCAATGACAATATTCATTTTCATGTTCACTGTTTCGTAGATAGTTTCCGGCCAAGCGAGGCAGTTTCCAGCCTAGCGAGGCAGTTTTCTGCCCATGTTCAAAGTCAATAGGAAGCAAGCGCGCGCACCGTGCATTCTCCTGCTGATCTACCGTATTTGCCGGCGTAAAGGCCGCAGTATTTTTGGAAGAGAAAATAAAAAAAAGTCGGGGTGCGGCCTTTGCGACGAAAGAGTAAAAAAAAGAAAAAAAATCAAAACCAGCAAGAATTTGCACATATGGGACTACGGACGGTCAAATAACTAGACTCTATACCACTACGGTACTACAGGACATTTCCACACATCTTACCGACAATTTTATCTTGCAATGTTGACATGAAGACGAAAATAAACTTCCTAAAACAACATTTGCTGATAGATCTTGATCTAAGTTCGTGCCAATGCATTGCAAAAGTAAAGGAAGGGACCGTTTAACGGAACTGCCGCGAAGCATCCATCCAAAGTCGCCATTTTGTTTTCCATTTCATGCAATTTCGCATTACACCGTAGATCTACATTGTGGTAGGGGTATACATCAGACACCAAATCTGTCTGTGATCACTTCTTTAGCTAAATTTTAAGAATATTGATGAACTTGGTATCAGTTTGTAAAAAAAAAATAGTGTTTTACAAGAAAATTACGATTATTTTGTTTTGTCCGTTTTTTTCCTGTTTTTTTTCCCCTCTTTGAAATGTCAAAGTTGGGGTGCAGCCTATGCGGCGCTGCGGCTTATCGCCGGCAAATACGGTATAGCACTTGCGGCCGGAGCTCGCCGTGCCGAAAACTACCCCTGCGGTGATCAGAATCTGAATTAGACAGAGATATCGTGTGCGCTGTGGTATCCGGCTGCATTGATTTAATACATACAGTCAAGGGTGTCGATTTGTATCCGTGGTTGGGGGGATGATAGGTGCCAAAATATTTTCGGCAATGGATCAAAGAAGCGAGTGGCAAGTTGCACCCCTCCCAAGCGCCTAGCCAGGATTTAATTTTAGGGGGGCGGTAGTGGGCACGCGAAGCGCGGTTCCTAGGGGGTTGGGTGCAAGGAGGGGGTCCCCCCCCCCCCCCCCCCCCCCCCCCCCCGCGCAAAGCGCGGAAGCTCTGACGTTTCACTAAATTATTAGAGAAAGAAGACGATTCGTTGGACCGTTCTCGACTCTTAATCCTTGTTTGAATCAAATTCCCCTTCCTCCACGCGTAGCGCGGTAGCTCTGACGTTTCATTAGATTATTAAAGAAAGAAGACGATTCGATGTACCATTCTCGACTCTTAATCCTTGTTTGAATCAAGTTCCCCTTCCCCTGCGCGTAGCGCGGAAGCTCTGACGTTTCATTAGATTATTAAAGAAAGAAGACGATTCGATGTACCATTCTCGGCTCTTAATCCTTGTTTGAATCAAGTTCCCCTTCCCCCGCGCGTAGCCCGGAAGCTCTGACGTTTCATTAGATTATTAAAGAAAGAAGACGATTCTATGTACCATTCTCGACTCTTAATCCTTGTTTGTTTCAAGTTCCCCTTCCCCCGCGCATAGCGCGCGGAAGCTCTGACGTTTCATTAGATTATTAAAGAAAGAAGACGATTCGATGTACCATTCTCGACTCTTAATCCTTGTTTGAATCAAGTTCCCCTTCCCCCGCGCGTAGCGTGGAAGCTCTGACGTTTCATTAGATTATTAAAGAAAGAAGACGATTCTGTGTACCATTCTCGACTCTTAATCCTTGTCTGAATTCATTTTTGCCCAATGCCCATTCCTGCGCGAAGCACGGAAGCTTTCACATTTTATTACATTATTAGAGAAAGAATCGATTTGTTGTATCGTGTCCTTCATGAATTCAGTTTCATTTTTGCCCATTCCTGCGCGAAGCGCGGAAGCTTTAATGTTTCAATAAATTATTACTCTTAATCCTTGTCTGTATTCATTTTTGCCCATTCTGCGCATAGCGCGGAAGCTTTCACGTTTCATTAAATTATTAGTAAAAGAAGATGATTAGTTGTATCGTGTACTTTGATTATTACTCTTAATCTACGTCTGAATTCAATTGCCCCCGTAACAGCTTTGCCCTGTTCGCTAAATTATTAGAGAAAGAAGACGATGCGTTTTTACTGTATTAATCCTTGTCTGAATTCAGTTTCCCCACTGAAAATAAGTTGTGTCACAAATAAGTTGTGACATAATAATCTTTCTCCAAAAATGAAAAATGTTTTAGGAAATATCAGGAAATAAAATGAGTGAAAAAAATAATAATAAAGATACAACGACGTGAATTTTAAAAAGGGTGAACGGAAACAAACTAGTGAACTATTTCATATGTCATACTAATGTCCGAAAATCTTTCTCCTTGTCTCCGATCTCATCACAAAATTGTCACAGAGTTCATCTGTGTTTACACTGTCCAGGATTGTCTGATGTGCATTGCAGATTGCTATTTTTGTGCTTCGCGCTTAACATTTAGCTCGTTGCTTTTCATGCTGCGTTTTTGCATTTGGCGCACTGCATTTCTATGATGCTGTTGATTGAACAAATTGAATAAATTCATCAATTCCTGATGAAGCCGTATGAGCGAGAATTCAATTTATTCTTGTCTCATATACGGTTGTCTTATTTACTTCGTATATACGTATGTATTATGAAAATGAGATAGCAAAATGTGTTTATTGATGGTCATCTTGGGAGTAATAACTACTCTCATCGGACTCTCATCATTAATTTTTCTCTTCATTTTTTTATTTTTTTTATGGTGAATTATTGGGGGGATGATTGTACAGGCCACCCCCCCCCCACCTGAAATATTGGGGGGGATATATCCCCCCCCCCATCCCCCCGGGATCGACACCCATGCATACAGTGTACATGTATGTGATGAGATACTTTAAAGCTTGCGACTCACACAAAATCGTGCTCTAAATCTGAAAAATACTTGAAATACAGCTCATTTTATGGTAGGCTACCCATATTTCTTACAAACATGCGTAAGATACCGTACTCAATTTTTCAGATTCGGGTAGCGGGACCGCCGATTACCGGTACATCGCTAAAATGGGATATTTAAGGATGTATTTTCCATTGCAAATGTGGTTCTTCAGTGACTCTGGCATGTACATGTACATGTATGGTATGTGTGAAATACATGTATGTGATATTATGCTATTATGCAAGGTATTTTAAAGGGATTTTACCATGCATCCAACGCACCTGCCGACGGGCTGAAAACCCCCTCCTTTACTCTATGTCCCATTTGCAGGCCAAAAAAATTAAAAAAAGGTTAAATTCCAACAGCATTATTGAAAGACAATACTAATTTAGAACTTAATTCCCTAAAAAAATGGGGGGGGGGGGGGCTTGAAAAAGTCTTTAAGTGGGAAAATAACGACTTTTACCTGTAGTTGTAGAATCGACTTAGGAGCTAAGCCTATAGAGCCAGTAAGTAATAGTCTGATTTTTCAGACCATTGTAGAGAATGGTCATACGTTTTATGCTGTGCAAAGATTCAATCAGTTTAATTTTGGCCATTACAAGAAGTGGGTTACCGGTTATTGATGTACAGTAGACAATACCCTTAAGGGCTCTTAACAGCTCATTTTATGTTTGTTATTACCAAAGAAGATAAAAAAATCAGTTAGTCACTCAATAGTGTCTGACAGTAAAGTCTAGCAAGTAAACGGGTTTCCTTGCATAATTTCAATATGAACGTTTAAATTTCACAGATACATGTAGGACATACATGACATATTGATAATTCCTGCAAATTTCTAGAGAATTTGATGCTGGCTGCAAAAGTTTCATGGTATATTAATAGAGTGGTGAAGTGTAACGTCATCGAAAAACCTTTTTTTAATTTCTCAAATCTCAAGTTTTATTTCATTTTCCGAAACAGCATCAAAAATAATGACTTGATGATGATCTCGGGCCCGCAATTTTGCGTCTACACATAGGCCGGCCTCACGTCGCCTTTTCACGGAACTGACGTTGGGGCGGACTCCAGAAAGACAGAAAGAAAAAATGATAGAATGATAAAAACTAAGAATAACATAAGAGAAGGCAATAGAAGGAAGAAACAAAGAATAACATAAGGAAATCCAACTACCACATAAGTCTGTGAATATTGATGTGCATCCCCTCTTTCTTTCTTTTTTCTTCTTTTTTTCTGTCTTTTTCCCCTTATACCAATATCTTGTTCCTCCATATTTGTATTATTACGTATCCTTTGAGGGTAGTCATACTATCAAGCTTTGCTTATTTTGTCAACCCTCCTGTTTGATGTTTTCGATTACCGGTAGTTGCAGCCAGCCTTACTTTATTCTACATATATTCTTTTGTCATGTGTAAATTTGCAATTTTTTTTGTTATATTTGTAAAAATGCAAAAGAAAAAGAAAATCAAACAGAAATAAATAAATAAAATAAAATCAAATCAAAGACGAAAACAGAAAGTGATAGAATGATAAAAACAAAGAATAACATAAGGAAAGACAGAAAGAGAAAGGGATAGAATTATGAAAACAAAGAATAACATAAGAGAAGATGATAGAAGGAAGATCAGAATAACATAAGGAAAGACAGAAAGAGAAAGTGATAGAATGATAAAAACAAAGAATAACATAAGGAAAGACAGAAAGAAAAAGTGATAGAATGATAAAAACAAAGAATAACGTAAGGAAAGACAGAAAGAGAAAGGGTTAGAATTATGAAAACAAAGAATAACATAAGAGAAGATGATAGAAGGAAGATCAGAATAACATAAGGAAAGACGGTCAGAGAAAGTGATAGAACGATAAAAACAAAGAATAACATAAGGAAAGACACGAAGAGAGAGTGATAGAATGATAAAAACAAAGAATAACATAAGGAAAGACAGAAAGAGAGATTGATAGAATGATAAAAACACAGAATAACATAAGGAAAGACAGAAAGAGAGATTGATAGAATAATAAAAACAAAGAATAACATAAGGAAAGACAGAAAGAGAGAGTGATAGAATGATAAAAACAAAGAATAACATAAGGAAAGACAGAAAGAGAGATTGATAGAATAATAAAAACAAAGATTAACATAAGGAAAGGAAGAAAGAAAGAGAAACTGATAGAATGATAGAAACATAGAATAACATAAGAGAAGGTGGCAAAGCGCGCCGATGTATTACGTTAATTATGATGACAGGTCACGTCACTTCCACTTATAAGCTGGCCCAGAGTCCACTTTGGTGTTACACCTACTGATTGCGGGACTGAGGCCGGCCTCAAACCACATCCAGAGGTGGACTGAGTCCACCTGGCCTCAGTCCGGCCTCAGTCCGACTTTTAAAAAAAAGTTGGTGTTACACATACGTTGAGTTGCCTCTGGGGCAGGCCTCAGTCCACTTTCAGACGTATGTGTAACAGGGGTCATAGTACCTTTAAATAGCAATTAGTTATTTAGTTAAAGATAAAGACCAGTTATGGTCATGCGATTGCATTGTGAAAGAGACGTTGTGGAATCGATCAGAAAAGGTTGATCATCTAGCATATAAGTATTGATGTGTACTGCAAGGTTCTGGAATCATCAAAATGATAAGAAATTTGGCCAAGTCTTGGTAAAGTTACAGGCACCGTACACAGAAAGATGTATATGGGACTACGCGACACGTGCACAACACGTGCACGACATGTGCGCAATATCTATCCGGTCCAAATAGATATAATAATTTACCAAATATATCAATTAGTAGGCGGTTTCTCGGCAAAATTTGTATCATCACGTATTAGTCAAGACAAATTCTTTCACAAGATTGGTAATGAGAGCTTCGAATCCATTTCATTTTTTGAGAGGGGGGCGTTTCCAAAACTGGTCTTTACCTTTAAGTATAACACATGTAAGCCATTTCATAATACTATCTGTGCATGGGCAAATAAAGGTCATTTATGATAAAATTGTAGAACACACCGAGATGAATACGTGCTCATGTTTTGTAAGCATTATTCATGTGTGCACATACGATACATTCTATGAAACAAGAGGGCAAACAGATTGAAGCTTTTCATGAAGCACATACATTGTACATGACTTTGGCATTGATTATTCTAAAATATGAGTAAAAGATCTGTGGGTATTTGGAGTCGTGTACTGTAAACTACGAAATGGTCTATTAGGCGCATGCATGAAGTTAAAAAGAAGGTTGAGTTCTGGGAAAAGGTGAAAAATAATTTGTGAGCGTTATCATTCTTATTATTATGCAAGTGTGGAAGAACATCAGATAAGACATTTTCCCTGAAAAGCATGGCTCTTCAAATGCCTTTATATTCTAAATATGTCATGTAACTCGTAAAACTGGGGGGTAGGTTTTTTACGTCACGTGTTCGTGTAGTCCCATATACATCTTTCTGTGTACAGTGTTTGTAACTTTACCAAGACTTGGCCAAATTTCTTATCATTTTGATGATTCAAGAACCTTGCAGATGCTAGATGCTAGATGATCAACCTTTTCTGGTCGATTTCACAACGTTTCTTTCACAATGCAATCTCATGACCAGAACTCAAATTCATCTTTAACTGAATTTGGTGAATTATGTTACTTCATAATGTGATGTTTGTGCTATAGGGCCATTCCATGAGAAGAAGGACATGACATCAAAAAAAGAAATGTACCTCTTATGTTAATTCTTTGATTTATCACTAACCTTATGCCATGGATGTTCATAAAACATTAGGGCCTTTCAAATTCAATACAATTTTTTTTTCATTTTTGTTGATTTCCTAAGATCTCAAACTATCATCAAAAACGTACATGTGGGACTGTAGCTGGAAAAAAAACAATTTATTGCAGATTACACAGGATTCTTGTAATATTTTTTCCTGAAAATTTCGCTAAATGGAAAAAGATGAATATATTTCCATATTCTAAGGGGTCCTGTGATATTTAATCTATTACATAGGGGTGAAAATGGCCTCCGGACAAAATCTAACGCGAGTTACCGTAACGTGAGTTACCGACATATTTGCTTCCTGCATTTTACTAGTCCATTGTTTCTTATCTTTAATATTGTGATCTTATACTAGTAAGTCACAACCTACTATCAAATTAAAGTAGGAAAGATTTTGTCAAGATTGTCTAGTATGAGGAGAAAAGAGGGTCTCGTAGAATTGACCATGTCCTTTTTTTGTAACGCGAGTTACCGAAATTCAATAATCCAAGAATCTAAAAATGTTTGTTCTTCAATTTTCTTTTTTGTTTCATTCAGTTGTTCTATATCTACCCTGTCCATGTTTGAAAAAAGTATCTTGTAGATCCTAGCAGTTCTAAAGATATAGGCACATTATCGTGTCAATGTACCCATTAAGTGTAACGCGAGTTACCATGGAATGGCCCTATACATGATTGGAAAATGATGATTCTGATTTTGTTGTATCTCTTCCAGACCAGTGTGTGGATGGGAGTCTTGGGAGGGAGACAGTGATGACTCAATGCTGATTGGTTGAATTGGTGATGACTCAACAATGAACGCTAGATCACAGACATTCGAACTGGTAAAATCTTGTTTTTAATCCTTTGCTTACGGGAACCTGGTGGTCTCTGTGTTAAAGCCTATAGGACCTATGCAATTCAGTAGACAACGGGTTAATTGAAGTAGAAGAAGTTGCCCTAAAGTGGTCTAGATAGACAGGTTAACTCCAGGGGGATGTTTCACAAAGACTAAGATCGATTTTCAGTTGGACTTAATTATGGCAGGCTGTTCATGCCACTGTTTGCTCTCACCATTCACTGGCATTGATCTCTCAAAGGGATGTACAAATCCTGGTCGCAAATCTACAGAATTAACCTCTTCTGATAATTCCTAATTGAAGGAAAAAATGTTATCTAAAGATAATAATGTTGACAACAACCAGTGGCATGAATGGCCTGCCATAGTTAAGTCCAACTTAAAGTCGATCTTTGTGAAACACCCCCCAGATGTTTTTGATTGACTGCTTTTTCATTAATTATCCCTATACAATCCTCTTGAATTTCTTGGTTCATTTGTACCAAGAAAGTTGACATAAAGTTGACATTCTAAGAAATAAATGTCCATTAATTTGGTACCTACAGCAATCATATGTTATTATAAGTTGTTCATTTATAGTATATCACAAAAATTATCTGGCTACTCGATATCTTCAATTGAAATGGTGAAAAATAGACTCCTCTCTTTGCATAGAAAGTCAGTCACAGGCTGGTCCACTAAATGTGACATCACGACCGGGAAAGAGTATATTCACATACCCGAATATTCCATAGAAAAGCATGTGCAGACAGATACGATTTTTTGCTTATTTCGTTTCAAAGGCTGAAAAGTCCAATAAATCATAATTCTGACAGTCAAATTTGAAAGAACATACAATTTAAATGACAAAATCATCTTTGTTGTTAAAGAGTATATTCACATACCCGAATGTTCCATAGAAAAGCATGTGCAGACAGATACGATTTTTCGCTTATTTAGTTTCAAAGGCTGAACAGTCCAATAAATCATAATTCTGACAGTCAAATTTGAAAGAACATACAATTTAAATGACAAAATCATCTTTGTTATTAAAGAGTATATTCACATACCCGAATGTTCCATAGAAAAGCATGTGCAGACAGATACGATTTTTCGCTTATTTAGTTTTAAAGGCTGAACAGTCCAATAAATCATAATTCTGACAGTCAAATTTGAAAGAACATACAATTTAAATGACAAAATCATCCTTGATCAAAATCGGTTCAGAGACAGCTAAAATATCCATAAATAAAACAATTTCTAATATTTGTAGTGCCCCCCCCAAAAAAAAAAAATATTGGCTAACTTGAACCAGCTGTTGAAAAAACGAGGAAGGGCCTTATATGATATATTCCAGCCAATGCTGATGTAGGCTTTTTGTTGGCTTTTTCGTGTTGGTAATACGCTCTACCAGCCGGCCCGTGTATTGCCATTATTAATTAATTATTAAACGGATACCATATTTTTTTGAAAGTGGAGCTAAATTGGTATGATGGTATTGGTTTCTAGAGCCCCCCCCCCCCCCCCCCCCCCCCTCTGGGCTAGATAGGGTTTAGGGCTCATTTGATCTAATATTGTTCTTCAAATTGGCAACATTATATTTCATTTTATCGGTATACAGTGCATCCCAGAAAAAACGAAACCGAGAACTATCTATGTTCTTTTATAACTTAATCACAATTATATTTAATAAATGACACATATTTGGAAAGCTTAGATCCTCCTCTTTCATTTGATTCAACTCATATGATGCATATTTCACGCATGAGTGATTAAAATGAATTTGAAGAGAGGGAACCAAAAAGTCATTTGGCGGACGGTATCTGAATTTCAAGGAGAAAATCAAATTCCTAAAAAGTTGCCCTTTCATATGACACCTCAATCGGGAAAAATGAGCCAGGAATAACAAAGTTCTGTTTGTTTAAAAAAATTCTTGCATTTCCATAATTTGATCAAACAAGTTTTTTTTCACTGGCTGCCTGCCGTAGCATCAAACAGAGTTGACAAAAGACTTAACTCCGTTTCGTTGAAGATCAGCCATGCTTCACGTCTTTTGTCTTCTTTGTGCATGGCTGATCGTCAACGAAACGGAGTTAAGTCTTTTGTCAACTCTGTTCGTTGCAACGGCAAGAAGCCAGTAAAAACGAACCCGTTTGATCAAATTATGGAAATGCAAGCATTACTTTAAACAAACAGAACTTTTTTATTCCTGGCTCATTTTTCCTGATTGAGGTGTCATATGAAAGGGGAGAAATTGAACTTTCTAGAAATGTAATTTTCCCTTTAAAATTCAGATACCGCCCACCAAATGTCTTTTTGGTTTCCTCTCTTCAAATTGCTTTTAATCACTCATGCGTGAAATATGCATCATATGAGTTACATGTATATCAAATGAAAGAGGAGGATCTAAGCTTTCCAAATATGTGTCATTTATTAATTATAATTGTAATTAAGTTATGATAAAAACATCGGTGATTCTCGGTTTCGTTTTTTCTGGGACGCACTGTATATTGTTTTGATGAAAATTGACTGTCTCTGAAGGAAAAAAAAATCCAATTTTTAAAGGTAATACAAAGTTTAGGTACGGGTCATGAATGTAGTTCAAATGAGCATATTGGAAGCATATGCGATCCTACAATATTCAGTGATCGTTGTCGCGGTTGAAATCGAGCCTAAAGTCATGAAAACTGTAAATAATAAACTCTTTATGTTGTATAGCTTCCTCTCAAGGTCAAGATATTAATCAAGCTATAAAACAATGTTTCTTGACCAAAATCGACCAATAAGCTATTCCCGTTTAGAAATCATACACATATATATCACAACTACATATTCTGAAGTTGTCATGGTCGCAGCTACCCTATTGTACGGCCGTAGGCCTTATTTGAAATTTCTCAAAATTATTTGAAATTTCTACCGGGAGGACCGGTAAATTTTTATATTACATTTTTCTCGAAAGCAGCAGTGTTTTAGGGGCTTATTTTTCTAGTGCTAATAATACATCCACAGAGGCATCCAAATATATAAAAAATTATAAAGAATCACTATCGACCCAAATTTCAAAATTTCCACAAACTTTGTATTCCCTTTAACAAAAATCAATGATTAATGTCTAAACATGTCAAGTTAATTACTTTAAAGCATATTACTTATTTTTAATTCCTGACATCAAACGCAGTATGGTCATGCGGCAAAAATGGATGAACAGTAGTGTGTGCAGAAATATTTGCCTTTTCTTTTCAAGCTTTCTTGAATGTATTAAGGTATAATTTTTCAAGGGATTCAGTAAAATGTTACTAGGCTAAATCACAACATTTGGAAGGCTTTTCCCAAAACGGTTAATGAGAATACCTGTAGAGACATTTCGTTTATTATTACTACAACATTGTAAAAGAAAAAAGGAAAAAAAAAAGTTTATTGTGTCTGCCTTGTAGCATGTCATCTTTGATTGCCTTAAACATGAGTAAGTGTCATTGAGAGAGTTCTTTTAAAGCCCCACTGCACTACCTGTAGCTACTTGCTCCCTCTATACAGCCAACAATGCCAAATCGTTACCCGTTGATCCCCCATGTAGCCCTTTTTCTTATGTCAATTGAGAGCTGATTTGATGAGGTAACTAACTGCCAGTGACCTTGCAGGGAGGTCTAATCCATCCTGGCCAAACTAGTGCTGACCTTGCAGGGAGGTCTAATCCATCCTGGCCAAACTAGTGCTGACCTTGCAGGGAGGTCTGATCCATCCTGGCCAAACTAGTGCTTACCTCGCAGGGAGGTCTAATCCGTCCTGGCCAAACTAGTGCTGACCTTGCAGGGAGGTCTAATCCATCCTGGCCAAACTAGTGCTGAGCTTGCAGGGAGGTCTAATCCATCCTGGCCAAATTAGTGCTGACCTTGCAGGGAGGTCTGATCCATCCTGGCCAAACTAGTGCTTACCTCGCAGGGAGGTCTAATCCGTCCTGGCCAAACTAGTGCTGACCTTGCAGGGAGGTCTAATCCATCCTGGCCAAACTAGTGCTGACCTTGCAGGGAGGTCCAATCCATCCTGGCCAAACTAGTGCTTACCTTGCAGGGAGGTCTAATCCATCCTGGCCAAACTAGTGCTGAGCTTGCAGGGAGGTCTAATCCATCCTGGCCAAACTAGTGCAGAGGGGATATAGTGAACATAGCTGGATTTATTATGTTTTTATTCTTTTGAATACTCTGTATTTGACATGAATTGAGATATATACTGTACATGTACCGGTAATGCTCTCTTTTTATTGCAGACCGTGGAAGGTTGGCAGATAGAAGAAGTCGTTCTTAGTCTCTTTCACACTCTACTCTTTCATCGAACAACTGGAAAGGTAAACAATAATTAATTCAGCAAAAATGCTTGATAATCCTGAGATACAGTGATTGTTATGAGAGCGATGATCGTAGTTGCTATGCAAAGCTCTGACAAATGTCTAAAATTTGTCTTCCATTTCTATTCACACGTTCATCTTTATTGTACAGATTAGTATCGATACCATTATTTTTAAGGTAACTCTGTAAATCATTATTGTCATTAGAGGCAACAAATCCAGTCAAATATTACATCCTCAGACCTGGGCCCCGTCTTACAAAGAGTTTATATCAATCGCAACTACCATACCTGCCAACCCTCCTGAATAATCCGGAATATCCTGTTTTTCTGGATTTTTAGGACCCCAAAATGCGGGATATCCCGGATTTTCAATTTTTTTTTTTGGTGTTGCTTAAGCCGAAGTATTATCATATGCCGCGATGTGAGAGTTCACGTATTGCGTGCATGATTGAGCAGCGAATTTGTATTCGCTTTTTTGCACAGATTTACCGCGTATTGCCAGTTACACTGCCGCTGCATGTGCGAACGCCTGTTAAGGGTACAGATTTCTTATTTTTGAAGACATACCGTGCTAAACATTCTTAATTCTCATTTTCAAATGTTGGCAGGTATGAACTACATTGTATGTACTTAAGAGATAGGAGACTGCAAACTTGTGATTGATTGGAGGACTTGCAATTGATTTGGATCAATCGCAACTCTTTGTAAGACGGACATCATATTTGCCTTTAAAATTTACGAGGTTCCGAGTCAAGAGATCAAAAACCTCATTAGTGTGATGGATAGAACCTTCACATGGCAGGTAAACAGCACCTAATATAAAATCAAATCCTAACTACTTCTTATCAATATATTCACATAACAGACACTATGAATATGACTGACAAAGAAAGCGGACAAAATATACAGTTCCTCAGGTAGACAAAGGAACATCCCTTCACTGCTATGTAAAAATGTGTAGAACAGGTGTCACATGCCTATTCACCTGTTTTAATCATTTTTACATAATAGCGGTGAAAGGATGTTCCTCTGTGTACCTGAGGAACTTTTGTCCTCTTTCTTTGTTCGTCATATACATGTGTGTACCAACTTCTGAGTATCATTCTCATATAAATGTATTGTTTTCTTTCAGTTTCAGTACAAGCAAGAAGGCACCTACTCGATTGGTACGGTTGGGATGGTTGAGCAAGACTGTGACTATACAGACTTCAGCTATGTAAGTCGACTAACCTAACTTTCTCAGCTAGCAGACATAAGACTGTGACTATACAGACTTCAGCTATGTAAGTCTACTAACCTAACTTTCTCAGCTAGCAGACATAAGACTGTGACTATACAGACTTCAGCTATGTAAGTCTACTAACCTAACTTTCTCAGCTAGCAGACATAAGACTGTGACTATACAGACTTCAGCTATGTAAGTCTACGAACCTAACTTTCTCAGCTAGCAGACATAAGACTGTGACTATACAGACTTCAGCTATGTAAGTCTACTAACCTAACTTTCTCAGCTAGCAGACATAAGACTGTGACTATACAGACTTCAGCTATGTAAGTCTACTAACCTAACTTTCTCAGCTAGCAGACATAAGACTGTGACTATACAGACTTCAGCTATGTAAGTCTACTAACCTAACTTTCTCAGCTAGCAGACATAAGACTGTGACTATACAGACTTCAGCTATGTAAGTCTACTAACTTAACTTTCTCAGCTAGCAGACATAAGACTGTGACTATACAGACTTCAGCTATGTAAGTCTACTAACCTAACTTTCTCAGCTAGCAGACATAAGACTGTGACTATACAGACTTCAGCTATGTAAGTCTACTAACCTAACTTTCTCAGCTAGCAGACATAAGACTGTGACTATACAGACTTCAGCTACATGTATGTACATGTAAGTCTACTAACCTAACTTTCTCAGCTAGCAGACATAAGACTGTGACTATACAGACTTCAGCTATGTAAGTCTACTAACCTAACTTTCTCAGCTAGCAGACATAAGACTGACTATACAGACTTCAGCTATGTAAGTCTACTAACCTAACTTTCTCAGCTAGCAGACATAAGACTGTGACTATACAGACTTCAGCTATGTAAGTCTACTAACCTAACTTTCTCAGCTAGCAGACATAAGACTGTGACTATACAGACTTCAGCTATGTAAGTCTACTAACCTAACTTTCTCAGCTAGCAGACATAAGACTGTGACTATACAGACTTCAGCTATGTAAGTCTACTAACCTAACTTTCTCAGCTAGCAGACATAAGACTGTGACTATACAGACTTCAGCTATGTAAGTCTACTAACCTAACTTTCTCAGCTAGCAGACATAAGACTGTGACTATACAGACTTCAGCTATGTAAGTCTACTAACCTAACTTTCTCAGCTAGCAGACATAAGACTGTGACTATACAGACTTCAGCTATGTAAGTCTACTAACCTAACTTTCTCAGCTAGCAGACATAAGACTGTGACTATACAGACTTCAGCTATGTAAGTCTACTAACCTAACTTTCTCAGCTAGCAGACATAAGACTGTGACTATACAGACTTCAGCTATGTAAGTCTACTAACCTAACTTTCTCAGCTAGCAGACATAAGACTGTGACTATACAGACTTCAGCTATGTAAGTCTACTAACCTAACTTTCTCAGCTAGCAGACATAAGACTGTGACTATACAGACTTCAGCTATGTAAGTCTACTAACCTAACTTTCTCAGCTAGCAGACATAAGACTGTGACTATACAGACTTCAGCTATGTAAGTCTACTAAGGCTGCGATGAGTAGTCAAATACTCGCACTGTTAACAACTACTCAAGTACGATTTCTCATACTCGAATACTCGGCCGCCATTTTTTTTTGTTTTTTTGCCAGCGCTGGCATGGTACCGTGGGTCAAAATGTTTCCCAGCTCAATCACTGTCAACTCGACTCAGAGATTTGGACCAAATGTCCGGATATCTGTTTGGACTCCGAGAAAATGGATTATTCTGTTGTCTTTGGTTTTAAAAACAGCATTGTTTACTATTATTATTATCATTAAATTGGCGCCTTCAACTGCAACTCGAAGTCAAAATCGCTTGATGCGGAAAAATAAAAAAAATAAAAAAATTCAACAAAAAAATACATGGCGTCTGAGTATTCGCCTGTAAGCCTGGGAGTGTACTCGAGTACCTCATAACATGGTTATGCACAGCCTTAAAGTCTACCAACCTAGTTTTCTCAGCTAGCAGACAGGTTTATAGCAGGAGAAATGCCCTTATCCTTATCTGCTTGTCAAGTATGCCAGTTAATAACATGAGAGAGAGTGGTGTTGGTAGATATTTGTATTATTACTTTCTTATTCATTTCATTATTAATTCATTCGCAATTTCATTTTCAAATTATTTACCCTATTTGCCGGCGATAAGGCCGCACCCTTGACTTTGACATTTTGTAGAGGAGGAAAAAAAGGGAAAAAAAACAAATGGCCCAAACAAAATAATTGTCATTTTCTTGTAGAACACAATTTTGTCTACAAACTGATACCAAATTCATCAATATTCTTATTTTACCTGAAAAATGATTATGATTTAGCAAATTTTCATCGATTTTGAAGCTAGTAACTGTATCGCAGGCAGATTTGGTATCTTATATATATATATATACCCCTACCACAATGTAGAGTTTAATACAAAATCACCTGAAATGGATACAAAGAATATAGACTTGGTGGAGACTATGTCTGGATGCACAGTAGCTCCATAACGGTCCCTTGTTTTAGCGATCACGATGCATTGGCACAAACTTAGATAGATCTACTGGTAGATTTTTTTTGGAAAAATAAGTTATGGATTTATTTTCGTTTTCATGTCAAGAAGGCAACCTAAAATTTTCGGTAAGATGTGTGGAGTTATTCTAGAAATGTCCTGTACCATTGTACATTAACTGGTATAGTCATTGTAGTCCCATATATGTACGAATACGTGCTGTTTTGACCTCCAACTTTTGTCTGTTGTGCATAGGGCGCACCCTGACTTTTTGATATTTTCTCTTCCGAAAATACTGCGACATTTACGCCGGTAAATACATTAGTTATCTACTTACTTATTTATCTATTTCTTTCATTACAAAATTCAAGACCAAATATGAATTAACAAAATCTGACAATAGTAGCATGAGAAGGAATAGTTTAACTTAAAGGTATAGACCAGTTTTGGAAATCCCCCCCCCCCTCAGAAAATGAAATGGAAGCTCTTATTACATGTACATGTACCTATCATGTGAAAGAATACGTTTTGACTAATACGTGATGAAACAAATTTTGCCGGGAAACCGCCTACTAATTGATATATTTGGTGAATTATATCTATCCATATATCTATACACAGGTTTTTTTTTGTTTTTAAGTGTTGATTTCTACCCCACCACCTGGCACTGTGCCTGGCAATGTCTCCCAGCTCAGTCATACACGGTGTGATGACTCGCCACTCAGTAACTAGAACAACACTACCTGTATGGCCGGATTTCTCACTCATTAGTTTTTGATAATGATATATCTCTTACAGATCCGATGTGAATCTGCAGAGCTAGACGCGTACTTGAGGAAAGAAGTGTCAGGATTCACTCATTAGTTTTTGATAATTCTCTTACAGATCCGATGTGAATCTGCAGAGCTAGACGCGTACCTAAGGAAAGAAGTATCTGGATTCAGGGACATTCTGAAATCCAATGATGGTCTACATAGTGGGCAGGTAAGGTGGAGTCTTAAAGAGAAGGTTGAGTTTTGGAACGCCCCCTTCTCAAAAAATGAAATGGAAGCTCTTATTACCAATCATGTGAAAGAATATGTTTTGACTAATACGTGATCATACAAATTTTGCCGAGAAACCGCCTACTAATTGATATATTTGGTAAATTAGTTTATCTATTGGGGCCAAATAGATAATACGCATGTGTCGCGCACGTGTGGGTAGTCCCAAATACATCTTTCTGTGTACAGTGCTTGTAACTTTACCAAGACGGGGCCAAATTTCTTATCACTTTGATGATTCCAGAACCTTGCAGTACACACCAATACTTATATGCTAGATGATCAACATTTCTTTCACAATGCAATTGCATGACCAGAACTGGTCTTTATCTTTAAAGAAAAGGTTGAGTTCTGGGAAGAGGTGATAAATAATTTGTGAGCTTTAACATTACTGTAGCTTTAGATGTGATAGCAGGTGAAGATCGATGCTTCCAGAAAGCAAAATGCTTTGTTTGGGGGAAATCATAATTTGATCACATATAGAGATAGAACCACAATTAAGGATATGAAGCCAGTAAATGCATAATACCTCGGTTAGGCTTAAAGATAAAGTTAAGTTATCGTCATGCGATTGCATTGTGAAAGAAACGGTATGGAATCGATCAGAAAAAATTGATCATGTATTGGTGTATATACTGCAAGGTTCTGGAATCATCACAATGATAAGAAATTTGGCCCAGTCTTGGTAAAAGTAACAAGCACTGTACACAGAAAGATGTATATGGGACTACAGAAACATGTGGCATAAAAATGTGGTCCATATTTTTAAGCTGCTATGCGTCATATTTGAAATATAAAGGCCTTTGAAGAGCCATGCTTTTCCTGAAACATTATTCCTCTGATGTTCTTCCACACTTCCATAAAAAACAATGAAAACGCTCACAAATTATTTTTCACCTCTCCCCAGAACTCAACCTTCTCTTTAAGCTTTCATTTAGATATGTCAAATAGTAACTGCTAATTTACTGACATTACTAACTATACATTGTGTGTTCTGGATGAGTCCTTTCGTTTGACTGCATATTGCTAAGCTACTGACTGTCTCGACAATCTTTCTATCTTTAGGTTATGTAATGAGTAATTTTTACTCATTATTTATAGCATTACTAGTACAGTGAATAACCTTTGGTCTTTCCCCCTATGGTATACACCCAGCCCGTCTACTACCCACTTGGTCTAATAACCATGTTATCAACTTATCACTATGGTCTACACCCGGCCCGTCTACTACCCACATGGTCTAATAATCATTTTATCAACTGATCACTATGGTCTACACCCGGCCCGTCTACTACCCACATGGTCTAATAATCATTTTATCAACTGATCACTATGGTCTACACCCGGCCCGTCTACTACCCACATGGTCTAATAACCATTTTATCAACTTATCACTTTGGTCTACACCCGGCCCGTCTACTACCCACTTGGTCTAATAACCATTTTATCAACTTATCACTTTGGTCTACACCCGGCCCGTCTACTACCCACTTGGTCTAATAACCATTTTATCAACTTATCACTTTGGTCTACACCCGGCCCGTCTACTACCCACTTGGTCTAATAACCATTTTATCAACTTATCACTATGGTCTACACCCAGCCCGTCTACTACCCACTTGGTCTAATAACCATGTTATCAACTGATCACTATGGTCTACACCCAGCCCGTCTACTACCCACTTGGTCTAATAACCATTTTATCAACTTATCACTATGGTCTACACCCAGCCCGTCTACTACCCACTTGGTCTAATAACCATGTTATCAACTGATCACTATGGTCTACACCCGGCCCGTCTACTAGCCACATGGTCTAATAATCATTTTATCAATTTATCATTTGGTCTATTGAGCATTTAGGCTAATAGCCAGTTGGTCTAATCTCCCATAAGTCTATTACACATTTGGTCTATTGAGTATTAAGACTAATAGCCAGTTGGTCTAATCTCCCATAAGTCCATTACACATTCGGTCTATTGCTCATTTAGTCTACATGTAATAACCGGTTAGCCTAATTTCCTGTTTGTATATTAAATGCCCATTTCATATACCATCCATATGGTTTATGGGCTTGATTGGAATAGACCAATTGAGCAGTAGACGAACTGGTTGTAGACCGAACGGCATAAACCCATTATTACCACCTAGATGAGTGTACATTGTGCTAAATTGGTGATTTCCATAGGAGATATTGGTAGTAATATTCCTGTAGAGATAGTGTTTCAATTTTCCCATTAATACTTTGTTGTTCAAAATCTTAATGTTTTTATTATGCTCTGTTATGTTTTCTCAAATCAGTCTAAATTGATGTCATACACTTGAATAATTTGTGAATAATTTACGGAATAATATAGTTCACACTTCCAGTGAGCAGTCCTCCCCCTCCCTGCGTATCAGGATACGATAATATTCCTAAGAAGTCATTCATTTCTTTGTTTTCTACCATTAGCTTGTGTACATGTATAAGCAGTAGTTATGTGTTTAAGTATGAATTACTTTGCAATATTTTCCTAGATTTCGCTTTGTTTCCTACCATTATCTTGTGTATAATCGGTAGTTATGTGTTTAAGTATGATCTTCTTTGTGATGTTTTCCTAGATTTCGCTGGAGTTTTATGAGAAGAAGAAGAATCGTTGGCCCTTCCCTGACGAGAGCATACCCTGGGAGGTCTGGAATCTCAACATTAATGTAGTCACACTCACTAATGAACATGGTGAGTCAATGTGTAGGTCTGGAATCTCAACATTAATGTAGTCACACTCACTAATGAGCATGGTGAGTCAATGTGTAGTCATGCGATTGCATTGTGAAAGAAACGTTGTGGAATCGATCAGAAAAGGTTGATCATCTAGCATCTAGCATCTGCAAGGTTCTGGAATCATCAAAATGATAAGAAATTTGGCCTATTCTTCGTAAAGTTACAAGCACTATACACAGAAAGATGTATATGGGACTACCCTTTATCTCTCACAGACCATGAGAGAAACAAATTTACCAAATATATGAATTAGTAGGCGGTTTCCCGGCAAATTTTTTATCATCATGTATTAGTCAAAACATATTCTTTCACATGATTGGTAATGAGAGCTTCCATTTCATTTTTTGAAATTGGGGCGTTTCCAATACTGGTCTTTACCTTTAATGAGTCACACTCACTAATGAGCATAGTGAGACAATGTGTAGGTCTGGAATCTCAACAAGTCAGCTCTCAATTAACATTTATAACAAAGAAAGGATCATGGAGGACCAATGGTCACCAATTATGCATTGTTTGTTATATAGAGGGCGCAAGTAGCTATACGTAGTGCAGTGTGCCTTTAATAAGAAAATGAGTATTATTACTGTGTGATTGTGCATTGATATTGCAGAGAGACAAGCCTACCGTGAGAAGCTTGGTGAGTTACTTGGTGAGAGGGTTGTGTGTATCGTGGAAGCAATGAACAGACATGATTATCTACCCAAGGCTCCCAATCAACCCCTCCTTGATACAGTCTTCAATACAACCTTCACAGATGTTCAACCATATCTATTCAAGGTGAGATTCATTTCTTTAATTTTTTTTTTCATTAAAAACATAATAATTACATAATGAATACATACCAAAGATACATTGGGAGGACCTCTTAGAAAGCAGAGCTTATCAATAGGAGGGGCCCTGTAGACATGTACAGAAACAAGTGAACATTAACCCTTTAGAAGCCCCCCCCCCCCCTCTACATTTTACGCTATAATTTTGTAACGCCAAAAAATCCTTCGCTGAAATTTTATGACTTTTTTATTTAGAGTCTTGCGCATCTTTTGAAATTAATTTTTCGAAAATCGGACTTACCGTTACAAAGTCATGTGACCTTTTGTCTTTGCATGTCAGTCAGATAATTTTCATGATTTTTGTACACAACATGCAAATCTCATTTTTCCAAAAAAGAGATACAACATTGGTTATTTGGTCTTGTTTATGGTTTAGGTGTTGTTGTTGTTGTTGTTGTGGGTTTTTTTTTTTGGGGGGGGGGGGGTCGTAAGAGTTGGCTTATAGTTAGAATTAAAATAAAAAAAATAAAAAAATACAATACATAAATTTAAAAAACAGGGAAATACATAAGAATTATCAAATCAATAGATAACATAAGGAATAACCTGGCTCTTCCAAAAAAAAATTTGTAATATTTTCTCAAACGGTCTAAAGAATATATGCATAAATTACCATAAATATGCAAATGAGTGAATTTGTCAGCAAAAAAATAAAACAACATATTAATCTATAAACTTCACTTGACATGCATGCAAATTTTTGCGGCAATCTGTCGTTCAAAAGCCAAGATCATAGGGGGGGGGGGGGGAGGGGGCTTAGAGGTCTTATTACAATTCTTGGTCTTTACCAATGAACCACATTTTATTTAAATCTTGAAAAATAGAATAATTTCAATAAAATTGAATATCTATTGCCATTGATTAAGCCCACCGCACATTATACGGTCCGACTACGATCTGATTTTGGAAGAATTTGAAGTAGAATTTTATACATACATTCAAACATGTAAAATCTTAATGACCAAGAATCTGAATAGTTGAGAAAATCTCAATTTCAAGGGAATTCCTATCATTTTGTTAATCAGCTCAAAATGATAGTGACGACAGACCAGGGGAGTGTTGAACACAAAACCTAAGATCGACTTTAGGTGGACTTAACAATGGCAGACTGTTCATGCCACTGTTTTCTCTAACTCTTATGATCTTCAGATAACAATTTTTCCTTCAATCATATTTTGTTTGTTAAAGTATAAAGCGTTAATAAATATTAACTATTATTATTATACGATTATTAGTAGGAATATGTTATTATGATTATGTATCATGTATTATATTGTTGTAATTTGTAGGTTAACATTACTTTGATTTAATTTCTGTTAAGCGCTTAGAAACTTTGTATTAAGCGTTATATAAATGTAATATATTATTATTATTATTAATAATGAATCACAAACATTTTTAATTCTGTAGATTTGTGGCCATGATTTGTACTTCCATTGAGAGACCAATGCCTGTAAATGGTGAGAGCAAACAGTGGCATGAACGGCCTGCCATAGTTAGTCCAACTTAAAGTTGATCTTAGTCTTTGTGAAACACCCCCCTGGTATACTATGACTCAAAATCAAAGATCTCATATTTTGCAAGTGCAACTATTGAGCCTTCACAATACTACTTGTAATGTTATCATTCACAGATCAGCTGTCAGAACTCAGGACCCACCAATGCTTCAGTAGGGACCGCTGTCAAAAAACTTGTGAGAGATACTCTTGCATTATGAACCATCTTGTGAGAGATACGCTTGCATTATGAACCAACTTGTGAGAGATACTCTTGCATTATGAACCAACTTGTGAGAGATACTCTTGCATTATGAACCATCTTGTGAGAGACATGCTTGCATTATGAACCACCATTGACAGGACAACAAGAAACTGATGACAATGAAGAGTTTCATCAGGATGGTTGGAATATTGGTTGGAAAGTTCTTTTATCACATCCCAAAGGAAAAGTTACCTGTAACAGTTTGGATGCCCTGAGCTCAGGCATCCTCCTCAGATGCAAATAGGCAGACTGAAGTAAGCCGCCAATTTTCTGATCTCCAGTGGTTGTTGGTTTGACGATTACTATGTGGGACAGCTGATATAGACAGAGAATAAGTAGACTTGTTGTGGTTACTTGAATGGACTGTGTTATTTGACACTGCCTCTAACACTAATTTCCTTTAGCAAGACATCAATCTACATTTGCCACTGTCCACCCAGGTGAAGTGAATGGGTGCCCAGTAGCAAGAATTTCCTTGAACGCTTTTAATGGTACTATGTCCCATTTGCAGCCAACATCAAATTCTGTAGAACTTTGCAGGAATTACGAACATGTCACGTATGTCCTATCTGTAAAATGTTAACGTTAGCAGTGTCCTAGTATTCAAATTATGCAAGGAAACCTGTTTACCTTCTAGACTTCACTGTCAGACAGTATGGAGTGACTGACTGACATCATTTTTTTTCTTTGGTAATAACATACATAGAATGAGCTGTATAACAGGTACATGAGCATTTGTCTACATCAATAACCCACGGCTTGTCATGGCCAAAATTAAACTGATTGAATCTTTGTGCAGCACAAAATGTATAACCATTCGGTCAAAGGGTTTGAGGACCAAGGTACTTGATTTAGGATTCTGATTGGGTCACTGAACCTGTCATAAGCTGACAGATCACTATTGATGATGATTTCAAATGCTGTTGCAATTTAACCTTTTCTTTTTTTGGCCTGCAAATGGGACATAGTACCTTTAAAGCCTTGTAACAACAGGTCAGCGTCACTTGGGGCCTGGGGTAATATGAACAATGTTGACTCCTTATCACAATGGCTCAGCTATAGCCAGGGCCTGGGAAACTAATAATATTTAAGATACATATAGCGCTGGTATACAAATTCTTAGCGCTTTACAAAACAAATGAAATGAAAATATGATACCCTGTGTGAAGTGCGTTAGAGTAAATTTCTGTAGTAGCTACGCTTTATAACTGGACATACATTTATTATTATTAATAGTTATGTTATTATAAAATATTGTTAAATCTTTAGCTGGTACAGCAAAAATAGGCCATATTCATAATGTAATCAAAGTTAATGCATAGATCTTTGTTAAGTGCCTTGTTACAAATTATTTAATTGACCTGTTACAAATAGTTATATTTCAATAGTTAGAATGCAAATTCCGTACATTACTTCTTGTTAGGTAGAGCAAGCCATAATGTTTGTCCCACCTAGCAACAAATAGTACTTGCAATTCACATTCTGACTATTGAAATACATTTGTTCATTAAGGGTGAATTAAATAATTCATAACGAGGCACTTGACCATGGCTTATGCATTAAATTAGATTACATTACTTCTGATTGGCAATCTTGTGCAATCAAGGTCTTTGTATGTCAACATGAAAATGGATCATTTGGTCACCAATTTCTATTTCATTAAATAATGGTGACAAACCCATGTAGGAGTTTCATGGGAAATGAGATGACGGTGAAGACATGTCTACTGTGATCTGAGATGCTATGTCAGAGTGAACCTTATGCAAGGCATGGTGTATGAGAGGAGGACTGATATACCTGTATTTTGATCCACAATAGTATTTGACTTGCTGTCTATTTATCAACCATGTAGATAGAAATGTTATCAATAGGCATGAATGAAAGTCGTCTTTAAAGATAAAGACCAGTTCTAGTCATACGATTGCATTATGAAAGAAACATTGTGGCATCAATCAGAAAAGGTTGATCATCTAGCATATAAGTATTGGTGTGTACTGCAAGGTTCTGGAATCATCAAAATGATAAGAAGTTTGGCCAAGTCTTGGTAAAGTTACAAGCACTGTACACAGAAAGATGTACAGTATGGGACTACGCGACACGTGCGGGATATCTTTCAGGTCCAAATAGATATAATAACTTACCAAATATATCAAATAGTAGGCAGTTTCTCGGCAAAATTTGTATCATCAAGTATTAGGCAAAACATATTCTTTCACATGCTTGGTAATAAGAGCTCTCATTTCATTTTTTGAGAGAGGGGCTTTCCAAAACTGGTCTTTACCTTTAAGCAGCATTCCGACACTTACTCTATGGTGGTAAGGTTTTCTCTAATGTCATTTGAAACTTACATTTAGTGTCTTACACAAAGGCACAGTAGCCATATCAAATCAAATGAAACTTTAAGAGCATGTTAAGCATAAAAATGTCTAAATTATATAAATCCGACCAACGTGCTGAGTAGCAGACATCCTGCATCAAAATTCCTTATGTATCTAGCTTCCCTTCATATTTCTATTGTATTATAATGTCAGTTTGGTACAGTGCAATATTTATTACATTTTATATTACGTGGGAGTGTCGTGGTCGAGTGATTTAAGGCGCTTGACTGGAAATGCGAAGGTCGAGGGTTCGAATCCCGACACGGCACTAATATCCTTTGGCAAGATATTAACCTGCACTTGCTACTCTCCACCCAGGTGTTAAATGGGTACCCGGTGGGATGCGACCGTCAATGTTGGTCAAACAATTTTTGAGCGTCAAGTAATACCTGGCTGGAATGCTCCTCAGGGAGTGGAGATTGTGCACACAGTGTGTGCGGGCAAGCACTGAATCCAACGACCGGGGTAATAGTATATTTGTAAAGAGACATTTGTATTAAAGCGCTATATAAAAGCTAAATATTATTATTATTACTGTTTAGGGTAAGCTTTAAGTTACTTGTAATCAATTCAAAAAGTTCTTATTCAGTAATTTAATGTATTATACATGTAGTAGTAAGGCCATGTAAATTATAATTACAATGTACTCGAAATAAAATTCCAAGTAAGAATGTGATTTTAAATACATCATGCACACACTGCATTGTCATTGAGTATACATGTATTTACTAGAGGGGAAGAAAAAGAAATAGAGAGAGAGAGAAAGAGGGAGAGAGGAGGGGGGGGGGGGGTAGGGGAAGGGGAGATGAGAGATTGAAGAGAAAGGAAAAAACTTGATAATAGGGGATTAGAGAAGGGGAGGACCAATATACAGAGAGAGAGAGAGAGAGAGAGAGGGGGGGGGGGAGAAGGCGTGAGTGAGAGGAGACAAGAGGCTTGGAGATGTGGGATTAAAGGAGAAAGAATGGGGGGGGGGCAGATTGAAAGGAAATGGAGAAACTTGAAGATTAGAGAAGGAGAACATGGGGACAGAAAAAGAGATGGGGAGAGATTGTAAGTAAAGGATGGGACTTGAACATAAGGAGGAAAGAGATGGGTGGGACTAGGGTGAAGTAGGGAGGAGAGAAAGAGAGGGGTGGGACCAAGATAGGGAAGGGAGAGAGAGAGAGAGAAGGATGTGGGAGATAGGACTAGGGTGAAGAAGGGAGGAGAGAAAGAGAGGGTGGGACCAAGATAGGGAAGGGAGAAAGAGAGAGAGAGAGAGAGAAGGATGTGGGAGATAGGACTAGGGTGAAGAAGGGAGGAGAGAAAGAGAGGGTGGGACCAAGATAGGGAAGGGAGAAAAGAGAGAGAGAGAGAGAGAAGGATGTGGGAGATAGGACTAGGGTGAAGAAGGGAGGAGAGAAAGAGAGGGTGGGACCAAGATAGGGAAGGGAGAAAAGAGAGAGAGAGAGAGAGAGAGAGAGAGAGAGAGAGAAGGATGTGGGAGATAGGACTAGAGTGAAGAAGGGAAAAGAGAAAAAGAGAGGGTGTGACCAGGATAGGGAAGGAGAGAGAGAGAGAGAGAGAGAGAGAGAGAAGGATGGGGAGATGGGACTAGGGTGAAGAAGGGAAAAGAGAAAGAAAGAGAAAAAGAGAGAGAGTGTGACCAGGATAGGGAAGGAGAGAGAGAGAGAGAGAGAGAGAGAGAGAGAGAAGGATGGGGAGATGGGACTTGGGTGCAGAAGGGAAGAGAGAAAGAAATAGAAAAAGAGAGGGTGGGACCAGGATAGGGAAGGGAAGAGAGAGAGAGAGAGAGAGAAGGATGGGGAGATGGGACTAGGGTGAAGAAGGGAAAAGAGAAAGAAAGAGAAAAAGAGAGAGAGAGAGAGAGTGTGACCAGGATAGGGAAGGAGAGAGAGAGAGAGAGAGAGAGAGAGAGAGAAGGATGGGGAGATGGGACTTGGGTGCAGAAGGGAAGAGAGAAAGAAATAGAAAAAGAGAGGGTGGGACCAGGATAGGGAAGGGAAGAGAGAGAGAGAGAAGGATGGGGGAGATGGGACTTGGGTGCAGAAGGGAAGAGAGAAAGAAATAGAAAAAGAGAGGGTGGGACCAGGATAGGGAAGGGAAGAGAGAGAGAGAGAGAGAGAGAGAGAGAGAGAGAGAAGGATGTGGGAGATGGGACTTGGGTGAAGAAGGGAAGGGAGAAATCAATAGAAAAAGAGAGGAGTGGGACCATTGTTATTCTTTCTTTCATCCTCCTATCCCTTTCTCTTCTATCTTTCCTTATGTTATTCTTTTTTTTCATCCTCGTATCCTCTTCTCTTCTATCTTTTCGTATTGTATTCTTTCTTTCATCCTCCTATCCCTTTCTCTTCTATCTTTCCTTATGTTATTCTTTCTTTCATCCTCCTATCTCTATCTCTTCTATCTTTCCTTATGTTATTCTCTTCCGACAGGCTGCATGGAGCGACCTAGTCCAGAATCTGCACGGTCCTTTATAATTTCCCTACACACTTGATTTAAGCCGTCGAAGATGGCGTTATCAACAAATTATTATGCTCACTAGCCCCACAGAACTTCTGTGACTAGCCCAGCCTATTTTTTCGCCGGGCGTCCTAACTTAATGATCACGCCATTCATCGGCTGGTAGCAAGTAAGTAGGGAGAGGTAGCGTTACGTTGGTGTGGTGGACATCAAAATTAAATAGACCAGATTCTGGACTAGGAGCGACCAAGAGCTTTTAAATGATATAAACACGGTACAGAAATTAGAATAATTCTTTGCGCGACTTCCTCTCTACATCTAATAAATTCAGAGGCAGAAAAAATAGTGGATCAGGGAACCTTCATGATTAAAATCTACTTCTGCTTTTGGTATCTTTTGTAATTTGTACTTTGATCCTCCTTAACCGATGTTGAGTTAATAGTTAATGGAAAAACACGAAACATGTGAACTCCGTCATCGAGTAAAAATACATCGAATCAATCATTTTCAGGGTGACCTTTGGTCCCTTTAAGCCTGTTCCTTAGAACCAGGCCTTTCTTTATACCTGAAAAAAAAGGAAAAAGGTACAATGTAGCATAATAACCCAACCAAGAGCACTGCATAAATTAACGTTTCCATTTTACCCCCATCCCCTTTCAAATGTCCTATCCTACCACGCTACTGATTGACTTTTGAATGCGGTTTTCCTAGCAGAATGGTATTTCGTTCCATGAGTCTTTATATCACAGATGACGGAATTCTGCCGGACATTTCTTCAATTAAGGAATTATATTTTTTTCCAATAAAAACCTATGGATGACAAGAAAGGTGATTCCCCCCCCCCCCCCCCCCCACCCCACCCCAAATCTGATATTTGCAATGACGAATATTTTAATTTTATTTTTGTATTTATTTATTTCCAAATACGGGCGGAACACCCTAGTTAGCGTAGCTGTTTTTCATAGGGGTCTAATAAAAATACATAGCATGTTTTTACAAAAGAAACAAGACAATAAATCAAATACACAAAAATATCATATTCTATTACAATGAATTCTATAGTAGATACCTACATAACCTAATACAAAATTGAAGTTAGCATTTTAAATGAATGCTACGTCTTACTCGCCCCCCCCCCCAAAAAAAAATAAAATAAAAAAAAAAATAAAAAAAATAAATAAATAAATAATAATAATAATAATAATTTTTAAAAAATGAAGAAAATACACGCTCGCAAACTATTTTCGATAAAATCAAGTCAAGTGCACTTTCAATAAGCTATCGTATACATCTCATTTAGAAATCATGTAGAGATTACGTAATGCCTCATTGTCATCTTGGCATATTACAATAGGTGACGTACATTAAGGCTATATCAACTGATTTGTTGTGTTCTCAAAGCAAGCATTTTCCTTTCAGCTTCCAAGTAGAATTTGAATTTTACAAAATTTTAGAAGATTAATTATACTTCAATATACTATTGCATTATTACCATTACGAACTTTAAATGAGGATGATTACTTGATGATTTTTTAAAGATGTTGACAATTCAATATCTCGTTTCATTTGTTTAGACACATATATTATTCAATAAGCATTATTGCATGATAAGATGGTGTGTAAAGTCATGGGTGTCGATCCTTACGTAATACCTATTCATCAGGGGGGATGAATGAATAGATCATCCCCCCTGATGAATAGGTATCAGTTACGGATCGACACCCATGTGTAAAGTGATCGTCTCGCAAGCTGAGCGTGTTTCTCCCCCCCCCCCCCCCCCCCCACTCCGTGAACGGAGGGATACCATGCGTGTTCCCAAACTCTCCGGCTCGTAACAAAAGAAAAAGGTCGACCCGTATACTTTACACACCGGACTTTTGCTGAAAGGGGGGGGGGGGTCGCTGGGAACACGCATACGCGTACCCTAAATAACACTGAGTGGAGGGGGGGGGGGCGGGGGCGGGATTTCTTTAGCATGATAAAATGCAGTTAACAACTCATAAGTTATTATAATATATACCGCTTGTAAATTTGATATTTTGTGTTTTTCGCAACTCAAGCATGAAGGATATATGGACTGGTTGAATTAGGGCCTTTGTTGAATACTTTTAGAAGTGCAATCTTAAATAGAGTATGAAAGAGTTTAACAAAAGATGACTAATGTGTTCGAGGCGCATGGGGAAGAAAAACTATAAGTACACACAAATACACACAAAAATGAACAACAACAATGTGAAAGTAAATCTAAATCTACTGGAAAGCCGCTTTGAGCAAATGAGTTTTGAGGGCATGTTTAAAGCAATCGACACTTGAAATGTAACGAATATGTTGTGGCAATTACTGTTTCCAGGCATGATCAAGGCATCAAGGAGCTTTGCGTTACGAGGAGGGTGGGTCGCCAAAGTAACCCAATTTGATAAGAAAAAAGTAAATCTTTGGAGATAATTATACATTTCAGGCGTTTCCATTTGTTATTTCATACATTAATGAATCCCTAGCCTTTTAACCTGTTGACTACTGAATTATTTAATTGCCATAGACTTAATGCAGGGAACACCAGGTTCCAGTAAGCAATGGGTTAAGTCCAAGAAAAAAAAATGTCTTGCTCTTAGGGATTGTCCCCGTGCCCTGAATCAAGGGATTTTGGTAACCACCTGCTTCGAGGGACAATGTCACCCGGTTTGCAGATTAGATAAGATAAGATATTTATTCATCTTTCTTTCAAATGACACATAGAGCATAACATTTATAGATCATAACACATTTACAATGCAAAATAACAAATTTTGGCAATGATAAAAACAAGGTTAACTAAAAGAAAGACGAGGAGACCCTGGTACAAGCAAAGCTTGTAAGTTTTAGGGTCCCCTCTGAGCCAGATAAACATGATAACAATAATAATAATAATAATAATAATAATAATAGCCTAATATTCCACTCCAAATTTTATTAAACCGAAACGGAAATTCTTTTTGCCCAATTGATCGTGAGCCCAGCAGCCACTGAGCAGCGCCAGATCGACGTTGCTCTATCCCTTATTGCTGAACGCCATTTGTGACTACCTAAGAATACAATAGGTAAAAGGTGATATATAAAATATAAAAAAGTGTACAAAAAAAAAAGTGAAGCTCTGATCTTGCTGTGTCTGTATAGTCTTATTATTAAAAGACATACCTTCTGAGAGAGTTATGCTTTGCGTGATGGTGCTGACGTTAGCATTTCATGTCTGTGTTTTCGAGGTACATGTTAGTATTATGATACTATGTTCTCAGAAAACATGAATTTAGATTAAAAAGAAACATTCATGGACAGGAGTAGCTTTCTAAAGAAGTGATATGATCCTTCCCATATTAAAGGTATATACTCACAAAATATGTTTAAGTACATACATCATATTGCAATGCTACGTGTACAGGGGCATAGCAGCTTGAACTTTTCTTTCTCCCCCCCCCCTTTTTTTTGTATCTAAACATAAGTTTTAAAAAAGTTAGGATATATAACTATATATATATAATCAAAAATATAATAGATAAGGCGAATAGCTTAATTACATAAAGCCCAGACAATCCCATGACTTATATGAACATAATTAATAAGCACATGTATAGCTGTTATAATACATCGAAATTCGAATGATACCACCGAGTCGCGAAATGTACATGCATTTGGTAATACATGAAGATTCGTTTGAGTATTGCTTATCTTTCTTCAGAAAGAGATGCAAACAAAGAGAAATATTTCAGAAAAGGGAGAGGCGGTTAATCTGTTAATCTTTACTGAAAACGCTTGACTGATGGAAGCGTCATAACGCTTTTACACGTCACCTAAGTCAATTATTACGTCATAGAGGTTAATCATTAAAATGATGAATGAGTGCGCTCAAATATTGTTTCAATATAAGGATTAATCTATTACTCATTAACGTGTAAACGATGAGTGTTTTTGACGAAGCCTGGTTTCAGTTTTTCTAGTTCACATCATTCTATTGTCAGCTCGACCTACGAAGCACATCACTCGACTCAGCATTCTGCACCTGTACAAGACAAAACAAGATTCATCATGGTAAGAAGTTTTCTGTTCTAGCTAGACTAATAGGCCCTATAGGCCCTCCATAGGCCGTTTCGTAATGCATCCTAATTGTGTACCCCAAAAAAATACTATATTCTATGGGGCAGATCTTTTGCTGTTGCTAGACCAAACCTTTGGAACAATCTCCCCAATTTCATACGACAGGCACCCACTTCTGCAACATTCAAATCTTTACTAAAAACGCACCTCTTTGGCCTTAGTAATGTAACCTAATTGTGTACCAAAAACAAATACTATATTCTATGGGGGCAGATCTTTTGCAGTTGCTGGACCAAACCTTTGGAACAATCTTCCCAATTTCATACGACAGCCACCCACTTCTGCAACATTCAAATCTTTACTAAAAACGCACCTCTTTGGCCTTAATTAATTAGCTTAAACTATCCTTACTTACGTTCTTCGTTTTGACCATGTTAGCTATCTCTTTATTATGTTATTTACTACGTTAAGTTAGTCATTTTAGTACTTATACAATTTGTATATTTCTCTGTTTTGATTACTTTTATGTGCTTATATTTCTCGTCATTATGCTTGCACAGCGCATGGAGAAACTTATGTTTATTATGCGCTATATAAATATTGTATTATTATTTATTATTATTATGCATGCCTTTGTGAAGCGCAGAGCCGGGGTAATATTCGATCGCCTTTTAGCATTTTGCGTGGTGGATGATAATTCATGTGCGCTGATTATAATGATTATTGTTACCATTAGTGTTCGTCTCTAGGCCTTTCCTTTTTGGACGAAATAAATGAATAAAATATTACAAGTTGTTTAATATTACAAGTTGTTTTTCTCATAGTGAGCATATAACGAAACCACTGTATGAAGGGACCACATAGTATCTATCTCAATGTGCCTACGCGGTATTTAAATCATTTTTTGTTTCACTTATAAAATGGCAAACAGTGGCACATGATATATTCCATGAGTCAAACAACCCACCAAACAATAACAGGAGCGGTTTTAGAAAGAAAAAATGGGGGGAGGGGGCTTCGTAGCGTTGAGGATTGTTGACTTTTGGGTTCTCGAACTCATTTACTACACGCGTCTCGTGATTTTTTTTTGAGGGGCTTGGGTGGGGGTTGAGCCTGCCCCCCTCCCTGGATACGCCACTGAAACAAATTCATTAAGATAATCAATCAATATGAGTCTTGATTGCACTCGAGGAGTGGCCGTTAATCATTGACTAACCACGCCTTCTATCAAGACACGAACATCACGTGACCCAAACCATCTAATCACGATAGTCCATCCGGTTCAACCTCCCCGATAACGATTATCGATCATAACCACAGACTTGATTAATACTCTCTATCATAACTCAATTTAATCAAACTTACAATTCGACACATATTGACTGTTAGGGTGTGTACTATAACATTCTTCGGGCCGCCGAAGAGAGTTGAAAATAATAATGACGATAATAATTCTCATTGAGCGTTTTGACAGTATAAATTGACCAAAGCATTATAGCTTTGGTCGAATCCCGACACGTACGGCACTAATAATCCTTTGGCAAGATATTAAACTGCTATTGCTACTCTCCACCCAGGTGTTAAATGGGTACCCGGTAGAATGCGACCATCATTGTTGGTCATACAGTTTTTGAGAGTCAAGTAACGCCTGGCTGGAATGCTCCCCAGGGAGTGGGGAGTGGAGATTGTGCACACATATTGTGCGGAAAAGCACTGAATCCAATGACCGGGGTAATAATTTGTAAAGCGCTTAGAGACATTTTGTATTAAGCGCTTTATAAAAAATGTAATATTATTATTATTATTATAAGCTGATACAGCCCCCCCCCCCCCCAAAAAAAGAAGAAGATGTATTTGGAACTATTTAAATATAGGATATAGTCAGATTCTCATTGAAACCTAAGTCGCACTAAGGTTCGACCGGTCGCCAACCACCGACCGGCAGTCAGTCTGTTGTCGGATGTCAATTAGAGGCTTATGGCAGTCTTTAAAAGGTTATCAGAGGTCGGCCTATTGGTGTCCGGAGCATATTGGTCGGATGGAGGCTCCCGCCGTTGCATGGAAAACCTTTTAACTACCAAACTTGTTGTGGAAAGGTGTTTCTTGGTTTTCCAAGCCTATTCGACAGTTCTCAGACTGATCGCTGACTGATCGCCTACTGATCGCCGACTGATCACCGACTGATCCCAAGTTCTTGCAAACTATTACCGGGCGATATTTATTTGAGAACAAGTCGGCAGCTGATCGAAATTGATTATAGAATCAGTAGCCGATTATTCTTTAACGTTCGCCGACAATCAGAAACAAATTTAACTTTAGAAACATGGAAAATTCTATTCTTGCTTCAAATGCTGGTTCAAAAATTTGGTGTGTTTGACATGTCTGATTCCTGTGAAAATTAGAGCGAAAAAAAAAAAAAATCTATAAAACTTTATCAATGTTTCTTGATCTAAGAATCTTAGATCAAAGTTATTATGTGATGTTTTGTATTAATTTAAACTGTTATTCGTGCTGCAGTAGCCTGTTAAAAAGGACGAAATATGAGGGGGGGGGGGGTCACTCTCTTGCGGTCCAAGAAAATCATGCCCCCTTTCCAGTCAGTATCTGTATAATAATAGCTATGGTTATAATTTACTATATCAAATTAAGGGAATTTGCGATCTCCCGCCCTTTTCTTCTTCCTACTCGAGTGGTGCAGCTAGCCTCCCGCGAAATAAGGGGCTTGGCATTCATGACAAACACTGTAGATCACGTGATGTGTTGAGAACATTATTAAAGACTGATTAGTCCCTGCTGTAATCAGTAAGTCACTCAGCAAACATCATTCTGATCATGTGGGGACTTTGTTTAGGCTGATAATGGGGACGACAACCGAGACTTGAGTACCATTACGTGCAAAGGTTGGGCTAATTAATTAAGAGACAATCTTGCTAATTGACTATATAGCACGACAGTATGACGTTAATTTCAGTATCAGATCAACCGTTCTCGTCTCCATATAGACCAATACTGAAATACTGGTTTAAACTGGTTTGTTAATTATGAGAAAGAGCCGCGGGGGAGTGGCAGACATTATTTTTACATACGGTAATTTGGTTGTAAGATCTAGAATGCAGTCTGAGTCGAAGTAAACTTGCTTGTGTGCTCCACTCCCGGGTCCACTCCCTCGCACAATACAACACCATGTAAAGCACTGTGTAAGTCTTAAAGCCTGTCTGTACTAGTTTGGCCTGGAGGGATTAGACCTCCCTGCAAGGTCACTGACAGGTGGCTATATCTCATCAAATCAGCTCTCGATTCACATAAGAAAAAGGGGATCATGCGGGACCAACGGACACCCCTTAGACATTGTTTTTTTTTTGTTTTTGTTTTAGATTTGCGTGGACTGCTACGTGTGACGTCCTTTTAAGGCACTGGCAGTCACATGTCAGTTTTAAAGACCGTTTTTAAAGACCGTCAATACTACTGGGCCAGAAGGGATTAGACCACACAGCGAGGTCACTGACAGGTGGCTATCTCATTAACTCAGCTCTCAACTAACATAAGAAAAAGAGGATCATGGGGGACCAACAGGCACCGATTGGGGAAGTTTTCTATAGAGGGAGCAAGTATAGCTACAAGTAGGACAGTGGGACTTTAAGGCACTGTCTTAAAAGGACGTCACACGTAGCAGTCCACGTTGTCTTCATGCAAATCTAAAAGTCCCTATTGTGTCCTATAATAATAGAGGGCGCAAGTAGATACAGGTAGCGCAGATAGGCTTAAAGGGAAAGTCCACCCCAAAATAAGTTTGTTTCGATAGAGGCAGAATAATAAGAAAATCAGGTGAGTGAAAGTTTGAGCAAATTCTGAATGAAAATAAGAAAGTTATGAATTATTGAAGTTGTGATCAATCAAATACAAATTGGCAACTCTGTGACTTATTATACGAGCTCTCCTTCATTTGCTTTGTGCATAATATTCCATAAAATCATGTTTTCTTCGTTATTGATGACGGAATATATATTTGTTCCTTGCAGGGGGAGTATAGAAACATATTTGCAATTTTTATATTTAGGGTGCATGTATGGTTGAAATTTTTCTTGAGGGAAAATGAAAATTTTAGATTTTTTTAGTAGGCCTACTGAGCAAATGGAAGTTGAGCTCGCATGATACGTCATAGAGTTGCCAATTTGTGTTTGATTGATCACAACTTCAAAAATTCTAACTTCCTTATTTTTAATCGGAATTTGCTCAAACTTTCACTGACTTGTTTCTCTCATTTTTCTACTCCTATTAAAACTAACTTAATTTCAGGGTGGACTTTCCCTTTAAGTGATTCCTTATGATCAATACACAGGCTCAGTCTTTATTGTGTGAAATGCATACTTCCAATAGTGTCCCACCGACGGTCGGTGGTGAAAATGGGAATGAGGAATGTCTCATCCTGGAAAATCAGTAAATGGGGTCGTCTCCCTCCCCTCTAAAATTTAGAAATCGCTAGGAATAACTTTCTGAACGATTTAAAGCCATTGCGAGGGTAGAGAAAGGTATGTAAATATGCATGTATAGGGTCTAAAAATGTTAAAACTACTGAATTAAGATAACTTTTGCTCGGTCTCTGCACTCTCTTGCAAGTGCAAAAAGAAAATAAATTTGTCAAAGTGCGCCGTTAGAATGAGGGAAGAAGAAAAAAAATCTCCCCTGTTTATAGTCACTGCAATGGCTCTCCCCCCGCCTGAAAAAAATGGAAGAAAATCACAGGCATTGCTTGCAAGGGAAGCCCCTCGGAGCCTGGAGCCTATAGACCCCCCCCCCCCCCCCCCCCGGCCCAGCCGAACCTGTATAGCCTCCGAACTTTAAATACGCTCCGCGGGCCCTGACGTGTGCTGTCCACACGTTGTATCTTGATTTGATTGAATGATCTTGAAGATAATTATTTTATTCTTTATTTTTCTTGAATGTCTTACAGGTTGACAAACTAACAGACAAGCAGATGGCTGGTAAGTCCACACTTATAAATGGATTACAACGACATACGTGCAATAGACCATTTTCGTATAAAGTAATCAAATTTAATGCACAAATCTTTGTAAAGTGCCTCGTTAGTCGTTACAACTTATTTTATTTACCTGTTATTTACGAATAATTATTGTATCTCAATTGTCAGAATACGAATTGCTAAGGAAATTTAAAAAAGATATATAAAGCAATTGATGAATAGTAAGACAATGACGTCACAAACTGATGATATTTGTTGGCAATTTGTGTAGTGATAAATCTAAGCTCCATAGTTTTTCATACTTAAAAAGAATCAGAACTTCGTTATCAGTTATCCGATTTTGCTCAATTTTTTGTTGGCTCTGTTTCTCTTGTTTTTCTGCATTTTTAAAAGCAAATTATTTTTGGAGTGGACTTAGCCTGTATGAATTGTCAATAGAGTTTTGAGAAGATACAAACTTTCTCTATGAAGAATAAATCACATTGTCACAAAAACATTCAATTAAAAGAGGAAACAAAGATCTATTCCAACTTTCTGGTCAACGGTGTTATAGCGCTCAGAGACTTCGGCACCGCTTTTATTAGGGACTTTTAGATTTGCACAACGACAACGTGGATTGCTACGATCGACGTCACACGTATCAGTCCACGCAAATCTAAAAGTCCCTAATATTATTATTATTATCATGATTAGTGTATGTTCCGTAGGCCTATATCCCAGAAATGGTGTGTTTGATTTGTTTCTTTGTAGGTTTCAAGGAGGCTTTCGCTCAGTTTGATAAGAATGGTGATGGTACCATCACATGCGCTGAGCTGGGTGAAGTGATGAAGTCGGTCGGCCAGAACGTGCCCGAAGCTGAGCTCAAGGAACTCATCAAGCTTGTCGATCTCGATGGTAGGAATCTCATTGCTGTTTTTTTTTTTTTTTTTACCTGACTGCTAAGCCCACCCCCCCCCCCACACACTCAGTGTTATTTAGGGTACGCATATGCGTGTTCCCTCCTTTTGAAAACACCCCCTAAGTCCGGCGTGTAAAGTCAATTTTGTGTATGTACGAGCCGGACCTTCGGTGCGTGAAAAGTACCCCTTTACCGGACATTTTGGTAACACGCATGCGGTCATTCCGACCCCGGAGTGGCTGGAAAGAAAGCATAAATGCAACCAGAGGACCGACGGCTTAAGGTCCTCTCCCAGAGACCTGGTAATGAGGATTAATTCCTAGCTTACCAAAGGGCACTAGCGCAGCATCGCCTTGGTTTCGAACCCGGGTCACCGGATTACGAGACCACTTCTCTGCCGGCTGAGCTGTCGCACCTCAGTCCTGCTTATAACATCGGTTTAATGTCGATTATCCGCAGCTTCATAATGACGGAGAATGATAATTCCGAAAACAAAATAGGGTTCGTTTAGTTCCGAAGTGATATAGAACCCTATATAGTTTTTTTTTTTCGGAATAACGATCGAACCTTTGGAATAACGAACCCTATATCTGTTTCGGAATGATGAACCCATTGCCGGATTCAGGGGAGCCCGGGGGCCCTGGCCCCCTCCACTGGCAAAAAAAAAGTTGGTAACGTTAACTTTACCTAAAAAAAGAAAGAATATGGGCCCCTTCCCCGGCGCCCGGGGTGGAGGGGGAGGGGGGGGGGTGTTGAGTAAAACAGGAATAGAGCTCCATTACCCATCCCACCCCCGCTAATTCGGTCGGTCGGATTAGTCGCCGCTAAATATTTTCTAACTAATTGGGCCCCCTCCCTCGCCGCCGGCTGCATCCGCCCTTGGATGAACCCCATTCCATTTTCGACATCACGAACCTTCGGAATAACGAATCTTAGTTTTCTTCTTTCTGAATTATGAACCTTCGGAATAAACGCTGCAGATGATCGGAATAATGCAACCTGAATCATTTTCGGAACCACGAACTTCCTTAAATAGGATATTCGTGTTTCGGAATTATGGTCCCCATGGAAGACCAGTTGCAGCATAATGATGCCACTGAATATGGGCTATCCAGCCGTCTATTTTATCTTGTAATTCATATTTATATTTGTTATTATTTTACTGAATGCATGATGTCTTTATAAATGGAAATAAAACAAACAAACAAACAATTTTTAAAAAAAGTCTTCTGTATTATCATCATTTGGAAATTATCCATCGAGTTAAAGGGAAATAAAACCTTATGGGAGGGAATACAAATCAATCTTCATCCCTGTGATTTTGTTTTATTTTTTGAATTCAACCTGTTTGTAACGGGTAGGTTGCCGCTTCCATGACGGTACTCTCAACAATTAATTATATTCATGATCTTATAGAATGAGGGTAAACTATAGAGATCAATCGTAAAGGTTCGCTCAGAGAGTGGAGATTGTGCACACAGTGTGTGGGCAAACACTGAATCCAAGACGGGGGTAATAGTATATGCGCTTAGAGACATTATTAAGCGCTATATATATATATATAAATTGAATATTATTATTATTATTATTCTCAAGAAATCACAATGATTGATGTTTTGAGGGAATTGTCTATCACTGATACAAATGTCCGGCCGGATAGAAACCAAGAAATATTATGTCCTAGGCCTATATATATAGCCTAGGATTGTGAGAAGATTATATATAATCCAAACGGTTTAATTCAAGTTTGGAGACATTCTTACATTCGTTACATTCTTTTTACTGTTAATGTATTTTGTTGACTATAGGGCCCCGCTCACAAGCTCAGCTTCTAAAGGGGTCCTAAAACCATTTAGTTTATGATGTTATCAAGTTAAAATATGTGAATTGATGTACTATTACCAGTCTCTTTTTTATGTAACAGATTATATCATGTTTTGTTTGGTTTTGAATAAAAAGAACTGAACTGAACCAAACGAGTACAGCAGGAAACACTGAATTTGATACAGATTAGGAGTTAAAGCCCATATGTACTAGTTTAAAGGAGGGATTAGACCATCGTCCAAGGTCACTGACAGGTGCTAATCTCATCAAATCGGCTTTCACTTAACATAAGAAAAAGAGGTTCACGGGGAACCGCTAGTCACCGATTAGGCATTGTTTGCTATACAGAGGGCGCAAGTATAGCTACAAGTAGTGCAGTGGGCCTTTAACATAAGAAAAAGAGGTTCACGGGGGACCGCTAGTCACCGATTAAGCATTGTTTGCTATACAGAGGGCGCAAGTAGCTGTAAGTAGGGCAGTGGGGCTTTAATATTATCTGCCTTGCATTTGCAGGAAATGGATCCGTGAGTTTCCAAGAGTTTTTGACTGTGATCGTCAAGGCACTTCAGGACTTGGAGAAGGAGATTCGAGCTGCATTCAAGACCATGGACAAAGATGGCAGCGGTTCTCTGAGGTAACAACTCTATCACATTAAACCAGGAGGTTGTTTCACAAAGATCATAAGTTGAAATTATCTCTAAGTTGGACTTAACAATTATGGAAAGCCGTTAGCATCTTTGAAAATATTTGTAAAAGTTATTTTAAAAGGCATCAAATGCTGATTCAAAATATCATCCGTATTTTCTATTATCAAGGAGATTTCATGTTCTTGATGAGGAATTTATAAAAAGTCTAAAATACTTGAATTTCCGCTTCAAATATATTTTATTTCAAGAATAAAAATAGCTCTCTATAATTTTCAAGTCAAACTTAGGATCTTTGTGAAACACCCCCTTCATGGTTAGCACATGTCCCAAATCACCCCAAATATCTGATCTTCAAAACATGAAGAGTTCCCACTTTGTATATTTTGAACGTATCAATCCTACGTCGATGGAGGTGCTTCATAAACGGCTTTTGTTTTCCCTTTTCAAAGAATACTTCCACCTGTGTATCACGGAGTGCACTAGTGTCTTTGACACTAATTGGTGGTGGTGGTTATTTTACCTGACTGCTAAAAAATGCATAAATGCTTGTTAGTGAGCAACCAAACGGCCGGCGGCTTTAGGTCCTCTCCGAAGGACCTGGTAATGAGGACTAATGCCTTATACCAAAGGGAACTAGCTAGCGCATCGATTTGGTTTCAAACCCGGGTCACCAGATTACGAGACCACTGCTCTACCGACTGAGCTATCGCGCCTCCTAACTAATAAATAAGACTTTATGTCTTGATTTAGCCATGACTTTATGTTTTGATTTAGCCATGAATTTATGTTTTGATTTAGCCATGCTGAGGTGAAGCAGGTGTTTGCAGACTTTGGAGAGAAGCTGAGTGATAAGGATGTGGATGCTCTCATCAAGGAGGCTGATACAGACAAGGATGGGACAGTCAACTATGAAGGTAAGTCACAACTCGAGGGCCCCGTTTCACAAAGATCCTAAGATCGTCTTTAAGTTGGACTTAACTATGGCAGGCCATTAATGCCACAATTCTCTCTCACCATTAATTGGCATTGGTCTCTCAAGGGACGTACAAATCATGGTCACAAATCTACAGAATTTATATTTTTTGATAATTCATTATTGAAGGAAAAAATGTTACCCAGAGATCATAATTGAGAGACCAATGATGTCAGCAGCCAGTGGCATGAAAGGCCTGCCATAGTTAAGTCCAACTTAGAGTTGATCTTAGTCTTTGTGAAACACCCCCCTGGTTATTTCAAGAACGGGTAAGAGGTGGAAGGAATCAATAAACCAGTTTCGTAATGTAATCAAATTTAATGCACAATTCTTTGTTAAGTGCCTTGTTACAAATATAAATTTCATACATAATGTGTTGCTAGGTAGGGCAAGCCGTAATGTTTGTCCTACCTAGCACCATGGAATGTATGAATTTGTCATCATAACACGTAATTATTCAGAACTGATGAATGAATTAATATAGATATAATGAGGCACTTATCAACAATTTGTGCATTGAATTTAATTACATTTAATGGCCTATTCCAGTGATCTCAGGAATCTCAGAAAGAATAGCACTGACGCTTATGAGGCTTCCCTGCGGTATCTTACATTATCATTATTATTATTGTTATTATTAGTAATATCATTAACATCATTATAATAATAATAGTATTACTATTAGGCCTATGTCACCGGACAGTGGGTCACAAGGTCCACTGTTCGAATCCCGCCGCAGCACTAATGTCCTTTGTCAAGATAGTAATCTACACTTGCCACACTCGACCCAGGTGAGGTAAATGGGTACCTGGTAGGATTATTCCTTTAAATGCGCTGTGAGCTGATTACGGCTGCCGGGGCTAAAGCTAAGGTAATAATTTCCAAAGCTCTTTGAAAGCGCATAGAGACGTTGTATAATGTGATTTGCGCTATACAAGAACCGAATATTATTATTATTATTAATTTCATTATACTTATTATCATTAATTTAATTATAATTATTATTATTAATTTCATTATAATTATTATTATTATTATTCGTTGCCCAATCCATGTCTTTGCTAATGTATATATCATTTGAACTATATTGTGTTTTTTTGTATGTCTTGTTTTGCACAGAATTCGTGGCGATGTTGATGAAGTAGGCCTTGGTAGATCAACGTCCCTCCCTTCAGCTGGCGATGTTCTACCATCGTGCATTTTGTATTTCGATATAACCTTAAATTATTTTGTAGAAAGAGCGAATAGAATAAGAATATAAAACCAACGTTGCAAAATGAGGTGTCCTGGTATAGTGGTTCATACACTGGACTCACCAAAGGATTAAGGGTTCTAATCCCACCCAGTCACCAACGTTCCTTGGCCAGACATTGATCCACATTTACTACTCTCCATCCAGGTGTGTACCTGTAAATAACTGGGGGTATTAATGATAATTGCACGACCCGCATGAAGAGCTACAGTATTACTGACGTGGTTACCGTTGGTAAATAAAACACAATTATGATCATCATCATTACTAGCATATTTTCTGCATCAATTTTGCTCATATTCCTACCATGCTTGCGTGTATTCCAATCAATAATGTTAAACTTCAGCTTTAAATTGTTATGCTTCCGACACGTAAGGCGACGAAATAATGTTGGTTAGATAAAATTTGTCTATACGTCTGTGAATAAAAAATATAAACGAAACGGTAATAGTATGAGAGTTGTTTTTATTACCCCTTAATTCAAATCTTATACTTCTAAACATAATGACCCGAATTCACAAAGGAGGTTTAGATTTAACCCATGGTTTAACCCTCATTTACATAACCCATAGTTTAAAACAAGCGCAAAATAAGCGCGACACAAGTCACACGTCCAATATTAGACGCGCGCAAGGCAAAGTACGCTTATTTTGCGCTAATTTTTTAAACCATGGGTTATAGACTGTGGGGCAAGGGCCAGTTAACCATCTAAAAAAAAAGTTTCGTAGTCCCATCTTTGGCAGAGAAAACTAACTATACAAAATGATTGTGATGAAGTTGCTGATGAGAAAACACCTTTGTTCTCCAAATTTCGTACACCCGTTGATGAGATAATATGCTAATTAGTTTAATTGGATTTTAACAAGATTTCCTTGAAAAAGACTAGCGCCAACTATGGTAAATAGTCCATTTTGCTGATTCAAAGTTGCTATTTCTTGATTCTTTTTTGCAAAATATTTATTTCAGACCTCTATGAGACTGTTCAGGTGTGATTTTTCTGCGCAATTAATTTAATCCGCTAATTAGTTTTATTGGATTTTAACAAGATTTCCTTGAAAAAGACTAGCGCCAACTATGGTAAAATAGCCATTTTGCTGATTCAAAAGGCATTCAAATTTGCTATTTCTTGATTATTTTTTGCAAAAAATTTATTTCAGACCTCTACGAGACTGTTCGGGTGTGATTTTTCTGCGCAATTAATTTATATTTATGCTGTTGGTGAACTTGAAAACACTAATTGCAATTTTCCATGTTTATTTATTTCAGCACGTCATCAAGACGAGTTTTGTTAAGCCCAAGTTATGTAATTTCTTGCATCTTGTTTAAGTTACCATCTGTTTGTATATTCATGTCACTCATTTAACTCTTCCTTTTTTCTCTATTTCTCTCTCTCTCTCTATTATATGTCTATCTCTCTCTCTCTCTCTATTATCTGTCTATCTCTCTCTCTCTCATCACACACGTTTTTTGTTCTCATGTCTCCTCTTAAAAATCTCTTTTTCTTCCCCTGTTGTTTTCTCCTTACTCTTCCACTCTCCTTCATCATATTTTACCTTATTTATTAAGTTTCATCAACTGTGCAAACTCCTTCCAATCAAATCATCAATATTGTTGCCTTTAGTTTATTTTCCACTTCCCCAAAAAATATATTGCTGTTCAAAACTTTGTTAATACTAATACTAGGTAGTACTAGCAACACTGCTCATGGTCTGCATAGCATCAGTTAAGAACAATACAAATTTCAAAGAGAAACCTAACAACAAATTCATACCAAAACTGCCAAATAAATTATATTCTTCTCTGTTTAATTTGATTTCATTCATTACGTAAAATGTATTAGCGTACTACCATTTTGTCAATGACATTTATCTACAAGTAGCTTATTACCGGGTACTTTTTCTAATACCGGTACTTGCCACTGCCAGTGAAATCAGAACTATGGTACATGTATGTTGTAATTTACAAATGCAATTTAACTTGAACTGCAAAGATTGTTAACAGTTTTTACATAAATATTGATGGAATTAAAATAAATTATGAAACATTGATAAGATGTGTCTAGTCATTTGTTGTCTTTTTTTTTTTGGTTAAAAAAATGTCCTAAAATATGTTGATAGAAAAATTGCCAAAAAGCTGTTACTGTTGAGGAATTCATAAATTTTACATATTTCGATTAGAACAAGTGTCCAAAGAGTGTGATGGAAAGTTTGAAACGACCCATACATTTGAACGTAATAAAGTTTTATATTTGACTATAAATCTTGGCAATGCTTCAACATGGCAAAATACATGTATGCATAATAAATAATAAATGTCCATATTATTATTATTATTATGAAACAAATGAGCATGTAATGCAAGTACAATAGTACATTACTGTAAGTGATTACTTGTAATATTACTGTTAGCGAAATAATTCATTTTGCTTTCCTTGATACAATTCTTATCAATTAATCAATATAATTATCAGGTCTGGAATAAATAGGGAACTGTAGGACATCGTTTCCTTGACATTTGAAGGGAAATGTTTGCCTCTTGATGAAATAAAAATTGGAACAGTTTGTAACAATCAAACCTTGGGAGATTAATTTTGGCATCTAAAAAAAACATTTTTCCAGCTCTGAAATTATATCTGTACATATATTTAGTATATTCTTATATTACAGGTGCACATAATGTATATGTAAAACACCCCAGTCGACCCATACATTTGTATATGTCTATTCATGAAAGGTTGGTTATTTTGTACATAATTTACAAAGGAATCATAGGGATATAAAAATCTTCTTTTTTTTAATCCCCAAATTGAATAAGAAATATCAGAGAAAAAGTTTCACAATGATCTTGCCTTTGTTCATTTTAATTTTATCATATATATTTGTTGTTATCAATAGTACCAGTTAATGTTGAAAAATCTGCTGATAAACAGCAAAAAATATTGCATACATTTAGTGCTCAATATGAACGCGTACATTTTATGCTGATGGTCTCAAATAGGTCCAACAAATCAAAGCTGGCAGATGAGCGCCGAGATTGTAGACTCCTACACAGCTTCTTAGGTTGTGAAGGGATATCAGATGGATCTGGGGGAAAAAGAATATAAAACACTAGGTCAAAAACAAAGCTCATATAAAAAAATTGGCGATAGCTTCGCTGTCATTTCAAAAATTTCAGATAGCTTTGGCGTCTTTTGAAAATTCTTTAAATGTTTCAAAAACAAAAATTCATATTAGTCTATAAGTCATTTCGAAAATTGGCAACAGCTTCGCCGTCTTTTCTATTTTAAAATTAAAATTGTTGATACTGATAGCTTGACAGCCGCCATGTCTATCTTCATGTTAGAAAACGTGCCCCTTGTCTAAATAGGCTTTGTATTTTGACCCCTAGTGTGCAACTATAATGGCTTCATGCACTGATTACAAAAAAATGTAAACAACACACCACATCCCAGCATTAAAATATAAACGAGTTTAAAATAATGCTGTTTTGACCAGGACAATAAGTTAAACTAACTAGGAAGGCATGTCTAAAGTTAAGTAAAGCCTGGCTCAATGCGTCCAACTTGTCCGACATTTTTTTTGTTTTCCATTAGGCCTATTATAATTTACAGCTAAGGAGGGTCTACATGTACGTACATGATTACATCAATGACATAACGAACAAAATTGATGTCAACTCACAGAGGAATTGTAAACGATTCAATCAACTGACAAACTTCATCATTCAAGCTCCATCATGCATGAATGAAGGGCCTAAATCTAGGCCTAGAGCCTAGAGCCTAGAGGGTCTAGACTCTATTCTCTATTTTTTTTTTTTTAATGAGGCTAGATCTAGATCAATCATCAAAGTCAAAGGCAGGGCCTTTATTTTTGCTGGGTTATCATGGGTATTGCAAACAAAGAAATTGAAACTCACCTTCAAATTCAGTCTTGTTAGAATCTCGAGGTATTTTACGGAGAAAAGTGCAAAATTGCAACGGATTTCCTTGCCAATGTCGCCGGTATTGAACCGTATACATACAGCGACAGTACCAGTGCAGCGCAAATTACAACATTGTCATTTGCAATGCACCACTGGTATTGTCGCTGTATACGGTTCAATACGGGCGACATTGGCAAGGAAATCCGTCGCAATTTTGCTCTTTTCTCCGTCCGTATTTTTCAAAATCTCAGCAGAAGCAAAAGTTTTGGACCATTTTGTGTCTGTAATTTCTTTCAAAACGACATCATTCACAGTCGGGAAGTGAATAAAACACCTCTTTATCTCTGTATCGGTGACGAAACTTCTTCGGTGTCATTCTCCATTATGGTTGTTAAATGTTTTTATGTAGCGAACGAGGACAATGACGTAGGGAAAATCCCGCCTCGTGATTGGTTGAATTGGACACACCTCCGATTTCCCGGGATATTACCCACGATTATTAGGAGGCAACATAATTATTATCTTTAATTAGTTTTCACGAAAAACCGTAAAGAAAATGAGGAGAACAAACGGTAAATATGTTTGTAATAATTTTCTTTATATTTTCATACTGGTTTGGTCGACTGCCACTGATGGTACTACGAAACAACACAATACAGTGACTTGCCCTACAGTCTATTATGTAAATGAGGGTTTAAACCATGGGTTAAATCTAAACCTCTTTTGTGAATTCGGGCCAATATTATGCATTGCATGTTGTTGTTGTTGTTGTTGTTGTTGTTGTTGTTGTTGTTGTTGCGTCATTCTTTAGGGAAAAGGTTTTGTGGGATTGTTATGTGAACCTGCCCCACCCCCACCCTCCCAATCGAAAGGTAATAAAACAAAACAACAACAAAAGAGGTGAGAGTGAGGGGGGGGGGGGTGAAGGAAAAAGAAAAACTGAGAACATGAGATGAAATATAGAGATAGGTTGCTCGAAAACGCTCTTCAGATATTAGGATAATAATGTGAATCAGTAATTGGGGACAACATGATAACTCTTAAAGGCCGTCTGAACTAGTTTGGCTAGGAGGGATTAGACCACCCAAGGTGGTCACTGACAGGTGGGTATCTCATTAACTCAGCTTCCAATTAACATAAGAAAAGGGATCATGGGGAACCAATGGTCACCGATTAGGCATTGTTTTTATATGCGAGGGAGCAAGTAGCCACAAGTAGTACGGTGGGGCTTTAAAAGGAATCTGTTGTACGAGGTGCATTATCAAAAATGTTTTGGCGTGATCCGATCTGCGTCAGCTAGGGAGGACAAGAAATTGAGATATGAGTGAAAGAGACCGGGGGAGTGTTTCACAAAGACTAAGATCAAATTCAAGTTGGACTTAACTATGTCAGATCGTTCATGCCCCTAGTTCCTCTAACCATTTATGGCATTGCTTTATCAAGGGATGTACAAATCGTTACCACAAATCTACAGAATCTACCTCTTTCCTAAGTTGAACTTTAAGTTGGACTTAACTATGGCAGGCC